TTTTCGTCAAATAAAGTGATTTTTAATTCTGGTTCTGAGATTCAGCAAAGGAACAAGGTAACTGTAGGTACAATGACGATTATGATTAAAAAATAAATAGAAAATAATGGCAATTACAATGTGTTACAAAATATGTGGAATAGTTTACATATTAAAAAACTGTTTGTTTTTTTTTCTCCTAGCAAATTTGCAGTTAAATAGTCCATAATTTTTCCAAATATAACATTACTGCGTTGCTCAATCGGCAAAGAACTTTATTTCTTGTCGCCTTTCGTTGGACCGCGAACGGTACAGTCGCAAAATCATTCATAGAAAAAACCGTCGGCTTTAAAAAGTGGTGCGAAGAACGATTTCTTCCTTTAAACTGCGTCGACGTCAGCGGACTGCCTGTTTCCCGTCATACATGCATCAGTACGACCTCTTTTTTTTTTTTTTTTTTTTTACAATTGCTTTATAGTTTTTCTAACATACAGTATGTATACAGTGCCAACGATGATCCATTATCCAACTAATAACATTAAAATTACCATGATTAACAATTCATTTGATACACACACGTTCTCTAATGAAAACAGCTGATTATACAGTACATAAACCCGCGTCATGATGGGTTATACATGTCAAAGAAACGACTGAAAATAAAACATACTAATAGCTTTCAAATGGCAGAAAAATGCCATGACACACAGCTGTACTCATTTACAGTATGTTTGAACCCCCCCCCGAGGAAAGAGGGTAAAAGAAACCAACAGAGGGAAAGATGGGAGTCGGTATATATTTCACAGTGCTGAAGGATGTCGGAGATACAATGAACCTCAGCGCTCTTCCAACTTCATGGGTCTAAAAACACAAAAAAATGTCTTCTGTACATCTTTTATTTTTTTCATTTGTTTAAAACGTGAGGTTTGGATTTGACTTCGTCGTCTGATCAGCGAAGAGAAACAAACGTGTGACCACTTTTATCTGCCCTTATCTTACATCATTGTGTATTAAAGGATAAAGTCCGGTGACATTATATATTTCTCTTATTGTCAACAAACGTCATGAAAGGGAACGCCGACACTGAGGCCCGATACACGTTCCTCCTCTGTGCCACAGACGTATTGTTATTGGAGGATGTTAGCATCTAAAAAAAAAAAAGACACTTATGATTTTTGAAGCGTGAATGAGATCGCCAGAATAAAAAGCTAACGTTAAAAGTTGGTAAGGGCTATAAACGCACTTCACCGCGGTTGCATGACTTCAACGTCACCACCACTAAACTTTAAGTGTTCGGAAATTGACTTAATTTGATGAGTGGACAGAGTTTGAGAAGTTAAGCCAACAGAAGTTTCTTAAACCTGCATTCTCTCTAACAACCAGCAGGGGGCGGCTCCATTACCATTCAGTCTTAGGGAGAAATGAGTCGACTTCTCAGTTGATTTATTGACCTCAGTAAACAGTTTCCTGATGAGTTTCTGGTCTCAGTCTCTAGTTTCAGTCTTCTTCCATACAGCATGATGTTCATTTAGTAACTGATGGTCCCATTTAGAGTAAAACAGACCATAAAGCAGGGTATGCTTTAGGGCGGGGCTACCTTGTGATTGACAGCTCATTCTCAGTGAGTCCGTCCAGCTCAACGCACCAAACTCAGATCAAACTGTCAAACAGTGCTGATCAGATATGGATCCAGATTCTGTTGTTGACTATTTCTCTCCTCAAATCTGTTCACAAACACATTTTACTGTTTATCTGGAACACCAGATCCTGTGTGAGCAGGAGAGACGCTGTTGTGTCCTGATACGGACGAGTTGAAACTGAAAATAACTCATCAGCACTGGACAAAGCTTCACTGTTGTAAACACATCAATGAGCCACACTGAGTTACATGTTCCTTCATTATGAACACACACACACACACACACTCACTAATGACAATAATCCGCCACTAAAAATAGGCCCCAAGAAACGCACAATTTCCTCCTGTTTGTTTGATAAAAACTACAGTGAGCTGCTGTAAATAACTGCTCTTCTTAAATAGCATTAATTATAATGAAAGTATATTGAGGGATTGAGGCTGGGAGCCAGAGACAGGAAGTCAGAAAGTAGAGACGGACTAACTCGTTGTCGGTTTTGTTTTTTCCACAGAAGTCGTTGACGATAAGAAATATATAAAACACCAAGAGACTCAACCTTTAATGCAGCGGTTCCCAAACTGGAGAAAGCACAGAGAAGTTTGTTAAAGTAAATTTAGAGCCGATGATGAATGAACCAACAACTTCTTCTTTTTTTTTTTTTTTTACAAATACCCAGGATGTTCAGCATTATGAGGTAAACAGTAGAAACATGATGTTTGTGTTAAAAAGTGATGTAACAGGGCAGAAAATAAAAAAAAAGCTTGGGAACCACTGCTTTTAATGTGTCCTTTAACTCCTCATAAAGTCCCTCCAGCTTCCATTATCCTCCACTTCAACCAATAAAATCTATAAATTAAATACTGTATATTTAAATCCTTCAGCGTGTGGTTTGTGCTATAGTTTAAAATGCTGGTCTGCAGAGTCAGTGCCTACGTGCTGTTCCCTCCTTCTCCTGTATGCTGCACTGAATGAACGTCAAAGTACAGCAGGACACTTCAAAAAGACAAAACATACACAAAAAACCCCTCAGTTACACTCACACATTTATGCACACGCTCGCTCGCATTTATCCACACACACACACACACACACACACACACACACACACACACACACACACACACACACACACACACACACACACACACACACACACACACACACACACACACACAAAGTAGTGGGTGCCAACGGAGACGGCGCTGTCTTCGACCGATGAGGGCGGGGCTACAGCAGACAGAGAAGCGGGAGGCTGGAAGGTGACCGGTGAGACGATGTGAAGGTCGTCAGTTGTTCTCGAACAGAGACAGCAGGTCATCGCTGCTGTTGTTGGGGAGGTCGGGGGGGCCCAGGTAGGACAGCAGCTCGTCCGGGTTGGTCAGCTCAGGAAGAAGCTTAACGACAGACAGACAGCGAGATTATATTAAAACAGCAAAGTTACAAAAGTTTTATTAGGGACAGTCTGGAGGTTAGAGTTTGTATTTATCACATTTATCAAGCAGCTGACTCGTATAATGCCGGGTTCAAAATGCTGAATTCTGCCACGAATGTGCTTCTAGCGACTCAGCAGACACACAGAGTCTGAAAGCAGCTGCTAATGGCTGGTTAGCTCGTTTAGCTCCGACAGGGTCCCCACTCTTTTTAACAAATCTTTTTCCAGGACTTTTTCTGGACAGTACAGGACAGCACTCGCTCACAAATGGTCCTTTCATTCAGTTTTCCTCTAAATGTAACATTAACTGGACCACAGCCCATGAGTGTAGATTTAATTTTATCATCTCTTAGCCTAAAGGAAGAAGTAGAAAGTGAAAGAGGTTTATCAACCACGAGTATACATTTTATATTTATTAACATTAATAGGTTTCCACCAGGCGTTATGACGTCGTGTCTGTGTCTTCAAACCCTAACGCGAGAGTCTTCAGAGTGTTTTTACTGCCCTGATGTTGTTTACTTGTGTATTTTGTCCTTAAAAAGGAAATAAAACAGCATGTTTCGCTGCTTAAAATCTCCTGTGACTGACTGACTTCTGGCCTGGTGCCTCAACGTTGATGTGGCGTGAAATTTGATCTGGAGTCAGCACACAGTATTTTATTTTGAAAACTGACCGATGCAGTTTGTGTCTGACTTCCTGCCAGAGCGCGTTGCGTTTGTGCCCGGTGGAAATTGGGGGTAAAAATTCCACTTGAAGCGTTGAGAAAAAATTGGTTTACATAAACGATCTGTGTGAGGGGTTCAATACAATTAAAGTTTTACATTATTCATTTATTTAATTTCCAGGTGTTTCCATAACTATAAAACTAGTCTCTCTAATTTCTAGGCTTTCCCTCATGCATGGGAACCGTGTCCGACTACCAGCAGCTGTATTCCTGCCACACTGAGCAGTGGTCAGTCTGTCACACTGGTCGGTGTTACCTCCCTCATTACACACACACACACACAGTAGCCACAAGCCCCCACTGCATGTCTTAGGTTTGCTGGGAGAGAGCGAGCACAATTTAGGGTTTTTGTTCAAACCAAATAAAAATATAACGTGTTAGTAAGCTTTTTTTCAGCCAGGCTACCTGTTTCCAGCCTTTATGCTAAATTATCCCTCTGCTGGCTGTAGTTTCATATTTACCGTAAGGACATGACAGCGGTATCAATCTTCTCATCCAATATCCCGTTAGTAGTCGTCTGTTTAAAATTGATAATTAGCTTTTATTCTTAAGTAAAAGTTAAAGACTTTTATTTAAGTCCCAGATTTGACTTTTATCATTCAGGGCCTGAACTTACGAACCCGTCCTGTGAACATTAGATGCTCTTATAAAACTGAACACATGATCAACAGGCTTCCACTCACATCTAGTGTATGATCGGCTCCCTCTCCTCCAGGTGCTCCCGGGCCTCCCAGACCGAAGGAGCCTTCATTCTGCAGCCGGGAATTCTGGGCATTGGCGTTCCGCTGCGGCAGCGGACTGCCGGCGTCACCGAGACTCTGATTACCGTGAACGCCTGAACCGTGCTGCTGGAGGATGTTATGGGCGTGTTCGATTCGTCCAGAATGAGGCGCCTGACAGCGACAGACCAGGAAGAGACACAGAGACACAAAAACAATCTTTATTTTACGGTAATAAAAGTGACGGTGGATTCACAGCGAGTGAACGCTACGCAGAGGTCTTTGCTTAAGAGGCACGACAGCAGAAGTGTGTGACAGTAGAGGAGGACGGACACTTTAATCTTTCTCTAAAAACCTTCAGCAGACAGCCGAGCAGCTGCCTGCGACAGGTGGTATGTGGCTCAGTGGCTAGATATGTAAGCGAATATATTCTCAGTCAATGCTGTCTACTTCAGGTTCAGTTAAAGGCTCTTAACTGAACTCACAAGCCAGAAGGAAGAGACAGTCAGTGTTGCATAACAGCGGCACGTCATCGGCCGTGTTTCCACCGCAGGAACTTTCCCCCGAGACGAGGAACCTTCAGCAGAACTCTGCAGGGACGAGGGGCTAAATTAAGTTTCAGGGACTTTAATTTAACCCCTAAAAATTCTCAACCTGAGAGCAGTGCTTTCCAAAAAGTACATGAAACCTTTGGGGGTGGGGCTTACAGCGCTGATCATTTCTAATTGGTGGAGTTCTCAGCTTTAAAAAAAATCTGCCAAACTGGTTTGTTTGATATCATCTGCTGCTCCTCTCTTAGCCACATTGTTTAGTCGCATAAAAATGACCTGTAAGAACAGCGATTGTTTGTCAGTGGACCAAAGTTATTATAGTAAACTAAACTCAACTAAAAATGAGGTGTAAACTGAAACAAAAACAAAAGAGATTCATTATTGATTAATTGACTTATTTAGTGACACTAGTCTTGTTAGCGGCCCTCAGTAACCTCCCTCCTCAACACTACTGTAAGAAAATACTGATAAAATTGTATTGTGATAAATTATTTTTGTGCCAAAACCCCCAAAATCTCAGTACATTGGATCGTAACCTGTACCGTATCGCCACATTCCTGCCAACACTCGGCCCTACCCAGCACTGCTTTAAAGACAAATATATAGTTTGATCTTTTAACAAAATGTTCAGTGATTTCCTAAAACAGCTGCTCAACAAAGCGTCTGATTAATCCACATTTACTGAGTATTTGGAGCAGCAGGACGGTGTTTGTGGGATTGAGCCAAAATACAACTACAGTGTGGCTCATTGAGGTGTTTTTAATGAAAACAACAATGAAGATATATCAGGCTTTGATACACACACACACAATACCTGCTAGTAGAAAATATAGAATATCCCCAGATTTTAGTATTAAACAGACCGAAGAGTCCCTTTAAACAACACCAGCCTCAGTTTGTTGTATAACAGATAGCTCTAACTCTGGGAGGTGTATGTGGAGCGAGCTCATGCAGCAGTGCCTTCTGGACCTTGTTCTATTCATACTCTGGCTGTCATTGATGCCTACTCAACCAAAGACACACGGAGGCTGATCCCCGTCGCCGTGGCCAGAGGCAGAACATGCTCCTGTTACGTAAGAGAGCGTCTAACCTGCTCAGACTGATAGGGGAGTGGAGGTGGAGGTCCAGAGGAGGCGTACTCTCCGAGCGTCGGGGTGCCAGGGGTGTTGGGGAAGTCGGTGAATCCTGTTTGGTTGGAGAATCCCTGGCTCCCTGTGAGACCAAAACAAAAACATTACTTCTAGTCAGCAAATAAAAAAAACAGGTCAGCGTAGACTTTGTCTTGCGTAATAGTGAGCAGTGCAGCGTGGAGAGAAACAGCTTCCAGCTATGAGAGGACATATTCGGGGGGTGGGGATGTGGGGAGGGGATGGGTACACTGAGATTGTACTCACTGGTCTTTGCTCTGCTGCTTGAAATATTGTTCTGGGTCACCTCCCATCTAAGAGCAGATGATGTGTTTGACTGATCTAGAAAGTGTGATTGTGTACAGTATGTGTACACACATAATATACAGTAGCAGTCAAAGGTACACATGCCTTACACCAGCTTTAGAAACATCTTCTACGCCTCCTGGAGACTAAATTCACAGCTGGAAATAATTTAAAGACTTACTCTGTTAGATACTCTTACACACATTTGACCCACAGTTAGTCACATTATCTGCATTTAAATGTCAGTAAATAGACAATATAGGCTTAGTCTTTATTATTGGTTTTTATTTACTTTATATTTTCTATCAACTTTTATTTTTACATTACACATTTTTATTTTTGAGTTTTTGTTCTTCTGTGTTTGAGTTTTGCTTTGTGAAGAACTTCGGGCTGCATGTTTGTATGAAAGGTGCTTTATAAAGCAGCTTTTCACTAACAGTCTACATACGGCAGAGAGGAAGGTGGTCGTGGTTCTTTGTGCTTTAGAAAGTAACCACTTTGATTTATTTGATTCACTGCTTTGTTCTCGTTAACGCTGCTCCCTCTCTGCAGTCAATACTCCTTGAACTTCACAATAAAAGTCCCCTTTTATTTTGTTATTCAAAGGTTATTATAACAAAACAAGAAGGAAATTAGGAATGTTGAGTTTCATCAGCAGTAACTTAACTCCTAAACAGCCGAAACAGGAAACAAATCAAATAGAATAAAATCAAATAAAGCAGCCGGCCAAAAGGACCAAATAACTTTCTGCCGGACAACGGCGTGAAGAAAATGAAGATGATGTCCGTGATAATGTAATGAAATGTTATGACTATAAGTTTAAAGTGGGATAAAGATGACATTTCCCGGCTGGCTAACAGCTAACTGGCATTGTACATGAATAAAATATTATAATTAGTTTAACTAAAGTAGTATTTCTGCTGCTGACTAATAATGCACATCTCTACTTAAAACCCCTGAAAGGAAACTGTATATTTTATCTATGTTATTATCATAATTAATGTGCACTGGGCTCAATGTCTCCACTCCTCAGTATTATTATTTATATTATTAAGTATTATTTATTATGTCAGTTACTGGGATCCACAGATGTCTACAAATTACTTGTTCTGCCTGACCAACAGTTTAAAAGCCTTCACATACTGAATTTAAGGAGACATAAAAAAGGTAAAAGCAGCAGATTCTCACATTTTATGAAGCAGGAAATGTCACCAACGTTCACCTCCTCATGTACCGACGGCGTTCATCAGGTTGATATGAGCGACATATGACAAGTTTGTGCATCTGATTTAAAACATCTCACAAAATAAATTACGATTTAAAATAAAAATAAGTTAATGTTCTTGTACGAGAGTCAATATTCTGCCACTTCTACCTTTTCTGAACTTAGAAAATATGTTAATTCTGATTTTAAATGAAATCTTGGCGTCTTATTTTTAACTGAAACTGCCAATCAAGAGGAAGAATGACTCATAAATCCCCAGCAGCTGGAGTTTATATGTGAACCTTCCCTCCACTAACTCACACACAGCTTCCCTCCTCCATCTCGACTATACCTGGCCGGTTGTAGTCGGGGGTGTTCCTGCCCCCTGCGGTCAGACTCTGGTAGGGGGACGACGCCGGGCCCAGAGCGGCGATCATCTCCATCACGTTGGGCAGGACCATGTGACTCGGGCTGACAGTTCGACAGCGTTTCAGGACCGGACCGTCGGGCTCCTCCTTTATGTGCAGGTCTGGTTTGACGGGCACCGGCCTCCAGCCACACACAGGGTCTATGGTGATCTCCTCGTAGTCCGAACTGAGGAAGGAGGGCACAGATGGGTTTTAATCACATCAAAAAGAGTTACTGTACATTAAAGGTGATATTAAAGGGTGAGAAGAGAGACGTAAGGGGCGTTTTAGATGAACAATTAGTTATATTTATCAAATGAAAGCTCTTGATGAGATATTTGTTCTGGCAAAAGGGTACATGTGAATTCTAGACCAATCTAGATTTATGAATCAAAGAGACCTGAACATGCTGAACTGTTTGGGGCTAAAAGGGTGTAAATGATGTTCATTAAAGTCATCCACACGTTTATGAAGTTTTAATATTAAAGATAATATGAGATTTAAAACAATAATATAGCAGAAAACATCTATAATCTATGTAAAGATATAGTGGATATCGTGGTGTTACTGCTGTTTTTATCATCTACGTCGGTAAATTAAGGATTTATTTCCACCAAACCAGAGTTGGTGATTGTTGGAAACACTAACAGAGACGGTTTTAATGAGTTTTATTTTGTTTCTGTCCAGTTTGAATGAAGTTACGATGCCCTGTGAGGTGAAATTAGTGTTTTTGTGAATGGAGTCTGGTGGGTGCTGGTGTCCATTTGCTCTAGTGCGACATCTAGTGGCGGTGAATTTCCCATCTATAAAACCTTTTAACAAAGAAAGAAATGTCCCTTTATATTATTTGATTAAACACTTACTTCTGGATGTAGACGAGGATCCCGAGCATGTACTGGTCCACCTCCAGCCCCTCTAGCAAAGCGGTTTTACTGTGACGGACAGGAACAGACTGTTGGTTACATTTCATACTGAGAGGATCTGGTTTTAAAAAAAAAAAAAAAAGGTGCAACGAGATCTTGGTACAGAACATACTTGCACACAGGACATCTCCAGGTGCCTCTTTCACAATTGAGCTGCAAATAGGACTCCAGGTCGAAACACTACAAAATAAAAGACATCAGTGTGAGAGGATCCATCTGCATGTAAAGTATATGTGGGTATGGTGTGTTGTGTGTGTGTGTGTGTGTGTGTGTGTGTGTGTGTGTGTGTGTGTGTGAGCCCACCTGTATGTGTCTGCAGTCGTGACCTCTGGCTGGCAGCTGGATTCGTCTGAACGTGATCGGGCATTTGAGGGAAACTTTGATTGCCGTCTGCTCAACGCCGTCCTCTCCGTTCAGACCAGGAGTCCCGGGGATTGTGCCGCTACTGAAATTTCTCTTTACTGAAACAAAAAGACGATAAAAAGTAATCAGAACCGCTCTTTCATTCAGACCAGCAACGGCAGGGTTAAGCCAGTGGTTAATTACAGTTACACCACCGTATACAGAGCTGTGAGTGTAAGCCAACAACAGCAGCTACTGTTTTGGACCATGACGCTGTCCAATCACAGCGAGCTGGATTCCCACTCACTCTTGGTGATGCAGTGCTCGGCCGGCAGGAGTCTCTTCTTCATCAAACCCTGCAGGACGGACCTGACGGACGGCCGGTGGACCAGCTGCAGCACAAACAGGTGGGACTGCGGACAGACGGGAAGGAGGGGGGGGGGATGTAGCTAAAATGGGATTTAATGTCAGACATAGTAACGTGTTGACACGGAGGGTGTCTACTCACACAACAGCAGGCTGTTACTGTGATCTGTACAGTGTTACGTCCCGGTTGACACACTTGCTTTAGGTACAAGGGTTTGTGGGAGGTTTTGTTGTCTCCTCTTTCGATGCACAGAGGAGTTGCGTTGACACTCACCTGATACGGAAGAAAAAAACAATTAAATGACAAGTAGGGCTGTTACAATCATTAAACTTTATACTTTACTTCTTCTGTTTTAAAGAAAGACTTTTATCTCAAAGACTCAATAAACTTACTTGTACGGATGCAGGCCAGTTAGTGTTCATTTGTCGGTCTTCGTGGTGGTAACACTTGAACTGCAGCTCCAGATCAGGCCTGCAGGGGGCGACACAACACAAACTATCAGGGAGCGACTGGGTGGGGTTATCTAACATTCCTCGTTTGTTTTTCCTCCTCTGGTGGTTTTTAAAAATCACTCAGGAAGAGAAACAGGGAGGTTCTCCGAATTCACACCGAGGCCACGTATTATGTTACAGATGGGAGCTAGAAGAGGGTTTTTATGGTGATCACCAAATATTTATCCTCTTTATCCTTTATTCATCTCATCTCATCAGAGAGCGGAGGACAAGTCTGGAGATGTGATAATGGAGAAGATATAGAATAATATAACAGCTGGGTTTTAAGCACTATTAGCAGGTTGTGAGTTTTACAATAGTTATATTTCTCCATGTATGCTACATAGATTCAATCCAATATAAACACAGCGGGACACTATCACTGTTCACAGGAGCACCTTGTTATCTCTGACAGAAAGTGGTATTTTGTGTTTCTAGTATTGCTTACTATGGGTTTCTCTTGTGTGCCAAGTTATTGTTTACTTGGGATATTTCCAACTGTATGTAACTGAAGGTGAGAGACACCAAGTATACAAAATGCTGTGTTTTGGAAAACCCAATACAACCATCTCTGAGTTGTTACTGGGTCTTTTAAGTTCGCTGTGTGTGACTCTGAAAAGATATAAAGACTCCATTTGTTAGTAGTATAAAGCGGTGACCTCACTTCTTAACCTTTTAAAGCTCCAGTGAAGATATTAGTAGGAGGCTAGATACAACCATTCAAACCAAATCATTTACCACAGGCTCATGTAGGGGTGTGTTTTAGGACATAACTGCTGTGAAACAATTAGAATATAACATTTTATTTCTACATTTTCTCTCTCTCTATCATTCAGCTTCTCCACTGCAGGTTGCTGTTTCATTTCGGTCTCCCCTCTAGCCTCCAAACGCCAAAACCTAAATACATTACTCCCATTCAAGATGAATAGTGGGAGGGGGAACTTTTGCTGCAGCACCTGATTTGGTCTGAATCGGCCGTAAGTTAGGATACATTTTGGCGGGGGGGAAAAACTGGCATGGCACTGGTTGCTGTTGGGCCTGATGATGGGTTTGATTTCATATTTTGGGTTTGTGTGACGGTGTTTGTTCTGAGGGACTGGCACAGCAATTTTTAAAGTGGTCCCTTGACCTCTGACTTTAAGATATCTGAATGAAAAAGGGTTCTACAGGTACCCATCAATGTACACTTTAAGTGCAGTAGAAATGTGTTATCACAGAAGTGTTAGCAGCATCTGCTCATGGACATTAGAGCATGTAAACATGAATCTGGTTCCTTTATTTTGGAGAGAAGTCCAACATCTCCACGGTGGATTTCACCAAAACAATCTAGATGGATAAACTACAGGAAGAGGAAAAATGTGTGTGGACGTGTATTCTCTCTTCCTTTTTAACCACATTGCGTTCATCAGACCCAGATACAAAAACAGGAAACAAAGGAGATGAGAGTAACTGGAAAGTCTTCCTACCTCAACATGAGTGTTTTGTACACAGAGTCTCTCAGCTGGAAGGCGTGGTTACTGACGGCCAGGTTGTGCTCCAGTCTGAACGGCTCCAACACGACGCCGTCTCGTACCGGGAAAGTCAGACGCAGGTCGTCGCTGGGGTTACCTTGAATGGAAAAACAGAGTTGGCTTTTAGAGTGTTTCCACTACAGGGACGAGGACATTTTGGGAGGAAGTCAGGAACTTAAACCTGCATTTTGACCAAAATAACGAGGAACTGAGTTTAGTTCCTGTACGGTAGTTAAAGTGGAAAACAAAAGTGAAATACTTCCTTTTGTTTTCTTCCATATAAATACTGTAATAAGAAAACATAATACAGAAACTCCCTAACCTGCATTAGAGTTACCAAGTCAATGTTTCTATCATATTACATATCACATTGAGATAGGAAAAGTGTATTACACAAAATCTTAAACTCTACTAACTTTAGGATAACCGTTAAGCTGTCCTAATAGAACAATAAAATCGGACTCAGTGTAAAAGGTTTCTATGCATGAGGATTCCTAAAGATAGTTGGGATTTAGTTTAACCAAATGGGGAAGAATCCTATCTTAGACACTTAACTTAATCTTAACTTAAGACTTAAGACAGGATGTTTCTGTAATATGTCCCCAGGAGACGTCTACCTGGAGAGATCAGGTGTCTGTAATTCTCCAATCCAATTACAAAACATTTACTTCCTGGTGTGTGCTTCCTGCAGTGAGTCTCACCTGTGGAGGGCTGCTGTGTGTTGATGTTGGGTTTGATGTCCGGTGGAAGGTAGGGGGGTTTTGTGTCCTGGCCCGGGGACAGGTAGGGAGGTATGGACGTCCCAGGTGTCATCGGAGGAGTGGGATTCCCTCCCATCGGTGAGCTAGGATACCCGGGCATCACTCCACCCCGACCTGGCTGCGAGACGGCGATGACGACGAGTGTTTAGAACTTCAAATCTTCAGAGTATTTCATGAAGTGTTTAACAAGAAAAAGGTCGTAATCATACGGTATATTTCTGTGTGTCGGTGCTGAACTGGACTCACTGACTTACCCCGCTCACTGCAGCCTGTGTGAAGGCATTGTATCCTCCGGCTCCTCCAGATGGCAGGCTGCCCTGACCATTGAACGGCTCTGACTGGAGAACACAGACAGGAAACATGACACTCAGCAAGCGATCCACCGAGCATAAAGAGTCCAACAGTGTTGAAGGAATTAGATCTGTTTTTTTTTTTTTATAGCTTCATAACTTTTTTTTATAAGACACAAAAACAGTGTTTAACATTGTTTCTGTAAAGAAAGGGCCTATTTTTTTGGTCAAGATTTTATATTCTTTTGTTATTTAAGATATTGAATTACACCAGTTAACACCAGTTTACTTGTGAGATTGTTTCTAAAGAAAGGAGATATTTGTATTTTTCATGTATTTTGTTGTTTAAGATGACCATGTAAGTTGCACTTTTTTATAAGAGGACACAAACTGTTATACAGAGTTTCTGTAAAGAAAGCACCTCTAAGATTTTATTCTACGAATAAAAGATAATTTTTTTTGGTCATAATTTGTCTGTAGCTCATTTTGATTAAAAAAAAAAAAACGTGAGAAAATTGTATTGTGAACAAAAAATCGTGAACCGTATCGAATCGTGAGTCGAGTGTATCGTTAACTTACTGTTAGTGGAACAAACAACAACTACTGTTAGTGGAACAAACAACGACTACTGTTAGTGGAACAAACAACAACTACTGTTAGTGGAACAAACAACAACTACTGTTAGTGGAACAAACAACAACTACTGTTAGTGGAACAAACAACGACTACTGTTAGTGGAACAAACAACGACTACTGTTAGTGGAACAAACAACGACTACTGTTAGTGGAACAAACAACAACTACTGTTAGTGGAACAAACAACAACTACTGTTAGTGGAACAAACAACAACTACTGTTAGTGGAACAAACAACTACTACTGTTAGTTGAACAAACAACTACTACTGTTAGTGGAACAAACAACGACTACTGTTAGTGGAAAACGACTACTGTTAGTGGAACAAACAACGACTACTGTTAGTGGAACAAACAACAACTACTGTTAGTGGAACAAACAACGACTACTGTTAGTGGAACAAACGACTACAGTTAGTGGAACAAACAACAACTACTGTTAGTAGACGCACTTTAACAGGAGCAGTTGTCCCCAAGGATTACGTTGTGGATTAAGGGTCTATTTTAACCAGGCCTGTAGTTGTGATTGCTGAAAAGACTGTGGGAGTGAAAGTTTTATTTAGTTTCTGTCCAGTTTGACGTGTGTTTTATGATTATTTGCCGCTGGTGGGTAGTAGTACAGATTTGTTTTTGACATGCTGCTCCTCGTGTTCTCCAGTAAACTTTAAATAATTGTGTTTGATGACTTTATGTTTGTTATTATCCAAATTAGGACAACTAGCAATTCATTTCATTACCTTATAATACTGTGGAGGATTGGGTTGGACGGCTCCGGGGGGGAACTGTGCTGGGTTGTGAGATCCAGAAGTGTACTGTGCCATGAGGGGCATCCGACTGGAGGGGTAAGAGGGTGAGGGGGGGCATCGCTGCTGTGGACCAGAGGGGTACTGGAGAGGCTGGTTAGGGTACCCTGACATCCCACCAGAGCCGTACTGTTGCACTGGAAAACCCTGGAAAACAAACGGAGGCAGGACGAGTTACTGAACTGTTTGAACGTCTAAGAACCACAAAACACTGACTCACCTAATCTCTGTGCTGACTAATGTATGTTGTTGCTAGGTGTTTCACCTTTACACTGTTTGACAAACAGAGCAGACAGCTGATCACAATCTGCAGTGGAGAAGTTCATTTGTAAATTACTCACTACACCCGTTACAGGAAGTAAGTGCAATAAAACCATCAAGAGTCACACTTTATCAATACACTGTTCAACAAGTACAACATTTAAACATGTAGAGAAGTGATATCTGCTCTGTCTGCACTTTCTACCTCTGCTATGTTTAACACAAGCTCAGCGTTACAAACGAGCAGAGTTTGTAGAAATGTATGTAAAATCAAAAAGATAAAAGTATTATATATAGAGAGAGAATATGAGCAGTGTGTTTGCTTCTGAGGAGAGGGAACAATCTCATATATATATTTTGAGGGAACAAACATCCACTGGTGTCTAACTGACCTCCGAATGAAAAGGCCGTTTGAGCCCTTGCTGTCCGCCCGGATACCCTCCGTGCTGGGGCATCTTCTGAGCCTGGGCAGGGTGAGAGGGGTACAGGCCTCCAGCAGTAGGTGGAGGTCCGGGCCTGGAAGAGACCATCCCCGGAGGAGGGCCGCGGGGGCCCGAATGAGACAGGAACTGGGTGCTGTAAGAGGATGCTCCACCCATCTGGGGAGGGAAAGGGAAGTACGACAGCAGAGAGTTCAGGATGGGTTCACAGGGTGCAAACCGTGACGCCAAGAACATGAGTCCAGGACTGGATTTATCAAGAACCGCACTGAAAGCTGAACTGGGACTAAAAACAAGGAGATATTAGGATGATGTTTTCTTTAAATTGTGGTTTGAACATTCAAAATAAAGAAAATATCACCACTTTTCTATATGTAGGCTTTATGAATGTGGGTCATACTCGGCCTTTAGGTTACAAATAACTGAAATCTTTTGGGTTATAAGCAGTAAGGAAATATAAAAATGAAATGTATGCACATTTTAAATAGCAGCTTATTAGATTAAGCTGTATGATTTATTCTAGTTGGCTTCATTCAGTCACATTGTTCCACACTGCCTGTATTGTGCCATATTGTACACACAGTTGTGATGTTGCAAACAGAGTGTGGGTATATTTCAACTGAAAACGTCTTAACTAAACCTCTAAATGCAGACTCCTTACAGCTGGTGTACAATGTATTAATGTCAGTAATGTCACCCAGTGTTTGGAAATACTCATAAATATTACTAATGAATGAGTAATTCAAATAAATATTTCCATGAAAGCAGCTTGTGTTTTTGTTAACTTTCCTCTGAGTGGTTTGGAAATGAAATAATCTGCACTTTATCTGCAGAGTTTGATTTATTATTTCAAATTGTTTGTTGTTATTATGACAGCGTATTGGGGGGCCACTGTGGGTAGAAACAACAAGTACAGAGCCGAGGAGAGGGAGGATAAAATGCTGGTTCTGGGGATAAATTCTGTATTTTTTTCAAGTATTTTCTTATTACTAAATCCAATTTCAAAGTATAATTTGATTATGTCATCCTCTGCAGGCATAATGCAAGCTACGGTGTCTGTGGTGTGACGAGGATGATACAACCTCGTGAAGTGAAGTGATTCCTTGACAAAAAGAAACAATTTTTCAGAGTTTTTTCCTCGTAAACTTGTGACTTTAATCACTTTGAATTTGATTTTTTTTCCCTTGTAATTTTACGACTTAAATCTTGGAAATTCTGAGTTTTTTTTCTCAGAATATTATTCCACTCCACTCCCGCTGTAATTTGTTTTTGTTTCTTTTGTTTTTACCATTGATTATCAACTAACAGCAGTTCTCCCACTGAATGTCTCTGCTTGAACACCATCTCCTGACTATTCCTAACACATCTGTAAACCTCCTAAAGACAGGAGTCATTTCCTACATTATAGATAAAAATGTACTCCTCGGTTTAAAAGCAGGACCAAAGACGACCAAAAAGTTTGGCCAGTTAGGACGGATTTTCCTCCTGAATACGGCCCCAGAACTAAGTAGTAAATCTAAAGAGTGTCAGCATAAAGAAGTTCTGTACACCGAGATGTTTGATGTTATACAGCCTTTATTTACCTTGTTCATTTTGAACTGGAATCAGGAATCTTGTACAGAGATCCTGACAGTGTTTGCTGCTAAGCTTCTACAGCGACTCTAACGTTGTAAATAAAGTCTATGAGAGTAAATAGTCTGGCAAAAGACAGCAGTGTCAAATTATGTGATGCCTCTGCTGTTAATAAGAGACATGTGTCTTGAATCTGTGTCAGCAGCAGAAAACCAGCTTCTGCTTTGCACCCCCCCCTCCCACAGTCCTGCAACCACACATCACAGCTCCGAACCAGACGGTGTTTGTAAAAACTGTAAGAAACAGCCGTTCCTGTCCTTCTTCGTTAAGGGACCTCGATTCTATCAGTGAGGAAACCGGCGACCGCTCACTGATGGAGTTTGTGTAAAATGGGAGATTTGGATGAATTTTGAGCAGATTACTTCCTGTGAATGTTGATCAGAACTGAACTTTTTATACGATTCTCTGTCTGTAATACATATTTTCAGAGTTTTTAACAATCAAACAGACTTAATAGGTTTATTTTTGGATAAATTGGGTGTTTTCTTCTCACTGTTCTTTCAGCTCTTTGCTTGTTTTCTAATGCAGCACGAGGCTGTTTATCAGAGAGTGATAAAATACAGGCCTACTGTGTGTATTTTTAAAGTTTTGTTACACCCTTTACAATCAAGAAGTCTTCGCGACCCCCAGGCTGGAACCACTGGACTACAGAAATATCTTAGACTTTGACTCATGAGTCAATAAACTTAGTTGAAAGGAGGAATAAAAGCCTTTCTACAGATAAGCTAAAATGTGATTTATTCTTTATTCTAAGAATCAGAGCGCTATCATGCCAATCTGACGAATTTAGGACTAAGATTTTACTCTGAAGGGCTCAATACACGCAGGCCTGAGTTGTGACTAGGGAGGTAAACTAAAGACATCCTGTGCGTGATGTTTAACAAAATAATTAAAAAGTGCTGCAACAGGTTTAAAACACATAAATCTGCTTGGAAACTGACATGCAAATGCACTGGATCAAGTGTTTTTTTAGCCAAAAGACACGACTGAGAGCAGATCCCATGCACTGAAACGTTTACCTGTCCATAGCTCAACTCCTGGTTCTGTTTCTCCTGTATGGCTGCAACAGTTGCCGTGGCAGTGGCAGTTGCTGTGGCAGCAGCGGCGGCAACGGCAGCGGCAGCAGCCTGCGTGAAGTCTGAGGGAGGACGGACGCCCATACCGGCACCTCCACCGTTACCAGAGTAACTGCAGGGGAAAGACGGGGAGATGAGTGGGCAGCGGACCCAATGAACCGAGCGTATGAGTGTGTGTGTGTGTGTGTGGTGTCGTCATGAGCGTGAGTCAGAGCGGTGGTTGAGAGCAGCCTCACTGACATATGTTGATGCAAAAACCGAGCAGAAATAGAACGAAATAAAAACAGCTTAGTGCGGCACAAAAATACACAACAACGTTCAGTTATCAGCATCGACACAATAACGTTCCTTACACACAAACTGATCGCTGTGGAAGGAATAAGGAAACAACATTTTTAGCTAAACAGGTGTTAATTGTGTTTGTCAGCTCTTAGACATCAGTTGCTGTAAATAGCTTCCACTGATCTTATTCAAAGGGACGGAGGGAAAGAAGTATCTCAAGAGGCAGTGAGTTGTTTGTTGTAACAGGTGAGTTTGTATGTGCTTAAAGTACTCACATCTCCTTCTTAAGTAAAAGCAGTAATAATACCAGTGTCAGAAGTAAAAGTCCTGTTTTCAAAGCATTGTTATTATTATTATTATTCATAATCCTAATTATTGATTAATGTGTTGCAGCTGGAGTTAAGGTTTTAATTTTAATTTTATTTTTTTAAATGCCTCCTCACAGAGCTGTCACTCCCGGGGTTGCTGGACTGTTTGGGTGAATATGTTGTGTACGTGTGTTTATACTCCATCAGCGTTCAGCACAAACACACTTTACGTTTGTTGTGGTGAAGCTGCTGTGTGTGAGTGAGTGAGTGTGTCGCCATAGCAACCTACATAGCAATCAAGAACCTACGTTGTTACGTTCTTGATTTGATTCACATTTAATCATAACGCCCGTATCGTGGCATCTGGACCTGAGTGACAAAAGTCAGAATGAACATGTTTCTGTAAATATATTTTCATATAAATGGAAGGAACGTCAATCTAAGTCAAGTTACATGTAACTTTAAAACATGACGAGTTATATTAAATAGTATTAAAATTCAATCTGTATCCGGACAGGTTAATGTGTTGTGATTGGACCACATCTGGAGGTAGTCAGCAGATCGTAGGTTGGTGTAAACACAAACTGTACAACGGGACACGAGGACAAACTCTTTCTCTCTCTGATGATTTATGAATTCAATAAATGTGTATATGTAACAAATGTTTTAAGAAATCAGGTCCATGGTATTTTATTTATGCCGTTCATCACTTTTAATTATCCAAATAATTTTATTGTAGAAAAACAGACACGTTGTAATATTTTTGGGGGCGACCAGCGTTTACTTACTGCAACAAACTGACACAATATTATTAATGGAAACAAAAGAATAACTTTTACATGAGGACGCAATTAATTAAGAATTTGTTGCAGACAGCATTTCTGGAGTTTATAAAGTTTTCTCTAACTCAACAACTCACAAACTCAGGGATTATTTTAAGGGAGTCTGATTCTGATTTGCCGCCACTCAGAATCACTCACATGCAGATTTTGCTCGTTAATTATCCGGATCGTATTTCAATACCGGCTGTGAAGTGAACAGGATATACCTTCCGCCGTAGGCTGAGGCGGGGTTGTACGCCGCACTGGGACGTCCGTACATGATTGGCTGCCCGTAACCTTTAGAGACAGCCTCTCCATACGACTGCTGGCCCATGAACTGGGAGCCCATGCCAGGACCCATACCGGGGCCGCCACCAGGCATCATGTGACCGCCGGAGCTCTCACCCGGACCCATGGGTGCACCAAACACCTACATGGGAAACAGAGAGAGGCGTTATCACCGTCACATCAACCACAAAGAGGTGAATACGTGCAATAATAAAGTCAATCAGAGACCGGATGGAGGGGGAGAGAGAGAGAGAGAGAGAAATTCACAGTGAGACCAACTCCTAAAAGTCACAATGAAAGTGAAAGTAAAACATGAAGCAAAAAGACAAAGAAGTGCAGGTTCTCATTTGGGAGAGACTAACATCGCAGTTTTATGACACCCAGAACCATAAAAAGAAATGAATGATGGCGTCTTGTAGTTTTTCTCAGCAGTTATGGTGTGTGAAATCGACACATTCAGAAGACTGATCCAGATACAGTTACACAAATTACATTGTAATCTAAATGACTGACGCCAGTTGATTGGACTTCCAGCGATGGGTTGGTGTTTTATTTCACGGACTGATAATTCTTCAGAAAGTTTCCTGGAAATATCTCTATAATTTGGTAGCAATTGTACGGAAAGCCCTTGAAAGAAAAGCTCCATTTAAACCAGAGTACAGACTCATTCAGGGCTGCAAATAACAACTATTTCCATTATCGATCACCATTTGCCTATCATATAAATAGCAAGGAAATTAGTGAGAAATGCCGGGTATAATTTTCACTTTTAACAAGATTTTGGGCTTTATAAACATAAATTAGGCAATAAATACTTTTCTACAAAGTATAAATCTTGTTGTTTTAAATAAAAATCTTTTGTGTTTGCTATTTCAACCTCCCAGAGTGTGTGTGTGCTGTTAACGCTCTGCAGCTCTCCTACATCCTGAAGAAGATATTTCCCAGGATAACAAAGTCGATAAAATGCTTTCTACTCCCACACTTATAAGTAGGAACAAATATGCATCACTCGGAGATGTTTGGGACCACATTTAAGAAGAAATAAATCGAGTAAAGAGTGAAGAATGAGACACACTTATAAAGCAGCTCCCTCCTACTCGCAGTAAAGTGTAGGAGTGACCTTTAAGAGCAGACGTCAAGTGTTTGTTTATTTCGATCAGTCACGTAGATTCAGCCCAAATCTGCTCCATTGATATCTGTGTTTCATTCTTCAAATTAATTCCTCAACTAGGAGCCGATGTTGCTTCAAGGTGCTTTTATTTGCATGTCTTACTTATCTCCAGAAACAAATGACACACATGAGATTAACACGTAGCTTCCAGTAAAGAAAACCAGGAGGAAATTATAGGAAATTGGCCAAAATAAAACCAAACTGAAGCTTGGAGGGAAGTATTTTATTCCAACACTGAGTGCCGGCTTCGCTCTCGTCACTGACACCTGAATTTCCCTTCGGGGATTAATAAAGGTTTATCTTATCTTATCTTATCCCTGAGAAATGTGAGAAAAGTGGCGCATGCTTAGAAGAATGCAGCAGCTGCAACTGGTCAGCTGTAAACCAGCACAGTGGCTCCCAACCCTTTTCCTTCCCTTTCTATCATTGAGTGAACGGACTCAGGGACATATTTTATGCATATTTTATATTATATTTAACGTATAACAGTAACGGTAGAGAACAACTAATCAACTGTACAATGAAGCCGATGCAATGATGACAAATGTGTGATTTGGATTCATGTTGAGCAGATTATTTCCTGTAAATATCATTTTTATATTGATTTTATTTTATTGTTTTATAAAGGATGTACCAATTACTAATTTAAAATGGAGTATCTACTATACCTGCCATAGGTAATACAGGTGCAGTCTGCACTTCAAGTACATGATCAAAATCAATGTAATGTATATGTTTGACACTCAAATAGCTCCGCATTGCATCAAGAAAATAACTGATAAAATATCAGAGTAATCTAAAATGCCCCACTATGTTCACCAGCTCGTCTATAACAGGTCGTGTACTGTGCGGTTTTTATAGCTTCTTCTCAGAAAGAGATGCTATGAGAGCAGCCAGAGGGAAACAAAACAATAAAGCTGTGGCCAGAACAGATAAATAATGAGCTGAAACACACTATAAAGCCCCATAAAGCCGAGCAGAACTGCAGATTCAGCAGAAAATTAACTGGAAAATATTGATTTAAGTCAAAAGAAATATGGTAGTTTTACCTTTAATTCATAGCTGTAGTTTTACTGTATCAGACGAATATGAGCCCTGATTTCATACATAATACAACAAATAAAAGCTTTTTTAATGTGCCGATGCTGTAACTGGTTCTGTATTGTTACTGCACATAAAAACAGGAGGAGATGAAAAATGTCCCCGGGTACTGAGACATGTGTTACCTGGCTGTGTGTGGGATTGGTCACGCCCCACACTGTGGTTACTACAGAGAGAGATCCTGGGTGCTGATTGGTGCCTGGTTGCCAGGAGACTGGGTCATTTAGGAAGGGGCCGTCACTGCTGCAGAAGGATATGAAGCCGAGTTATTGGGATGGTTGGGGAGGTTGAGGAGAGAGAGAGAGAGAGAGAGAGAGCGAGAGAGCATCCAGATATCACAGACAATGTTTTATCATTTCCGCATTAACACCATATTTGTACTGCAGCGGCACAGAGACTGCACTGAGGGGGAAAAGCTCGACAATACCTCATTTAGACCTTGGTGAGCTAACGATTAACCTGAGCGTGGTTTATTCATCCGACGGTTTCAGTTCCCCTCCGTTTCCTCCTTTCAACCCAACAGGAAACAACACAACTATCGTACCACATTTGCAGGGACATCTCTACCAGCGTAACAGAAGCCATTTCTAAACATCTCACTGTCCATTTTCTTCCAAGAATCACAACCTTACGTTGACGTTATTTCAGACATATCGTATTCAAACCACCACTTTCTTCTTTCTTTGTTCCTTCCTACAATCTTTTTACAGAATCAGCCGCATTTTCTGAGGCTGCTTGTCGGGTCAGTGAGTTGCCAACACATCTCTTGCTTTCATTGCTTTTTCCGGAGAGAAACAGAGCAGTCGACAGGCTTTGTGGCTGCGCTCAATTAAAGAGCGTTTTGGCTCGAGCGATAAAGATGCTTCCAAAAAGGCTGAACAGAGAAACACTCAACAGTCGATCGCCCAAACGCTTTGTAATTAAAGATTTGAAGCTGACTGAACCCTGTTTGATTAGTTATTTAAACAACAATCTGCAGAGAGACAAGCAGCAACTCCTCCCAATGAATTCATAGTTTAATTCATTCTTTTCTTCAGACCACCATTAGTCTCGTCTGCCTTGGAAGGTGACTTCACTTCGAACTGCCTTTACGTGCGTCACGCTCCAGTTGTGTGAATATATTCTATAGATTTCACTGAATATCCTGTTTCCCCTGCAGGTAGGTCATGTCTAGGTGCTAACCTAGATTTTCAAAAACTCTCAGGAGATTTGAACCTGTTGTTTCTGCACGTGGGAGACGTTTGCCTTCAGGGCGGATATATCCTAGAGACTGGCGGTTCTGTTCTTACATTTATTCACAGATCTGGAAAAGTCGCAGTTTCTGGACGTGCAGAAAGAGATCAATGGCAATGTCTTCATGCAGGGTTCAGATTTACACCCGCCAAGCACCAAATGCAGGTAAAATGTTGTGTTTGGTGGACAAATAACAAATAACAAGGGTTCAGTAACCAGGGGGCCGGTTAATAATGTGGAATCTCAGCTTAGGCTCAGGTTTACATTACGGCTGCACAGTTGATCTAAAGATTATCTAAGTGCAATATGCAAATCACAGAAGCAGCAATTGTTGGATAAAGGTAAAATGTAGTAATGTAGTTCTGTAAAGACGCTCTGGACTACGAATCTTGTTCTCCAGATTTGAGAAAAAATCCCAAAAAATCAGTTTGCAGTTTTTTCAGTAAAAATTTACATTCAGAAACAAAAATAATCGTGAATAATATCGCAATGTCTGTCCGAATAATCACAGTATGAGGTTTTTACCGTATTGCGCAGTCCTGGTTTACATTACAGTGTTCGTACTGGTTGAAACTAATGTGACCCTCGCTGTCCACCGTACCGACTGTGGCGTGCCTATGAAAGCAGCCTACTATCTGTCACAACACGTACAATGTCTGTCTATGTGTTTGCTGTAAGAACCATCTGCGTTACACGTTATTAGAGACGCAGCGACACATTCCCGTTAAGCCGCCAAAAAGAAAACATGAAAGACGAAGAGAAAGGTTGTTTTTTTTTGTCTAAAGGATACAGGAGCTCCGAGATCTTGGCTAAAATATGGTTCAGAAAGATTCAATTCAATATATTGTGATACTGTAAGAAAGCGATTTATTGTGATTTAAACAAATGTAACTTTAGGAAAACTGTTTATAATTTAGCTATTTATTAATTTAGTTCTGTATTTATTTATTCTTCCAACCAGAACAGTGAGATCTGTAGTCGCTGTAACATCCAACATCACAGCCCTCAGTTTCCAACCCTGCTGTCTGACTGTTGGGAGTTTAAACACAACAATCAATACAGTGTGTGACAATAAAATGTATTCTGATATATTCGGATATATTCTAACAGCCCTTTTACCATTTGGATATAAACCTGAAGCTCAGGCTCAGTGAAACCAGGTAACCGAGAGAGAGCCGGACTACGTTGAGCTTGCTTTGTGCTACAAGCCCCCCAGGGTCCCGACAACAAACCGTAACAAACACACCACTGGGCAGAGCAGGTGAGGTTCACCTGAGGACACTGCGCTTAATGTCACTACAGTGTGTGTGTGTGTGTGTGTGTGTGTGTGTGTGTGTGTGTACCTTTGTGGATTGGGAGGCAGGGAGGGTTTCATGGAGTTGAGGGGGTTCATCGGATGGACGGGGGGATCATTAGAGAGCCCCCACTGTCCTCAAGAGGCAGCCCTAAGAGGGATAAAGACACACACATAAAAAGACTGTTACTCAGAGCTCATTTGCTGCACAGCAACAATTTATCATCACTATAGCCCACACTGTGTGCAGAGAGACACAGTGCCCTCCCACTCAGAGCCACTCACTTTAATCTGTGTGTGTGTGTGTGTGTGTGTGTGTGTGTGTGTGTGTGCGTACATCAAAACGTTAGCCTATCGCTGACTGCTGGAGCTCTGATACCTCTCAAAAGGAGGGGGAGGGGTGCTGGAAGGCTAAATTTAGCTTGCTGATTTCAAAAGGAATTTAAGAGAACAGAGATGTGAAGAGGCAGACTCTTCTTCTTCTTCTTCTTCTTTCTCTCAGCAGCACGCCGACGTACAATCAGTCGCCCCGCAAACACACGCCACTTGTTTTTTCGCTGCCGAGAGGAATCGTCTTCCATTTGCTTAATTTAATAACGACCCCTGCGCATTTTTTATCTGCCACTCTCCCCTCCTTCAGTACCAGATGTTTGCACTATTTTCTACACATTCCTCGTCCCCACTGCGCCGCCGCCGCCGCCGCCACCGCTCTCCTCCCGCTAATGATTTTCTTTATCTGACGGTTTCCAACTGACATGCTAATTTTCCAACATCAGAGCCCTGAACATCCCCCCCCCCCTTCACACCCTCCACGTTTCTCTTTGGTTTCCTTTTTGCACTTTGCAGATTTGGGTCAGACACCCCACATCTAGCGTAGGTTGGGGGGGGGGGGTTGCTCCGATCACATGACCGTTGTACCTGATTTCCCTCCTATCAAAAAGCACCGGCAGCTTCCAGACAGAACCTTGTAACTTCCATCACAGCTCAGCAGCTAAACCACACAAAGGGGGGGAGGTGGAAGTGGGGGGGGGGGACACACATGCAAGATGTCTGTCTCTATCAGATGTTGGAATTGAACACAAGCAGCACAGACTGTACCTGCAGAGGGATGACTGAGACACACTGTTCACTCACACTCTCTCTGTTCTCTTTTTGACCTCAACTTCCTGACCTGAAACTCCTCTTCCTCTTCCTCCTCTTCCTCCTCCTCCTCCTCGTCGTCCAACTGCTCGCTGTCCTTTTCCCTCTCTACCGCTCAGCTCACACGTACGGCTGCACAACGCATCGAAACGTTAGCGGCACATAGCGAGATAAAACAAAACCGGCATTATAACGGAGTGCTGCAGAGATAAAAGCTCGGTACGGAACCACAAACATGTCACATCGTTGTGGTTTTAAAATGTTGTTTTCAGGGAAAATTAAAATTATGACACAAAAATCATGATTCCCAACTTGTGGTGAATCATAATATGATTTTTTATTTGCAGTCAAAACACTGGAGACACTTAATGGACCCTCAGCTGACCCTCCAGACCACTGCGTTGTTTACTTTGGACCGATTCTGGTTTTTTTATCAGATAACAGAAGAGAAGTTGGAGTTCAAGTTGATTAAGATTGTTCTAATCTCCCTCTTCAAACCATACTGGAGCTTCGAGCTCATCATTCTTTTCATTATCGTTTGAATTGTTTTCTCAATTAAAAGATCCAGTAATATAATGTTCATTAGTGCAGTGTTTTCCTCACCTGAGAATGGCTAATTAATCATTTAGAGATAATCGGCATCAGCACATACACGTACAAAACACGACGCATTGGTATTAATTATAGTAGAAGGACAGTTGAAATAATTTGTGGATTTATCAAATTTTAACTATTTTAATAACTGATTCTTTGTTAATTGTTTACTATTTATTGGTTCCAGTGAGGCTCCTTTTCCTCGTCTTAAATTAAAACTTAAAAAAAGGAAAATTTATAATTGAGGTTTATTTTTTTTGTCTTCAAACAAACAATTAGCAACAGGCCCACCGAGTCCTCAACATCTGTCGTCCAACAGCAGGGCTGAAGTGATTAACTGATCGATACGACGTGACTTTCAACAGCTGCAGCTTCTCCAGTGTGAGAATATCCTGGTTCTCTTTATTTTATATCTTTATAAACTGAATATCTTTGAGTTTTGGACTGTCGGTTGGACAAAACAAGACATCTGGGAACATCTTCTCGGGCATTTTTCACCATTTTATGATGTTTTTAAACTATGATTTATGGATTAATTGAGAAAATAATGAGCAGGCAATGAAAACAACCTGTTAGTTTGTTGTGTACGTTTTTATCTTTTGTGCCGTCAATCACTGAAAGCATTCATACAGATGTCTGAGGCTGCAACAGGTAACTTTTCAATCATTTTCTCAATTACTCCCATTTCCCAAAAGGTCCTCAAACGTCTCGTTTCAGTTTAGTGTCACAGACGACTAAAGAAACCAGAATATATTCACATCTGAGAAGCTGAAACAGAGAATTTGGACATTTTTTCTTGACTCAAAATAATGAATCGATCAAAATAGTTGGAGCTTCATAGCTGACAGCTAATCAATTAATCATTGGAGCTCTTTAGAAGTCTATTTCAGAAACATCATCACCTTCAGCAGCCACCTGATCTGAGTGTAACAGTGTTCAACGTGTTACTACTGAAAGTCGCAGCTGTTTTGAATTATTTCCCCATCGACACTAAACTGTATCAGACGTTTTTTTGGAGTAATTTAACAGCTAATTCTGCGGCGTCTGTGCGGCCTGCTGAGACGAGCTGTAAGCAAACTGTATCTGTAAACAAACCCAGGAGCTGAGAACAGCATCGTATTACAGCTATCAGCTCCAATGTGTCTCTGTTCATTCACCTCCTCTCATAAAGCTCCAGGAAACTCAAAGAGCGTATTAAAGACGTAAACTGTTTGCCTCCCCGAAACACAACGGGGTCCATTTATAATCTTAATCCTCGTTTTGTTCGACTAAAACCCCCAAAAAGACATTAATTGTATCACAGAACGGAGGAAACCTGCACAAAGAAACTAGAAAACAATAAAAATATGACTATAAATGATCCGACCTTTTTCTCTAAAGTAGCCCAGTCCGGCCTCATTTAATGTCCTAAACATACAAACTGATTTTAAACTGGTTGCTGTAATATTTTATTTTTTTGCACAATCGTTTCAAAGTCCTGATACTGATAATAATTTGATGCTGATGAGCCAAAAGATTAAGTATTTCTTTATTTGTGAAACCGATATCAAAGTATAACTTCACAACATTCCTCATTTTAACGCGGCGGGAAGAGTTCTCATAAAATTACTACTTTATTCTCGTAATATTACGACTATATTCTCCTAACTTCCCCCCCAACAGCAATGACACCAATCACACAGGCTTATTATTAAATAAAGACATTCATATATTTCTATTAAACGTACTTGGATCGATATTCGGTATCGGCCGACACAAGTTCAGGATCCGGAAGGAAAAAACATAACGAGAACGTCTCTACTTCCTGCAAGACGTTATGGATAAATAACTAAGATACATTAATCTGACACAAGCCCCGCTGATTGGGAATCAATTAACTAATCAACCAACTGATTAATCAGCTAATAGCCTCAGCTCTAATTCACCATTTAACACTGCAGCACATTACGTTACTAGAAAGAGCGCAGCAGGTTCATCTTTTAATAAAAACACCTTTTTTTTTTTACAACTTTATATTAAAAATAACGTCTAGAAAGTGAAAACATTGGTCTGAATAAGCAAATGAGTGGTTGAAGGCCACTGCCGGATGAAAACACACCGTACAATACACACACACTTTACGGGTTGATCCACGGTGCACCTGCCTTTAATAAAAACACTAATTAAAGAGTCTCAATGGGACGAGAGATTACCGATTAATAGCCTCTTAAATACAGAAGAGTCATCACAAGAGGCTGATGTCAGTGGAAAGTGTTTCTCCGAGGAACGAAGGGCTGCTCATTGTGACGTGTGCCGGCATTAACTGTGATAGTGTGTGCTACAGGTGCCTGATTAGAGTGATCAGGATCGAGATCTGGGTCAGTGAACGCGTTCAAACTCAACCGAAAAGGATTAAATATACAGTAGAGATGCAACAATTAGCCAATTAATCAATTAGCTGACAACTGTTGAATTAATTGGCAACTAATTCTCAGATTTCAGCTTTTTATTTTCTGGTTTTCTTTAGATCTTTTACGACAGTGAGCTGAATATATTCTGACATTTGGACTATTTTCACCGTTTTATTATCGATTAATCGATAAAATGCTCCAATACACAGAGTCCAAACACTAATACCCTCCTTTATGTCCCTTTAAACAACACAAGCTGCACAGAAAACATCTGGATGCTCCAAGAAACAGCAGCAACATCAGCACAGACCCTCTCACAGCATCTTCCTTAAAACACCGACCCAAACTAACCCAGCCTGGCTCCGAGCCACGGGGATACCTCCAGGAAGAGAGGGGGGGGAACAGGCACTGTCTCCCCTCTTTAAACCCCCCCCCCCACACACAGACACACACACACACACACACACACACACACACACACATTGAGCAACTACAGCAACAATAAAGGGACAAGAAGAACCAGCCGCCCTCCTGCATGTGGACACATTATCTCCATTATAACAGGATGCAACCACCACAAACAATCTGCAGCAGGAACAGAACAAAGCCTCGGAGCTGTAGAGGAGTGCAGCCTGTCTGTCTGCCTGCCTGTCTGTCTGTCTGTGAACCATCACTGAAATAAAAGGAGAATATTTTCCGACCTACCTGAACGAGCAGCTGAATAAACGCAGTTAAAGTCGCAGTTCAAACCCTTTTTTTTTTTGTGTGTGTGTTTTTTTTTTGTTGTTGTTTGTTTTTAAAGAACATCCAATAAGGGATCGATGCTATAAAAACGTCCTCGTTTAGATAAGTGTTGTGTGTGAATTATCTGTCTCGGCTCTCGTCGGCTGGAAGCTGCCTGCGTTAGCTTCCTTAGCTCAAATGCTAACGTTAAGTTTTTTTTTGTGTAACGTCGCGTTACATTTACGGATAACTAAGTTACCCCCCCACCTACACACACACACACACACACACCACCACACACCTTCACAGCGGGGAAAGGGCAGCTATCCTCGGAGCTACCCCACCGATAAGTTGCCTCTTACCTGTTTGCTCCGGACGGATGAAGCCGCTCGGATGCTACCTAGCATTAGCCCGCTAGCTGGTGTCGCAGTCGGGCTAACAGACGCGGCTGCTGGATCGCCGCGTCATCGAGCGCCGTCACATTGATTATGTATTTAAAATTCCCCACACTGTTGGGGATCAATGCTGCTCTTTAAGTATCACCCGTTGTTGTTGTTGTTGTTGTTGTTGTTGTTGTTGTTGTTTATATGTGTTTATGATTTAAAAAAAAAAAAAAAAAAAGCTTGTTTGCAGTTTGTGTGTTTGCCACAAACAGCTCAGCACACCTTCCTCATTGCACAATGACCCTCTGATAATGTATTCATGAGATCACACAGGGCTGATGTCTCCCACAGAGAAAGGCTGTCCCTCCTCCTCCTCTTCCTCCTCCTCCCTGCTCCTCCTCTTCCTCCTCCTCCTCCCTCCTGCAAGTCAGGCGGCTGACTGACTGCAGACCAGAGCAGCAGATCATCTTAGAGACGAGAGGATGGGTGGGAGGGAGGTGAGGGAGCGAGGGAAGGAAGGAAGGGAGGGAGGGGAGGGAGGGAAGATCATGCAGAATGACGTCACCAGTAAACGATCACGTATGTATGATCCATGCATGCAAACACTTGTGTGTGTGTGTGTGTGTGTGTGTGTGTGTGTGTGTGCAGCCGTCAGTGCACCTGCTGTATATGTGTCACCTATCAGCACACAGACAGACAGACTGAGAGACAGAGAGAGAGACAGACAGACAGACTGAGAGACAGACAGACTGAGAGACAGACAGGTAGTGGTGGCAGTGCTTCGGGGCCCGGCAGTGAGTGTTTTGGAGTCATTAGAGGTGTCTGCAGTATCTAACCAGAGGGCAGTGCAGCGTGGAGAATAAAAAGTCCAACCTGCCTGTGTGTTTCAGACCTCTGTTGCCCTGGAAACAGGTGCCGAGATTTTCTCTCTCTCTCTCTCTCTACGCTATCCATATCACTCCCCACCACCACCTCTACACTCCTCACACTGCTGCTGCCTTGCTGCTTCCTCCCCCACGACCTGCCGCATAGTACAATCACACACACACACACACACACACACACACACATATATATATATATACACACTTTGCACACAATTTCCAATCTACTGCAGTCATTCCACAATGTCACAGGAGTAACTGACTCCTCCACGACACAACTGAGGATTTGACCCTGCTTTGACTCTGAGGCTTGAACAACCGTCAGTGCCGCAACAATCTGACCTCCAGGAGAGTAAAAAAATAAAAGGGGGGGAGAGAGAGAGAGAGAGAGAGAGAGAGAGAGAGACGGGGAGGGTTGAGGAGACAAAGAGGGAACAACTGAAATCAAGGAGTCAGTGGGAGTAGAAACAAAGCTGGCTGCACTCTCACATTGAAGAATGTGGATCATCTCGCACATGTAGTTTTTTTGATGTAGGCGAGAATAAAAGTGCCTCAGAGCCTCGATCCGGATTTAAAATGACGGGGAGGAAGGAGAGACACCTCTTCCAGGACGGACACACACACACACACACACACACACACACACACACACACACACACACACAGATTAAAGTGAGTGGCTCTGTTCATGCTTTTACACCAATGACAGCATGAACACTGTGAGCACACACACACACACACAGAAAGAGGAGTCAACGTGCATCCAGCTGATTATGTGGAGTTATGTGGTTCACCATACTGCACACACACACACACACACACACACCTATTCCACAACTGTAGGTGTTATCTTTATTATTCATGCGTTAAAGAGAGAGAGAGACAAAGACGGGTCAGAAGAGTCTCCGTCTGTCTCCTCACTTTCAGGCCTTTTTAAGTCATCCTCGTGTTTCTGCAGCGTTATGTGTGCATACCATTGTAGTGACTTCTCTTTGGCAGGAGGCAGAAACATTCCAGGGAAATGGCTGACCCAGAATAACACACACACAGTCACACTCACACACACACACACACACACACACACACACAGACACACAGACGCAGGATGACTGAGTGAGGTCCTCCACCCTTTTAACGGCCTGTTCTCCTAACAGACACATGACATTTCATGCGGTCTGTATTGTAAACGCAGTCGGATATCAACACACATGACTATCACCACAACTCATGACCCCCCCCCTCTAACTCCACTGTCACGTCCTCAAACTGTACAAAATCCTGATCCTTCACCCTGACGTTATCAGTGACCTCCCTGAGGGGTTCCTTACTGATGGATCTCAGTGTTATTGTGGAAATACAGCAGGTTTATTATTAAGATCATTTATTGTTGTTTAAGACCCAGAGTTTACTTCTCTCCCCGTTTGGAGGCACAGTGTTTCTGAAGCACTAATTTAACCTTCGCTCACTATCTTAAAATCTCTTCAGAGACACCCAACTGAAACTGTCCTTTCTCCCCAAACTCCAGGTTTCATTTGTCAGGATCAGAGTAAAAGGAATATAAACACCAGCTTCCTGCTTCCTGACGTCTATTACAAAGATTAATCCAAAGATGTGACTTTTTAATATTGTCAATATTCGTTTATCTGACAGCTAACAGTAACATAACAGATTAAAACTGTACGTACACAATTTAAAATGAACTTAAAATCCAACACAGAGATTAAACTATTGTGACTACTTTTGGTCCTTTTGTGTAAATAACAGGTTGGATGGAGTATTTCCTTAATTTTAAACTTTAAACTACTTGTAAATGATGTGAATATTTCCTCCACTGCTGCTCTGGCGGATGAGTCCTTTCCAATAAAAGCCTCCTGATGTATCTCCATCCAGGCGGCCATCTGTGTGACCCTCCATTTGGCCTACGCGATGGCGCAGCGGAGCTTTTTTTACTCCTGCTTCACTGGTCGAGAACAGTTTGTCGCAATTAGCATGAACTCCAATCATCCTTCTGTCCTTCGACCTCTGATTTTCATTCTTTTTTTTTTTTTTTTTTACAGCTACTCCTACGACCATCTGGTGCCACGGACTCAGCTCTTCTATTCTGAGCTCGGCAGAAATGACACAGATGGGTATAAATGAAGCGTTTGAGGCTCCTCAGCTCCGACTTCATGTAGGTTGTATTGATCCAAACATCTGCAACAGCTGGACTAGAGCTGTAAATAAAGCAGCGGTAGTTCCATTTTGTGTTTAACTCCACTACATTTCACATTGTGCTTTTCAGATTAATTAAATTAATCCAGTGGTTTCCCGCCTTTCTGGTTTGTGCCTCTTTCTAATGTTTGACACCCAAAGAGGTAAAATTATTTGATATTTACCCCAAAGAAGCAAAAATTAGAGTTGTTTTTTCTTCTTTTCTCTCCCGTTAATTATTCAGAGGGTAACTTTAAAGGAGTAATTATCATAATATTAAAGTAATTTGATTACTTTCCATTACTTTTGGATTACCTCAACACCAAATATGAGAATAAAAGCAAGAGAAAAGAAACATTGATAAAAAGTATTGATGATTGTACGTGTTTTCTATAAGACAACAGAACAATGTAACTTTAGAAAAGCAAATGGAAACAGAAAGAAAAACAAAAATGTTTAATTAAAAACATTTAAGTCTGTAATCCTGCTAAATAATCCTATTTTTAAAAACAAAATGTAACTGTAATCTGATTACATATATTTTCCTGTAACTGTAATGGATTACAGTTACCTTTTTAAAACTCAGTTACATGTAATCCATTACTCCAGAAACCTGATTATCAGCTAATTGTTGTGAAAGTATAAAAGTAATGCAACACTATACTGTACATCTCATGTCTCTGCTGTGTTTTCACTCTTTTAATATATAATTTAATATCTATTTTATATATTTTATATATTTTATATGACACTGATAGATCGATTGCACTGTTTACCTCCACATGCAAGTTTTTTATCTTCTTATTTATCTTATTTTAGTTACTGAGAGTTACTAAACAACATGTTATTGTTTGCCTGCAATGATAAATAAAGAGTCTTATGTAAGTAAAATGACACATTATTATGTATTAATACATTAATTGATTGTTAATGCTGACACATTAAGGTGTGAGCAGCTTTAAATGTTGTATCTGGTTTAAAGTCGAAGAATATATGAACTCTTTCCTGTTGAGTATTTTAATCTGTATCAATAATATGTTTCATAAACTGAAAGTAGTAACTATGGTTGTTAAATGTAATGGAGTATTAAGCACAATACTCTTGTCTGAAATGTAATAAATTATTATTATTGATGGTTTTGTGGAAACTCTGCTGTAAACTAATCACAGCTGGTTCACTGCTGCCATCTAGTGGTCAAACTCCACCGAATACACCTGGAACATATTAGATTAAACATTAATTTATTATATTCACAGACATTAATAACACAGCCACAGTTTCCATCATCTGGTATTCCAATCAATAAATATATTTATAATAATTAACTAAATATAATAATACTAGTTACATAATTAGGCATAAACTATAATATTGTACTTTCTACTTCACATTTATTTGACTTTAGTTACATTACAGATTCAGATTAATAATATAAAATAAAATCCACAAATAATATTAATCATGTCTTATTATTGGTCTATTATTATTATTATTATTAATATTATTATTAATATTATTGATAAGATACGACTTTATTGATCCCCAGAGGTAAACCCAGCAGTATCTAAAGAGATTAACACATTAATGCATCAATACTTACAAAACAATTATATGATAAATATTATATATATATATATATATATATATATATATATATATATATTAAATGGGTCATTCTGCATAATGAGTACTTTTACTTTTGGTACTTTAAGTAAACTAATATGTTTATATTTTTACTAAATTGTTACTAAATACCTGAATTCTTCTTCCACTACTGATTTTAATGTTATATATTTATATATTTATATTTATTTATAGAGTTTTACTACAATATAATACAATTTACTGCATTTGTATTTTATAACCAAAGCAAAGTTGGCATTTAGTAAAAATGTAAAAGTATAAACAAGCTTGAAATAATCAAACTAAAATACCTCAAACTGTGTTTTAGTCCTTTTTCTTTTATTCCTTTGTTCAACCATCTTGTTTGTTTGTTTTTGTTTGTTTGTTTTCACTGTTGGTAGCAATGGATGATGATGCAATAAAAGTATATTAAAGAAAAGTAAATATACTTAGTTACTTACTTATGTCGCAGTTATAAAATAATTGGCATTTTGTATTATTCTTGTTACTAAACATTGTATTTGAGTGCATTATCCATATTAGTGAACTAATTAAATGAAAAGAGCTTGAAAAGATCCACTTTTTAGAGCATTTACATAACAATGACTGTGCGGATTTAACTGCAGTTACCTACAGAAAGTCTTATATATTCTGTATTTATATATTTATATAATGTTTGTATATATATATTCTGTTTATTTATATTTATATTTATATATATTATGATGTTATAAAACCAGCTGCTGTCTCTTTAATCTCTCTGTAGAGGAATATAATGAGACAAACACAGTCTCTCCGCTGTGTCAGCTGCGCCCTTCAGTTTACTTTCGTTTTCCCTCAAAGTGAAAGTAAAGTTCAGCCCGTGAGTCTCCGGCTGCGTGTTCATCGATGAGCGCTGTGATTATTGATCATTAGCTCCAATCTGATCACATCTGGCGCAGTGTTTGCTGGACGGTGAGTGTTTATTAACCCAGCTGTGTGTTTATGAATGCGTGAACAGGTTTCACAGGCGGATATTAAGTAGGTCAAAGCTGTCTGCTGTTAACTGCTGTTGGTAAAAATCTGCTGTGTTAAAGATCAGTAGGACAAACAGCCAGTAACAGGACACACATGTGTTAGCAGCTACATGTAGCCTCCTTAAAGTCACACTCAGCTTTTACTTCTTGTTTGTTTGTTTGTTTGTTTGTTTGTTTGTTTGTTTGTTTTCACTTTGATCCGCTGACTGAAGAAAGTTTCTCTGAGTTTATCTAAACAGTGAGTTTGTGTCACAACCGGTTTGGAGCCAATCACGGTCACAAACACTGAGTATCGATCTGTCCTAAGCCCCGCCCCCTTCTCGCTCTGTGCTCCAATCACAGTTGAGCAAGCCCTCAGCTAATGTTAGCATAAGGCTAGCTAACCCGCTGTCTAATCCACAACAACACACAAACAACAACACTTTAATTATTAGCTACCTAATTACATCTGACACAGAGTTCATTTTACTCGATGACTTCATCAGGAGGTCAGAATCGATTATTGAGAAGGTTGATAATTAATCGACTAATCATTCTCACACTGACACACTTCCTGTTCAATTCCTGTTTCTGTCTCCAGAGATGGCCGCGTCCCGAAACCGCAGCGACAGCACGCAGATGAAAAATGTGCTTCAGCCTGACCTCTGCCCCGGAGAAAATCATCCGCAAGGACAAAACAGCAAAGAGAGCTTCAGTAAGGCCGCCTCCTCCTCTGGGTTATTAGTTCCCACAGTTTGATTTATTCTTGGGCACAAGATGCAATTAGTTCCCTGATTTTTGTTCATTCTTGGGCACAAGATGCAATTAGTTCCCTCATTTTTGTTCATTCTTGGGCACAAGATGCAATTAGTTCCCTGATTTTTGTTCATTCTTGGGCACAAGATGCAATTAGTTCCCACAGTTTGATTTATTCTTGGGCACAAGATGCAATTAGTTCCCTCATTTTTGTTCATTCTTGGGCACAAGGGGCAATTAGTTCCCACATTTTTGTTCATTCATGGGCACAAGGGGCAATTAGTTCCCACATTTTTGTTCATTCTTGGGCACAAGATGCAATTAGTTCCCTGATTTTTGTTCATTCTTGGGCACAAGGGGCAATTAGTTCCCTCATTTTTGTTCATTCTTGGGCACAAGGGGCAATTAGTTCCCTCATTTTTGTTCATTCTTGGGCACAAGATACAATTAGTTCCCTCATTTTTGTTCATTCTTGGGCACAAGATACAATTAGTTCCCTCATGTTTGTTCATTCTTGGGCACAAGGGGCAATTAGTTCCCTCATTTTTGTTCATTCTTGGGCACAAGGGGCAATTAGTTCCCTCATTTTTGTTCATTCTTGGGCACAAGGGGCAATTAGTTCCCTCATTTTTGTTCATTCTTGGCACAAGATGCACTTAGTTCCCTCATTTTTGTTCATTCTTGGGCACAAGGGGCAATTAGTTCCCTCATTTTTGTTCATTCTTGGGCACAAGATGCAATTAGTTCCCTCATTTTTGTTCATTCTTGGGCACAAGATGCAATTAGTTCCCTCATTTTTGTTCATTCTTGGGCACAAGGGGCAATTAGTTCCCTCATTTTTGTTCATTCTTGGGCACAAGGGGCAATTAGTTCCCTCATTTTTGTTCATTCTTGGGCACAAGGGGCAATTAGTTCCCTCATTTTTGTTCATTCTTGGGCACAAGATGCACTTAGTTCCCTCATTTTTGTTCATTCTTGGGCACAAGGGGCAATTAGTTCCCTCATTTTTGTTCATTCTTGGGCACAAGATACAATTACTTCCCTCATTTTTGTTCATTCTTTGGGCACAAGATACAATTAGTTCCCTCATTTTTGTTCATTCTTGGGCACAAGATGCAATTAGTTCCCACGTTTTGATTAATTGTTGGCACAAAAAATGTATTAGTTGACAACTAATTGACTAATCGTTGTAACTCTTGCTCACAATGACTCACTTCCTGTTCACTGTTCTGTCTCAGAGGCGGTCGGGCAGCGTGACAACGGCAACGTCAGCACTCAGGAGGGAGATCTGATTCAGTTTGGTGACAAGCCTGAAAAGTGTCAGGAGGATAAACGTGAGCATGATAGAGAGCAGAACTGCAAAGAAAGTGCACATCAGGCTGCATGCTCCTCCTCCCTCTTCTCCTCCTCCTCCTCCTCTTCCTCCTCGGCACCCCCCAGTTCCGGGGCTGCAGGTCGGAGGCAGTCAGAGGGCGCCGAGCCGGTGAAGGAGGACAGAACTTCCTCATGTTGTCGGCTGGAAGACCTGAAGCGTCTCCCACAGTTCGCCAACAAGTTGGGACCACTCAGCTTCAGCCCGACACACACCGTCCTCATAGACGTAAGTGTTTACTCTTTCTCTCAGGTGCTGGAGAGTAACTAAGTACATTTACCCAAGTACAAATTTGGGCTTCATTATATGTTTGTCACATGTTTTACCTGCAGCTTCTGCAATTTGCATATTGTACTTCATATAATATTTTGATTAATTGTGCAGCCTTAGTCTCAGGAGACGTTTTACTACAGAAAAAGTACTTTTATTTTGATACTTTAAGTACATTTTGCTGATAATACTTCTTCACAATTACTTAAACAAGATTAAAAATGTTGGACTTTTCACAGTAAGATATTATTTCCTCCCCCAGGTGCATTTTTTCAACTGTGAAAAAAAACTTAAGACCCAGGATGGGAGAGACATGTGGTACAGTACGTTTGTGAAAATGCCGACTTCACCAGCGAGTTTCATGACCAAGACTGGATTCATGAAGGTGTGTTTGAATTAAATCACCTGTGTGTCGATGTAGATCTGTAAATAATAAAGTACTGATAATAATAATCCAATGCAAGTAACGACACATAATGTATAAGACTGACCTCTTTCTGTCCACAGGGAACCACCAAGGTGAGGAGGTGGGACGGGATCACCAAGCAGCTCAGCCGTCTGGCCGGCGAGAAATCAGTGAGCGTCAGTAAACTGAAGGTCGGTTGGCGGCACATTTTAACACTAATCTGTCTGTAAGAAACATCACAACACAACCTTACTCTTTCAAACTCTCTCTCATTAGGAAACTATCATCAGCATTAACCCCAAGTATAAAGATGAATGGTCCTTTGATGCCCTGTCTGAATTTGTAGAGGTCAGTGTCCACACTTTAGATTCATCAGAGACCGACTCTAAACCCTCTAATGATAAAAATATATTTCCTTTCCAGCGAGTCCCGAAAACAGACAATTACTTCGGCGAGCTGTTTCCAAAGATCGCTGCGTTGGCTTTAAAGCTGCCTGATTATGTGACTAAGGTATGAAACCACCTGTATGTGACTCACACTGATGATGATGATGATGATGATGATGATGATGATGATGATGGTGGTGATGAGTGTGTGTCTGTGTTTTCAGGCCATCCCGCTGCTCCAGAGCGGACATCCAGCGAGCATCACTCTGTCCCAGGTTCAGATATCCTGCCTGCTCGCTAACGCATTTTTCTGCACTTTCCCCCACCGCAACGCCACCGCCTCCAACGCAGAGTACCACAACTACCCCAGCATTAACTTCTCCAGGTGAGGAAGCACAGTATTACACACCCTGCACATACAGCATGTACACTCTCTGTTCTGTGTCTGTTGGTTAACTCTGAGCTCTCATTCTGCATGTAGTCTGTTTGGGAAGCGGTCAGAGCGGAAGAAAGAAAAGCTGAGGGCCATCATGCATTACTTTAAAGTGGTTACAGATGAGAGTGAGTTAAAGCACCTCTTCCTCCTGTTTGTGAGACGCCTCAGTGAAGATCTGTGACCTCTGTTGATGTCTTTACAGGCACGAAACCAGAAGGACTGGTGACGTTTGAGAGGCGTTGCCTCAGACACGCAGACCTGCCCCACTGGAAAAGGTATAATAATAATAATAATAATCTATATTTATGGAGCAAAAATCAACAAATTAGTTCAGTGGTTCCCAAACTGGAGGTCGGGGCCCCCACTAGGGGTCGCAAAAGCTTCACAGGTGGTGTAAGAAGAACAGCATTTTGTCTAATTCTGTGAAGAAAATGGGTGATTGTTAAAAAATAACCTCTGATGGGATATTAACACAACACATATTTTACACAAACTTCCTGCAGTTACTGAGTTCACTGTTTGGGTTCATTGTTCAGCTTATCTGCTGTTCTCTACTGTTAATATCTATAAAATATGTCAGTGAGTGAGGGGGGTTGGGAATTACAATTTTTTTTTTATAAAATTGATGTAAACAATTGTAGTAAGATAAAAGAAAAGACAATTCACACATATAAAGGGCCATTGTGTAACATTTAAGAGGTTCTATTGGCAGAAATGTAATATAATATTTGTAGGTATGTTTTCATTAGAAAATAAGAATAAAATAGGAATCATTGTGTTTTTGTTACCTTAGAATGAGACGTTTTTATCTACAGAGGGAGCGGGTCCTCTTCTGGTCCGCCATGTTTCTACAGTAGCCCAGAATGGACAAACCAAACACTGAAACCAAATTCATTACACAGGTGTTACCAATGATAGTTGAGCTTCAATCAGTCAGAGTGCTGCTAATGTGCATGTCGGCTCACTGGAGAGGCTCTGCCACACTAAATGGAACAAAGCCTTAATTAGTATCATTGGTAACACCTTTAACTTTACTATTTGATGTCAAAATGGCTGCTGTGAAAAAGGTCTATTGGTGATGTTGGGATATTTCAGTTTGGACCAAAGTGGTGGACCGACAGACTGCCATCCATGTAGCCTGCTAATAAACTCGTCTTCTGAATCCTTGTTGGTGGAAATGTATCTCTCTTTGGTGTTTGTGTCGTAGCTGCGAGGAGACGATGACTAAACTGCACGTCACATCCCAGGGCACCATCGAGACTGAAGGTACAGGCCTGCTACAGGTAAGATCTGACCCACAGTGGCGACGAGCTCCAGATGTTTTAATCCAGAATCCATTTATATATATATGTGTGTGTGTGTGTGTGCGCGCAGGTGGACTTTGCCTCCAGCTGGATAGGTGGAGGTATTCTCGGCGATGGTCTGGTGCAGGAGGAGATCCTGTTCCTCATTAATCCAGAGCTGATCGTATCTCGCCTCTTCACGGAGAAACTCAGCGACAACGAGTGTCTGATCATTACAGGTACAGGTCGTAATAAAGTCGATTAATCGATCAGTTATTGTCAATAACAGAAATTAATCAATGGCAATCGAGCTGGAATCAGCAAACATTTGACATTTTTGCTTGAAGAATGACGATTAATTGATCAATCGTTGCAGCTCTACGTAGAACCCGGATGAAACCTGTTTGTACAAAGTCGATGTGATTGGATAGTTCTGTGTTATTTCACCCTGACTGGTTGTTTGATTCAGTCGGTTGCTCACAGACACATTTTTTAAAGAACTAAACAATTAAACATTGTATTAGACATAACAATTGCAGCTTTAAAGCTACAAGAAACTTGTTGATTCTGATTAGAAACACTACTGTGTTTGTCCACAGGGGGCGCCACAATCATCACAAAATGTTCCTTGTAGCATCTTTGAGTTAAAGATCTGAGCACTTTTCCCACCACTGCTCCCAAAAATAGCACCAAATGTGGATTAATCCGCCGCTGAAAATAGTCCCCAACCAATGCTCTGAAACTAAATGAAAGTGCATTTCTGTGAGTGTTTTTTAAAGATTTACGTCTTCAGTAGGAACCAGTGAGCTCAGAGATTGGTGTTTAATGTTTCATCACAGCAGCCTGACAGAACATGTGTGTGTTTCTCAGGCTGTCAGCAGTACAGCCGTTACTCTGGTTTTAGTGACAGCTTTGAGTGGGGGGGGCCTTATGAAGAGCACCTCAGAAGGTACGTTCATGTTTTTTCTCGATCTTGAATACGATCTTGAATATGATTTTGTTGGTTGGTCCTATTTTTCCTGACTTGAATCCAGGGTTTGTTTGTTGGCTGTATAAATATAAACTGGGTCTTTACAGAGACGAGTGGAAGCGGCTGCAGAGGCAGATCTTAGCCATCGATGCTCTGCACTTCAGAAACTGGAGGGACCAGTTCACTATGAGCAAGGTGACCCGAGAGCTCAACAAGGTGAGTTCTTCCTTTGAAAGCGACGGTGGGTAAAGACAAAGTGTATGAGCTGTTCAAATGATCCCACGTTTGAGAGGAAGGCGGATAAAACGGATGTTTTTCAAAGGCACTTCAAGTTTCCGAAGAGCAGACAGTGTCTCACTTGCAGGATTTCTGAACCGAATAAACCTCAAACCTTGTATATTTCTCATTTTTACATGATTTTATTGTGTCCCTGAAGGCATACTGTGGATTCAAGGGTCATGGGTACAATGAGCCAGACATCGCCACGGGAAAGTGGGGCTGTGGAGCTTTCAACGGAGACCCACAACTCAAAGGTACGACTTAAGTGTTTCCAATCCATTGATCCATCGATTGATTTCTAACTAACACTGTTGCATTTAATTTGAGCTTCCTCTTAATGTCCGTGTCCAGCTGTGATCCAGCTGATGGCGGCTGCAAAGGCAAAGAGAGGACTGGCCTACTTCACCTTTAAAGATGAAGAACTGAAGCAGGGCCTGGAGCAGATCCACCGCCTGCTGGTCACAAGCGATACTACAGTCGGTGAGTGTTTGCGGGACAGAAAACTCCTCAGATTGTTGCTCGAGTTTCTAACGTTTCCCATTCGCTCCTCCGCAGGGAAACTGTTCCATATACTGGAGGACTTCTGTGCTGTTCAGAGCACGTCGGCCTCACGTGAGGATCTGTTTAAGTTCATCAGCAGCATTGTCAGACCTTCCAGGAGTCAGCTGTAAAGGACTCAAATCTGTCAGGAATCTTTTATAACAGAAATGAAGACGTACCTGCTTAAATAAAGATTATAATTCTTTGCATTTCTAGCTTAACTCGACATTTTTACACTTAAGAGCTACAGCTGGAGTCGAAGCAGAGGATGTAGATTTGGTTGTGGAAGTGGACGAAGGCAGTTAAGGGTTATAATAAACTGTAATTTGTGATCCTGGGATGAATAAATAAATTCCTTTGAAAAATGTAGTGTGAGAATTTCAGTCTCTCTTGACTGAACTGTGATAATTAAAGTGAATCAAGATCAAATGTTTGTAATAAGTGAAGTACATACTGTATGATTTACAATGACTACATATACTGTGTAACTGCTAATAAAAGATGACACAGCAGCACCCTTCAACAGGAACTATAATCTTCATTTATTGAAAACAATAAAACATACAACACTGTATGAAAATAAATACATTCTTCCAATCTGAGGAGCTGAGGAATCCCATCGTGTCGTTACACACTGCTGTCGCTGGCATGATTTCTTTATCTAAATGAAACACGGTGTGTAATTTCAAGTAATCTGTCACATTTGGCACAAACGGGGACGTTTACGGCGACCGCGGCAGGACGGCGAGTGAAACCCCGGAGGAGGAAATAAATAGAGATTTGGGAAGAATTGAAGCAGAATATGTGAAGAATGGAAAAAAAAGAAGAGGTGTGTTTATGTTAGATGAAGATACAGCGAGAGATAAACAACCCTTAAAGTCACTGAGAAATATCTGACACAGAAGGCAGACAAATATAATATAAAGCCTTTTTATTCTTACTGCAACCATTCAGTTGTTGATCTGTTTTCACCAATCTCCGGTTGTACACGCTGCAGGGTTGCCAGGTCTCATGTGGTCACTGTAAATCCAGTTTATAGGAACAGACATTTTGGGAAATTTATTTAGCGGCCGAGGAAGACGAGACCACAGCAGATCAACAATACATTGAAATGGTATTAAAGGTGGCGGTTTTAGCAACTATTAAAGCGGAGCGCCACCATAAACTGAGTTATATGTCTCAACACGCCCTCTACTGCTTTAAATCACCCTGAATGCATAGAGTCGACCACTCACAGGAGGTTACGCAAGCTGTTGCTAACCCTCTATATTGTATGTTTATATTGTGGCGCAGTGGTTCGGACTTTATGAGCTGTAGAAGCACACTGACACACACACATACACCGGAGAGTTAACCGTTTGCTTATCTACAAACAGGTAGCACGCAGAAACTTTTACAAATGGCGTGAATGTGCTTCTAGTGACTTTAAAAGTCTTGACAGCAGCTGCTCTGTTAGCTCTGACTACCAGCTCGCTGTTTCTGCTACACTGCTGTGGTCAGTCTGTCGAGGCCCCGCCCCCTAAAGTCTCCGTCCTCTGCAGGTCTCTGATGCAGAACTGAAGGGTGTAGTTACACTTAAACGTGTGAATTAGTGAGCTTTGGACGGAGCCAGGCTACATGTTTCCAGTCTTTTTGCTAAGCTAAGCTAAGCTAAGCTAACTGATCTCATCTAACTCTCAACACATGAATAAGCTAATTTCCCAAAATGTCAAACCATTCCTTTAAATGTGCGCATCATTGTTCTTCCTCTGGCTGTCCGAATGGATCGGCCATATAAATGAATTGAAACATTTATTCAGCAGGTGACGGATGCAGGATTTCAGCAGGATGTGCGGAGCAGAGCAGGGTGACGTTATTTTATAATTAACTAAATAAAAGCAGATAAAAACGGGTTTGTCTTACAAATTAATAGTGTATAAATTCATACATTCAATGCTATAATAGTGTCCATCACTGTGAACATGAGGTCTTCACGGTAACAGTGTTAAAGTCATTGTGCGTCTTTTGAAGATTACGCCTGATAACAGGTCTGATATGTTCGTATATTTGAGGAAAGAAAAACACATCAATGCAAATTGTAGGCGAAGGGTTAAAGCTCGACAGGCGGGTGTGTGTGACTGTTACAGTTTCCCTGAGAACGCCTCCAGGTCGAGGGCCGTGTCCAGTAGACGCTGCAGCTCCGTGAGGTGAGTTTGCTTGTTCCCAGTAGCTGGAGCTGCTGCAGGATCACGACCAGCATACCTGCAAACACACACACACACACATATGAGCACATGCACACACACTCAGAGTGCAGGTAACTTGCTGAAAGAGTCTTTCTGGTGAGCTCACCAGACGGGGCGGGTGTGGTTGATGGTGGTGCGGATGCGGGGCTTGACGTAGTGGTAGTAGCCCTGGTTCTTGTGCTCTTCCTGACACCACACCAGGTCGGCGTTTAGATAACGATCGGTCTCCGCTTTCACCAGATCGAACGGGAACGGTGAGAGCTGAACAGAGAGAGAGAACAATCTGATGTTAATCATAAGAACTAAAAACTACAGGTCCCATAATTTGTGGGCTTTGGGACGTAAACAGGAAGTATAATCAGTTAGCTGTTGGCTACAACTTGTTCTTCAACTTTTATTTGTTCATATTTTGGTAAACCGGCTCCATAAAAGTTTGCAGAGTGAGCTGTAAGTTCCTGTTTGCAGTGTAACCATGGATGGATTAAAGTTCTGGGGTATAAGGAGACTTTTTTCTATGATTTCGATGCAGATTTATGAATGTTTATTTGCTAAGATAATTAAATGTATTTAAATATATATTACGACTCCGGATTTTAATGCAAGTTGCTGCACACACGTCCTTATTCAACTTTAATTTATGAGCTTTATTGGCTTGAAGAGACAGAGCTTATAATGCCAAAGCAAACAGATATTAATTGTTATAATAACAATAATTATAAATGTGTGTTCACATGTTTGTACAATCACAAACCCCAATACAGCATTACAATACAAATATGTCATTAACAAGCAAGCAAACAACAAATAAAGAACAACAAGAGTCAGTATCAACATGAAAAGTATTTAATTCCCCGTCTGTTACCTGTTCGACGCGAACCACAGCCACAGTGTCGTCCATCCCTCTGTTCTTGCGTTCCCGGGTCAGTTCGTAGTAGATCTTGCCAGAGCAGAAAATGACTCTCTTCACCTTCTCCGGGCTGGCGGCTGCAGGCCCGTCGTCTGGGATTATACGCCTGAAGTGGGTGGCTGCACGATAACAAACACACCGTTACCACCCAGCTCGTAAAGGGAAGCCACATAAAACCAGGTGGTTATTTAAGAGTTTATACTTGAAATAAATAAAAACCTGAAAGAAAAGCCTCACTATCAGTTGAAAACACTCCTAAACTCTCTCAAACTGTCAGCAACACAAAGAGATTCTCTCCGTCAACACTCACCTGGCAGCATGTCATCAAAGCTGGACTTGGCCTCCGGATGGCGCAACAGCGACTTGGGAGTAAACACTATGAGCTGGAGTTAAAGAGATAAAGAGAGAGAGAGAGAGAGCTCAGTGACCTGAACCACATTGTCTCCGTGTGCTGAGTCACGGTTTCACGGTGTGACACTTACAGGCTTCCTGAAGGGCTGCAGGATCTGTCGGCGGAGGACGTGGAAGTAGTTCGCAGGATTGGAGCAGTTGACGACGATCCAGTTACAGTCGTACAGCTGACGCACTGCGAAGTCCTCAGACAGTTTCTGACGGGGGAAGAAGGGATGAACATTAGAATATATAACATTAAAAGATCATTCAGTCACTCTTATTATTCTTTGTCTTACTTCTGTTTAATTGGCTGTAAAGTTTCTATAAGAGGATGTAAACAGACAACTATCACTGGATTACTCTGATACTGAAGGAAACCTACGAGCGTGATGTTTCTAAGGCAAGTTCTGCAGTCTGAAGTCTTTTTTTCTAAGATTGTTGAGCAGATGCACTAATGATCTCCTCAGGAAGTGAAATCATCTGTATCTTGTCTCTGTTTGTGACACACACTCACAGGGAAAACATCAGGGTCATCATTGCACATCTGTAGAAACCTTTCAGGACGGGCAGACGAGTGCTCTGGACCCTGAGAGGAAGAGGAAGAGGAAGAATATATATCTTTATCACTGATTACAAGGTGGCATTACAGCATCATGTGGCAGATCAAACTTTCTTCGCTCCTACCATCCCCTCCATGCCGTGAGGAAGCAGCAGCACAATGCCGTTCTGTCGGACCCACTTGGCCTGACCCGAGCTGATGAACTGGTCGATGATGCACTGAGCTGTGTTATTAAAGTCTCCGAACTGGGCCTCCCACAGGACCAGTGCGTTGGGACTCGCCATGGCGAAGCCTAATTCAAAACCTGCACGCAGACAAGAGAGAGAGAGAGAGAGAGAGAGAGAGAGAGAGAGAGAGAGAGGACATTAGTGTTTGAGACGTCATTCAGTCGTCTCATGAAACACGTTTTTGTGAAGTCATCAGGGAGCTAATCATTCAGCTGTTAAACTCGTTAGCAATATTTCCTACCATCTTCAATTTAAATTTCCTAACATTGAGATTCTCCAACCACATGAAGTATTCTTCATGGTTCACCATTTCCAGCAACACTTAACCTCATAAGTGGATCAAATCTCTCTGTGGCCTTTTAAAAACATTGTGTAGCTTTCAGGGTTCCCACTCTTTTTAATAAATCATGAACAGCACTCACAAACAGTCATAGAAGCAGCAGTTTCAGACTATATTCAATTTGCCCCTGAGTAACAAATCAAGTTCAAATCGAGTAGAATTCATTTTATTTTCCAGAAAATGAATCTGCTATATAGTTAAAAGTGTTAATTACACGTACAATTAACATCACTGTGCATGTATTTATGCAGGGAGAGAACAAATAGACTCAATGCTGATAAGATCACTGCATCACTTTTAACTGAAAAACGCACCCAGGTTTACGTAGGCTATCTGAGTAAGGGGCTAAAATACTTTATTTCCAGGATATCTGGTCACTTTAATCCATTTCCTGGTGTTTCCATGACTGTAAAACTAGTCTCTAATGTCCAGGTTTTCTTGAGCACCGTTGTGTATATGCTGCTCACCTAGCACTCCGTATTCAGACAGAGAGCTGTTGCACACAGTGTAAGGAGCCTGGTTGGGGGAGATGTGGTTCATTGGGACGCAGATTCTCTTATCAACGTTCTGGTCGTGTAGAACATGGTGTCGATGGCTGTAAAGAAAACAGAATAATACTTTAATAACATTTTTAATACAATTCACTGGACCAATAAATCCTCACAAAAGAAAAATACACAAACTCCTAAATACAGAAAAACAAAGGTAAAGTTTCTGTTTCCTGTATGTGTTACCTGAATGTGCCCCTCTCCACATCCTGTCCACTGAGGCGAACATGGATCCCGTCTTTGAGCAGAGAGCCAAAGGCCATGTACTCCCCCAGAGCCCAGTCACACACCCGCTGATTCACCATGTTTGCACGACCCTTCAGGATACGACTCAAACCTACAACATGGAGGCAGGAACACAAGTTTAACCCTTTAAACTCTGCAATACAAACGGTCCGCCAGTGTCTACATTGGTATTTTTGCTTATTGTGATGTCATTTCTTTGAGTATCTTCAAATGCTTCATATCCCTAAAATCTGTACTACCTAAGCTAAAAGGTTATGTAAGTGAATAAACCGTAATAATTGACACAAGTATTGATTGACGCCTTCAACAAAATGATCTCACTGAAGAAGGAATCCGGACCGGAGGAAAGTGCTTCTTCCTCGTCACCGCCCGCGAACAAAACCTCCAAAACCTCCTCGGTTGAGTGTCGTTTCTTCGCCATCAAGACAAAACAAAGATAAAGATACTCCAAAATACACTGACTAAAACTACAACTAAAAACTACTGACTCTAACTATTTCTCTCACTCTCTCTCATCAACTATCGACCTGCTTCTCTCCTCTGCTCTTCTCCACTCGCGCCAATCCGTTGACGCTACCTCGTGTCGGCATGACGTTTTGCACGTAACCTAACGTAGTCACGTCACCTTGAGCGTACAATGTGATGACGCCAATGACAGAAACCTTAGCTTTCCGCTGCAAAATGAATGCTCTAGCTATTCTGGTTTTTGTTTTAGATCGATTTAAACAGGATCATGCAAACAGCGATCTCCCGTGGCCGGTTAGGGGCCGCCCGCGGGAGGTCTGTTTTGAAAGGGTTAAAAGAGACTGACGGCACGTTGAGAAGATATATCGTAGATAACGGAGGAGACGGTACCTCCATGTATGGTGAAGTCCTCCACTGGGACGGAGGCAGCGATGTTTCCAATATGGCTGAGCTCTTCTTCACTGATGCCAGTGGGAGGGCAGCTCATAGTTTTGGGTTGTCCCTCCAGTGTGAAGAAACCTACAGACAGACAGACAGACAGACAGACACATTACAGCTCCAGCCGTACAGTGATGAATATACATGTGATTCATTAAAGGGAAGAAATACGGCTCCTACCGGGCCACGGCGAGTCCAGCCAGTGTTTGATGTGAAGGATCTTCTCATCTTTGGAGCGATTGTAAGCTTCCTCACAGATTTTGTCGTACTGAGCTACTTCCTCCTGAAAGAGATGGACGCAAGTTTAGCATCTAAATAGGGATTTATGTAATTAATGCAGACGTTTTGGGATTAAAAGTGAGGTTTTCATTGTTAATTGCAAGGAGAACGATAACTTCCCTGGCTGCAGAATCAACCCCCCTACAGTGGAACAATGGACTGAGACAGATAGGAAGGAACAGAAGGAATGAAATGCAAGTAAAGAAATATATTTTTTATATGGAGATTAACACCTGTAACTCTGTATCGGGCTGAATATAAGAATAATTCAAAGACAACCTTTTATTTTCAGTTTTTTGTCCACCTGCTTTTATCTTTTAACCATCTTAAAAATGTGGTTGTCTTTTCAACATTAATTAACCTAGCATATAGCATATCTAAGAACAAGAAAGGAGACAGTAGACGGAGGCTTTCTCAACTGTTATTGGAGCTCAGTTATTGGGTTGGACCACTTTGTTTCGCACATACGACCTCATTCAACTGCTTGGGAAATGTCTTCAACATACAAATAATTCATTCACTTCTACTGTAAGTGAGCAGCTCCTCACAGCGGCTGCAAATAGATTGTCATTAATGTGTAAACTCCAATTCTGAGGCTCAAAACCATCAATTATTCTGTCTTGTTCCACAAAAGAAAGTGTTTTCCACTGACTGAAAAGTGAGCATTTTATTTTTACATTTGCACCAAAACGTTTTGGATTCTTTGTGTCAGATGGTTTCATTCAGGATGGTTGAGATGCTCCATTATGTCTCACAGACGTCTGTCAGTGACCGCTTTCCCCTCGCTGACAATGAATCCTTTTGTATAAAATACTGTCGTAACCTCATCTTAAATTTGACACACAGCTTTTTTTTGTGGTGCAAAAATACAGAATTTAACAGTTTAAAATTGTCCCACTATGCAGGACAACCTCCTCCACATACATGTGACATGCGATGCCGTAGCGGCGCAGGTTGCTTTACCTCGTACTCTTGCATTGTGATGACTCCCTCGGCGATTACTTTATCGGCGAACTTCTTCAGGACCCCTTTCTGCTTCTTGATCTGCTTGTACATCAGCGGCTGGGTGAACATGGGCTCATCCATCTCATTGTGGCCGTTACGTCTGTAACACACCTGAATGTGACGAGGCCAGAGTTTAGGTGTGACACATTTACAGTATTGACGGTACAGTACAGTACAGCTGTGCTAGATGCTGACCTGTGCTTAACAAATTACTATAGAGTTCAAATGTTCCAGTGTCAGAAGACAGTCTCGCTGAACCTCAGAGTTTCCCCATTAATCACCAACACAAGCCGCCACGGTCTAATTTGTTCCACCAGTTTCATAATGAACCAAAAATATTGTTTCCCACGCTTTTGAATTAATCATTTTCCAGGAGTTTTTTTGACAATACAGGACAAAACTTGCTCACAAAACGTTGTATAGTTTACCAGTAGGCCTAATATTGACTCTTTTTTTAAATTATCCAGTTTTTAGTGTCTCAGGTTTATTACAGGTAAGTGATCATCTGTTTTCACCACAGCCAATTCTTCCACTTGACTTCAGTTTTCCTCTAACTGTAACATAAATAAACAGTTCAAATAAAGTAGAATTTATCTTGTTCTAAGTAAGGAGCTAAATTACAATTAAAAACACAAATTATTTCCAGGATTTTTGGTCATTTTAATCAATTTTCAGGTGCTTAAATGACCGGAAAACTAGTCTCTAAATTTCCAGGTTTTCCAGGTTGCATGGGAACCCTGTTGCCAGCCATTCACTCCCCCTTCGAGTGTGGCCTTTGTTGAAGCCATTGGAGGCTTTATCTCAGTGGTCCACATTGAGTCTGACTGGGTTTCACAGATAGATACACATAGTAGTTTACAGTTTTAATCTGAGCTGCTGAATAGTGGAGTTTTTTGGGCATTTGAGATAAAGGAGTTCAAACAAGGGCACCAGCTGACCTCTGCTACTCTGTCCTGTCCTGTACACTCACCAGGTCTACGACCACATCTTTATGGAAAGTGTTCCTCCACTCGGCAGCGACTTTACACACGTATATCACGGCCTCTGGGTCATCCGCATTGACGTGGAAGATGGGAGCGTTGACGACCCGCGCGACATCTGTGGGATAAGGAGACGAACGTGCCATCCTGGGATCTGTGGTGAAGCCAATCTGTGTGAATGAGAATATTATTATTATTACCAGTGAAACTCTAACCAGCGCTCTCTCGTCCATTGTCAACCAAAATAAAGTAACAAAGGGGTTAAATGAGGGTTTAGGGAACTTGGCTGCTACCTTTATGATTTGGCGTGTCTTCCTTACTTAAATTAAACAACATTTTCATGCAGCTAAACTGGTTTTATTTTCAATAAAACTTCTGACTGAGGGAAGTCAAAAAGCTACAAACACCTCTGACTGATGCAGCTACTGACTTGAGGTACATTGAACAAGTAAAGCCAAAGGTAGATAGTTTCTCTGCTGTTTAAAAGAGATTCACCGTTATGAATCTTCACATATTTTTATCCTAGTTTAACTCTCTCGTGATCTATTGTTACATTCCTGATCGGTGTGTTTCCAGGTAGAAGTTCTCCTGAGTGACTGACATAAACCAGTAACACAGAGGGCTTATTCCCAACCCAGTGCTCAGTATTTTCTGAGTCATATGGACACGACAGCGTGCTAACTCTCAATCAGAGCCTAAAAGCACACCTGGTTGTTGACCACCACGTGTATGGTGCCGTGCGTGGTGTATGACGGCAGGTCAGACAGGTGGAACGTCTCGTACACGATGCCCTGGCCCGCGAACGCAGCATCACCGTGGAGCAGAATAGACATCACCTGTAAGAATCGTCCACCAGGTTACAAACACGAGCAAATGTGTTGTTTCTGTCCGTGTTTCTACATAAAGACCTGACTCAGCGTACCCGTTTGCCCTCGGTGTCTCCACAGTAGAACTGCTCAGCCTTGGTCTTTCCCTGCACCACCGGGTCCACCGCTTCCAGGTGGGACGGGTTCGCCATCAGGGACATCGTGATGTACCGGTCGCTGACCCGGTTCATCCTCTTGTGATACATCCCCAAGTGATATTTCACATCTCCAGAACCCTGAGAGCAGCAGATCAGGAGCATTCAGGCAGAGTTCGACAAAGCTTCAACTACTGATTAATGATTAGTTTGCATATCAATTAGTTAAAATCCAGCTCCTGAACTGTGGAAATTCACTGGAAATGGAAATATAAGTTTATTCACTCTGTTGCAGTTAGAGGAAACAGCGATACCACTGCCAGAAGACAGTTAGCTTAGCTTAGCATAAAGACAAATCTGTGTCCGTTCTAACTAATTACAAAACAAATACGTAGTTCCTAAACACTAAAGTTAAATATGTAAATAACAATTTTACATTCTTCAAATTAGTTTCTTTCCTGAATTTTTCTCCCTGTTACAACCTAAAAGAAAAAGTTGTGTATTTACAGTCCGTTATGTGCTGGAACTACATTATTAATTAAACAAAACAAGATATAAAGTGATAATTAGTGAGTTTTAGAAGTATGGGTTGGTGGATATTTAAGCTTTAACATAGCCAGGCTATCTGTTTACATCTGTTTCCAGTCTTTAATTAAGCTAATTGCCTGCTGGCTTGCAGTCTAACAGCTTACTGATTACTGCTGGAGCTACTTTAATCAAAATTTGCTCTGTTCTCAGCAGTTAATGTTCAGACCTCATCAGCAGCCTCCAGTTTAGAGTCGAACTGGCAGAAGATCTGGTCCAGCTCCTTCCGGATCACATTCGCCAGCACGTTCAGCCGGCCTCTAAAGATGGAGAGAGACACATCAGGTATAAGATGAGGTATATATGAGACACACACAGACATTCGTCAGGCATCTAATTCATAATGTGAGAACATAAATACATCTTTGTACTGTCAAAATAAAAAGAAAGGAACTAAATCTTTAACGCCTGACAAAATTAAACTGATACAAATAATGAGAAATATAAATAGAGATACATGTATATATAAATAAATATACATATATATATATATATATAGTTGTAAAAACCTGTGAAATATTAGTGATTTTATCAACATAAAGGGGCAGAAAAGAGCTCATAGTCTCATATCCAAAATGGGAACATCTTCGTAACCTTAGTATTAACATCAAAATATACTTAAAGTACCAAGAGTAAAAGTCATTATTCAGAATGGATACGGAATAATAACAATAAATATTATATTATTGGATTATAATTATTGATGCATTAATGTGTTCTTCATAATTTTGCAGCTGGGAGATAATTTTAATTATTTTATATACTGCTGGGTGGCAGGAAGTGATGAATAAAGCTTTATCTATAATAACACATAATCATTTATTTGTTGACTATATTTTTTATTATTAATCTAAATCTGAATCTAAAGTGTACTAAATAAATGTGAGGAAAAAAGTACAATATTTCCTCTGAGATGTAGTGGAGTAATTTGAACTATTAAGCAGTTTAAGACACATTTAAGCCGGAAATTTACTTTTAAGATTCTTTAAGGATTAACCTCAAAATTCTTACAAAATTGAGTTTGTTAATTTCCACTACTGCAGTTTAAGACACATTTAATTGGCTGAACAATCAACGATCTGGATGTCAGTCAATCGGTTGGAGTTCAGATGTCAGAAAGATTTGTAGGCTGGAGCACGACAGCACGTAATTATATTGTTTATTCACAAGTTTTACCTTTATCAAAAAACTGCAGCTTCTACGATTTTGGATATTGCACTATATGAGATAGCTTGCTGGTAGTGACTTGAGAGGGATAGTAAATACATCATAAATACATATTTACATAATGCTCTGTTTTGTTTGTGTTTATTGATTTTCTTTATCATATACTCATCCCTAATTTCTTTTTAAAGACCAAACAGCACTTTTGTTATGATTTATTGTAATCTGAGTTAATAACATTATAAAAAGTGCCTGCCCAGCTTTAGAAAACAGCAGTTTATGAAGGTAAAAGATGCTGTTCACCTGTGAGGCATCCCCATGATCACGCTCTCCACGCCGCTCTGACTCGACATGTCGATGATGGTCTTGAGGGCCGGGATGAGCGACTCGCAACCTTCCAGGCCGAATCGTTTCTCCGAAGACCACTTCCTCTGGAGGAACTCCTCAAACCTGTGAACAAGCGGGGGTGCTGTTGCTTCACATTGTGGCTCAGAACATCTACCGCCCCCCCATCGGCCGCCACCCTCCCCACAGACTCAGAGAAACCCGTCCTCCAGCTGCTCTGCATGCTTTCCCTGTAAAGGTGTGTTGAAGAATGCGAAGGAGCGCCGACAGACCTTGTGGATCGGATCATTCTGGCCAAGAGAGTCCTCTTCTCCTCCAGACCGAACTGCATGATTCCTGGTGTCTCAAACTTCTGTCTGATCCACTGGCACTGCTCCACGTCGTTAATGAACATAAACTCTACGCCAATATGCTGACAGTAGGCCATCTAGGGAGAGAGAGTGCACAATGTTGAGAGTTTAATTAGTCTAATCTTAGGGAACATGTGTCATGTTACATCTAGAAGCTGCACTCAGTGTTTATCTGTCCAAAGAAATGAAGGCAAAAGTTACAGACCCAGAGGTTTTACATGTCTGTATTCTGTACAGTCTGTACATCTGTATTTTAATTTTGGGGTAATCCCACTTTGTCAGCTTTAATCATAATATTCTTTCTATTGGTTTTGTTATATTTATCTTTTATGGTACCAGTACTGTAATAAAACAACAAGTATTTTTGCTTTGTGACTTTGGACTGAAACTCTGCATGAAAGCTGCTTCACAAATAATAATATTTATTACAGGAATGTGGATTTATTTGGCCCATTTTAAAGTATTCTACCTCAAGGCGGCGTATAATCTCTCTGAGAGGCAGAGCGCTCTCATTGCCTCCGATGAAAGTGGTGGTGGGAAGCCGGAACACTTTGTCCAAGTCGGATTCAGCGAGCCCGTAAAAACCTGTCGTAAAGACACTGACATGAGGAAAAAAGCCCACCAGACAAGCACAGGCAAGCACAAATCAGCTCAGTGTGGGGGAAAAGGGGGGAAGACACAGAAACAGAGAGTGGAGAGAATAAAGAGGAAACCACAGAATTTAAGAATTCCTGGGATTTGTGATCCATGCTGTTTTATTTTCAGCTGAGCAGCTGTCTAATCTGGCAGATTACATTTAGTCCAAAATGCTGCGGCTTTAATCTTTTATCTACCATCGTTTTACTGAGACGCTTTAAAGGAACCAGGGCTGCAACTAAAGGTTATTATTTCATTATCGATTCAATCTAAAAACGTCTTCAGCTTGCTTCTGTCGTCTGACCAAAACACCAAAACCTGAAGAAAAACAACAATCCTCATATTTACGAAACTGGAAACATTAAATATTTTGATATTTTTGCTTAAGAAATGACCAAAACTATGAATTTTATTAGACTAATTTGCTTAATCAGCTAATTATTGCAGCTCTAAGAGAAACAATTTATACACAAATATCAGTTTATTCATCTTTTGATTTTCCTGTGTGAATGTATTTGGATTTGAACTCCTGAACTCTGTTTTTGTTAACAAGGTACCTGACAAAAAAGTATTAATTATGTCTTTTTTTATTAAAGGAGCACTTTTAGTTTAGCACTTTCATGTTTCATGTTAAAGTTGGGCAACTTACAAATGAGAGATTAAAATAATAATAATGGACAAAATTGATGCAGCAGAGGCCAAATTTGTCTGACTTGTGCTGAATCTTACATTTCCCACAACTTAAAAACATCTTTAATTAGCTTCATTCTACCTGATATTTGACCATGTTTCTCAAACGCCACGCCCCTCTGATTACATCACTATGACATCATCGTGGTTACTTCCTCAGATTCGACCCACAAAAGACTTCATACAACCGTTTTTACAACAGTGCTCCTCATTACGAGTAAAACCGCCTTTGTGTCTAAAAATCGGTCACAAACCCCTTTAAGGAACATTGAATTTATATTTATAATCTTCTAATTATATCCTTTTAATCCCTTTAATGAGACCAAAGCTCTCTTGTGGACACTACAGACTCAAAACTGAACTGATTACAATCTCAAAAATAGTTGAGCTTTCCTCGTCAGGACCCCGCGGCTCTGGACTAACCTGCCAAACAAGATCACGCCGGTCCCGTGTCCTACTTTTAAACCTGGTTCCATGGTTTCAACCGGGGACTGTGGTCTCTTCCTTCCTTTCTCCTTCGTCTTTGTTACACAGTGTAAAACCTCCTCAATGAGTATTCAATAAACACTAATTATTATTATCATTATACTGTTATCTTATGGGTAACTTTCTTGGATGTTTTCTGGACACAAACATATAATTTGGTGTTAATTAAACACTTATTTTAGAGTTTTAGTTTAATTGTATGCATGTCGGAAAAACCCCAAAACAACCAATCAGAGCCAATAAAGATTAATTGATTGTTGAGTCTCATTCCCAGGTTGTCGATTATCGACACTAGGAATGAGACTCAACAATCAATTATCTTCAAACCACCAACCCAAAGTGTATCTTTATCTTTCTCTGATGGTTGTTGTCATTCGGGCCCGGTGGATTCTTGTAAATCCCGTTAGGAGCCACTAAGAGGAGCCAGAGGAAGCTGATATTTCATATAGATTATCTGTCTCATGTTCTACTGTCAGGAGAAAGAATGACCTACTGCAGCTTAAAATAAAGGTAAAATATAGAATAAAACAATAAACATTGAATCTGTTACAGTCAGAAAGTGAGGAACATCTGATCAAATAAACTTTTTTAGACTTTCTTTGAGTTTGTTAGTTTACATTGACAAACATTTGACTGTGCTTTCCAACAGCAGGGATTATTAAATTGAGCAGATTTCCTCCCAGAAGCAGCTGATGTGCTTCCAGTTTAAAGGACTGATGGGGTTCGAACTGCTGGATCTAACCCTCCAGGAGCAGGTCTGAGACGTAGCGTGTGTTTATCTAAAGCATGTGATGTTCTGGTTGCACCGAACAGAGATAAGACAATACGTAACAAAGGAGGGGAGGGAGAGAGGGTTGTATCCATGTCCGTGTTTGAACATCTCTGTCAGCAAATTAGTGCAGGGTGCCGTGCTGAGGACAGGGGGTTTTCAATCCAATATGCCAGAGTCAGCTCTCCTCGTTACATAAGGGATCTTTAGACTCCCCCCCCCGGCTGTGAACACACGGCCCGCACATAAACACACAGAACTTGTATTCTTTGATGGTTCAAAGGAGAAAACAAAGCGAGCCAACGCAGTAATCAAGTAGTGCCTGCCTGCAATCTAATCACAGTAACATTTTAATGAAGCAGGCACAGATAAGCCCGGATGAGTCCTGTTTGACCCCACTGGCTGCTGAGCAAAGGTTAGGAAGAGCCAACACACACACACACACACACACACACACACACACACACACACACACACACACACACCTCCTTTATACTGCGTCAGCCCTCACATTTCCCTCCCAAGAGGAGATGAAAGCCAACACAACCACAGCACTACACCTTTTACGTTAATGAGCTAATGAAAAACCACAGGAAGGTAAATTGAACTTCACCAGGAGCACCACAGACTGAAAGCAGCCTGTTAAGAGTTTTTAACATTAAAGCGCAGTACGCCACAGGATGTAGGCCCGAGGGTTACTTCCCCACTGAAAGAGCAAAGAGCAAGGGTTGAGGTCTGAGGTTGACGTCCTGCCTCCGATCACACCTTCACAATGAGAGAACTCTGGAGGCATGGAGAGACACAAACACACATACTGTAGGAGAAGTGTCGTCACACAGCTTCTCATTTACTCTTTTAGGGCTGATTCGGACCCCCCCCCGCCCCCTGACACCGAACTGTTGTTCGACCTCTGTGACCCCTCAGCGCCACCGGGACAAAGCACAACGCGGTGAAAGTGAACAATGCCACTATTAACTGTGGAAACATCCTATTACAGCTCATAACAATCACCTGTTTTTGAACTCAGGGGCCCCGACCTTTTCATTAGGCACAATGACAGTTTGCTGCAAGCGTGCATAACACACCACACAAACACACACACACACACACACAACACACACACACACACACACACACACACACACACACACACACACACTTTACAATTAGTTCTCTTTACACTATAGCGACGAAACTGACACCTCCATGTTTATTTAACACAGTAATGGGCACTCATTAAATATGTTTCCAAATCAGACGACTGAATTAGAGCTGCACAATTAATGGAAATATTATATATATTCTATATTATACATGGCTGCAGTCTCTTTGATAAAGGTAAAATGTGTGACAGCAGCATTATAATGAAGTACTGTAGCTCTGAAGAGTACGAAGGAGTATTAGGGCCAGACTAAGGGAGAAAAATATAATTTTTTGGGTGGAAATTACGAGAATATATCATGTCATATGTCATAATAATAAAAATTTAAAAAAGCTTTGATAGTTATTAAGATCTGACAACAGGTAAGCTAACGTAGTGATCATTTCATTGTTAAACACTTTTGCTGGCTGAGCCAAATGAAAGTTCTCATAAAATTACGACTTTATTCTCGTATTATTTTGACTTTATTTTCGTATTATTTTGACTTTATTCTCACAATGTTACGACTTTATTCTCGTAATATTACAACTTTATTCTTGTAATATTACGACTTTATTCTACAATATTACGACTTTATTCTAGCAATATTACGACTTTATTCTCACAATGTTACGACTTTATTCTAGCAATATTACGACTTTATTCTCATAGACCTAATATTACGACTTTATTCTCGTAATTTCCCGACAAGTCTGGCCCTAATACTCTGTCGTAGAAGAGAAATATTGTTCTACAAATGTAAGAAAACCCCCAACAAATGTCACATCATCATGTTTTTAGCTTTTTTTAGTGAACGTGATGCAAAGATTATCTGAATTATATCACAATATCTGTCAAAATAATCTCAATATGACTTTTCTACCACATCATGCAGCCCTGGACTGAATTCCCAGTCAAACTAAAGTCAGCCAATAAACACTATATTAATTAATAATGGCGGATTGCTTCCCAGACGTGTTAAAGGACAGGTATAGGAAGGGAGAACGGGGGTGTGTGTTAGCAACCATAAAGTGAGCTGTCTTATCTTGCTTCCTCAGAAACTATAACTTACTATACAGTGTGTACTGATAACATCAACAGGATACACACACATGCAAAACCAAATGTGACTTATTGTGGCATGAATGAAGACTGAGAGGGGCATTTTCTATACCTACCATACCTTCATAAAAATTACGGGAAATTACCGTTTGAGAAACCTCCAATCTTCTAAATGTTCCTTATGTGTCTAATAAAACCAGTGAGTTTAGTCTTTATGCCCCTAACCTGTTGGAAATCACTGCCTCTGAGGATGGCAAGGTGTTTTTTTATTGGAAATTTAGTCTTTTTAATCTGGCTTTTAATTAGTAGTAATGTTACAGACGTAGTTTTTAAGTTTTAATCATTGGTTTTTAGATTATTTGTCTCACTGGTGTTTATTTTTATATCGACTTTCGCCTTTTATTGTGTCTATTATATATTCTATTGCAACTGTATTTATTGTTGTTTTATTTCTGTTTTTATGTGCTGTTGTGAAGCACTTTGGGCTGAGTTACTTTTTACATTTTGGTATAGAAAGTGGGCAGGGATTGTCGCCAGTCCATAAAAACGCTCCAATTAATTCAGAACAAAAGTAGAACAGGAGCCAGAGCCTTCAGTTACCAAGCTCCTCTCCTGTGGAACCAGCTTCCAGTTGTGGTTCGGGAGGCAGACACCCTCACCACATTCAAGAGTAGGCTTAAGACATTGCCTCTTTGATAAAGCTTATAGTTAGGGCTGGATCAGGTGAGTCCTGAACCATCCTCCTCGTTATGCTGCTATAGGCCTAGACTATCGGGATTTCCCATGGTGCACTGAGCTCCTCCCTTTCTCTCTCTTTCTGCACTCATTCATGTTCCATTAATGCATGTTACTAACTTCACTTCTTCCCCGGAGTTCTTGTGCTTTCTTGTCTCGCAGGTTCTTATCGATCCTGGTGGAGCCTCCTGTCATGGTCCTGCTAGATTGCCATTGCCAATACTGTTGTTGCTGTGCACCTGTCTGTCTGTCTGTCTGTCTCTCTTCTGTTGTCTGTCTGTCTGTCTTCTCTCTCTCTCTCTCTCTCTCTCTCTTCTTTCTCTCTCTCTCTCTCTCTCACCCCAACTGGTCGAGACAGACGACCACCCACCTAGAGCCGGAGGATCTGTCCTAGGTTTCTGCCTTTTAACAGGCAGTGTTTTCCTTGCCCTTGTCTCCAAGGTCTTGCTCATGGTGGTACTGTTGGGTCTCTGTAATTAATGTTTTAAAGAGTTCGGTCTAGACCTGCTCTATTTGAAAAGTGTCCTGAGATAACTTCTGTTATGAATTGGCGCTATACAAATAAAATTGAATTGAATTGAATTGAATTGTTCTGGGTTTTTGCTCCATCATCATCAGATTGTTCGGCAAAAGACAAGCGGTACTTATTATTCTCCCATGGAGCAACTTGGCATCTGCAGCAGAGGAGCTACGTGTGCTAGCAGACACATTTTAATGAAGTTATAAACTCAAATGTACTGAAGTAAGAAGTAGATTACTGGCTCAAAGATATACTAAAGAGTAGAAGTACAGTTTAGTATTCGTTCTTTATAAAACTCCTCGTGTGTGTGAAAAAGAAGTGCTTATAATAACCGGATGTACCTTTGATCTAAATGCAAACGGCAGCATGATCTGAATTTCTCCATCTATCTACAACCACAGCCCTCGAACTAACAACCATAAAGCACATCGGCTTATCTTGTTGCCTCAGAAAGTGTTGATAAGAACAACATTAAAGACATCAAAGAATAAAAAGAACTGGTCAAATGCAGTTTAATTAAAATAAATAAAATGATGTTAAAAAGGCACAAGTTTGTAATAAGGCATTACAAACACTGTACACCTTGAACCTAATGGCTTTATTGATAAATTGTGTGAAGCATAGCTTGCTCTGTCTTTAAGCTAACTCTTGAATTCATCCAATCCACAGCTTCTTAGAAAGTCAGAGTGGCCGACTCTTTCTAAGAAGCAATAATATCTGCAGTTATTAAAGTTAGTGTATCATTAACAAACCAATATTTTATTATAATAATAGAGAAAGTCTTCTGTTTAAACATTGGCTCAGAACAAACACAAACGTGTACTGACTGCAGTTTTGCTCTAACCGTGACATTAAATTGGCCACAGCAAAGGATAAAATACAATTTAAAGTTGCCAGGACAACAATATTTGTAAGTAATATTTAATCTATCTCTAAATCTTCAGGTTTTCCAGGTTTTTCCAGGAACCCTGTTGGAGAGCCTTATAGTTTTGGAGGTGGAACACGGTGTATAAACACTGCTCTAGCACATAACGTCTCCTTTATCGGCTGCTCGCTCTCCTCACCCAGTTTATTGTGGGCAGTGATGATATCAGAAGGCGAGGGCTGCAGGTCAGCAGCCATGATGCCCAGAGGATCCAGCTGAGCCACGTGGTGACCCCGGACCTACGGTTTATTCCAATGCGAGGCGGAGTAAAGGTGGGTGGGTGGAGGGAAAGAAAGGGAGGTTGGAGGCCGACGGTGGAGGGGAAGACCACTCAGGATAAAGAGTGTGGGAGTTTATGAGTGTGTTCAATGGGCAAAGAAAATAAAAGAAGGAGGTAAAAACAGCAGGGTGGAAAGAAAGGTGACACCCAATGAAAGGTTGTTTAAGGAAAAACAAAATACCAGGGAGAAGGAAGGACAGGGAAAGAGAGGAAGACATTAGTAAACGTGTAAACAGGTTCATATTTCTCACCAACGTTCTGGAAACCAACGGTACACGGGGCATCGTCAAAGTCCACACAGCTGATGTCAAGAGGGTCCAGCTTGGCTATGTGATGCCCTCTTACCTACACACAGGGCAACAGCTCAGTACATGTGTGTGCAACAGGTCAGCATTTGTCAACCCAGTCTGTCCGTTATAAACTGCTGACCACTTCCTGTAACATTTCCTAACTCGTCCACACGCGTTAGCGAGACTCCCAGACACAGATATGGGTGAAAGGTCGCACAGAAACTGCTAAAAAAGGATGAACTGCTGGACAAAGAATCGGTTGTGCTGCACTTAAGATGAAACCTTGACTTTGTTTTTACATGTTTTTGTGTTTAAGTGATTAATGGGGACAACAAGTGTTGAATTTGGTCGAGTGCTGAGCGATGGCTGCAATGTTATCCTCGGGGCAACTGCACACCGTCAATGCACGTCCACTAAAAGTGTTTGTTTTTGTTATTATTATGATTATAAGGAGATAGACCTTTTTGTTAAAGAGTAAGATGCTTTGTGTTTACCCAGAAACTGTCAATCCACCAGACTCCATTAACAAAAACAGTGATTTTAGCTTGCAGAATATGTGAGTCTACCGCCACCTCTATCAGTTTCCCTTCAACGCAGCTGTGATACGACTGCAGGTCAGTAAACAGTCAAATGAGGCTGAAAACTAAAGTATGAAGAGGAATGAAAAAGTAAAACTAGTAGTATATTAAACAAGGGCATAACATTTTTATTTTTGATCCCCTAAAATGTCCCCTAATCTGAATTTAATGGATTATTTGTAAAATAAACCATAATTACAGTCTAGACATTGTCGGTCTGCTGTTTGTTCTTTATCATTTCTTATCATTAGCTCAGGTGTGTGCAGTTTACCTGGTACGCTCGTATGAGTGATTGTACCGCTAGATGATCCTCCACCAGCTTCTCCACGTTGGGCTGAGCCGCCACCCGGGCCTGGACACTGGCCAGTCCCTGAGAGGACCCGCTGAGGGGCGGAGGGCTCTGGTAGGCCGCACCGGGCGGCGCTCCAGCGTTGGCGTTACGGAAAAATATATCCCAGGACTGCAAGGGAGAAAGGAGAAAGAGGAAGACAGGAGATACATTACTCAACATGTTTAAATATTTAGTTATAGATTATATACTGTTACGTATAAAGGTGCAAACTATTTTAATAATCAATTCATCGCTTTCTCTCCAAATTCTCTGATTTCAGCTTCTCCAATGTGAATACTTCCTGCTTTATTTAGTCCTCAGTGACAGTAAACTGAATATCTTTGGGTTGTGGACAAACAAGACATTTGAAGACTTTGGGAAACACTGATCAACAAACTTTCTTTAATTTTAAAACAACAATTCTCTAAATCTCAGGACAGATGTTTGCTGTGTTTTGATAAGAAGAGCGACTGAAGATGAGGGTTCATCTTATTTCACCATCTTATTTTTAAGGTTACTCACAAACTACTTTAATGTGCTCACACACACCTTCCACACACACACACACACACACACACACACACAGCAGTTTGCCAGCCCACCTCTTTCTGTTTCTCTCTCCAGGGATGTGTCTGCTCTGTTGGCTTTCAGTATGTCAGCAATATGTTTCATAAAGACGCCCAAAAAAACATGATTTTTATTCACCTGTGATTCAGTTTCCCCACTGATGACGTGTGTGTGTGTGTGTGTGTGTGTGTGTGTGTGTGTGTGCAGGTTGGTTATTGTCTGTGCTGCACGAATTGTATACTTTTATATATATATATATATACAGTATATATATATATCATGGCCGGTTCTGGTGCTCATTCTCCTGTGCTAGCTATGCTATGCTACCAGTGTAAACAAACCTCTCTGTCCAGATTATTAAAGTGGGTCGACAAAGAGTCCCCTCAGCGACTAATTAGGGGGCAGCACTAACATATATATAAAGTATACTGTAGTATTATTAAGTGTATTCTTACCATTACTATGGTGGTGAATAGAGAGAGAGAGAGGCGTGATTAGAATTGATACTCTACGGGCAACGGCAATTGATCTAACAGCTGATGAGATATTGAGAGAATGAGAACCGACTGACTTTGTCGTGGCTAAATACGCACACACACGCACATGTTTAAGTTTCTAACCAGAGAGGAGAGTAAGTGGCTTACTGCTGTGAGAGGATTTTAAGATCAAAGGAAAAAGAAGCTTCTTCACATCCGCCTCGGTAGACAGAAATCAGCTTACAGGTAGAGTGACACAACATTTTTACCACAACATTAACACTAAAACAACATCCACACCTTCCACACACACGCTGTTTGTTTGGTTTCACTGTGTGAAAGCTTGTGTGTGTTCCAGGTTAATCCTTTTAATGATGTTTATCAGCTTATTGATTGTAAATCTGACATTGTTCTACTTGGCCCACCAAAAGCAAAGTTTAAAGTTCCAGATAAGTGACCTGGCACCAGTTTTTAAGGTTTGTTTGTCAATGCTGGTCTAAATTATGAGGCTGAATTCAAAAGAGCTATTCAGTGTTGTTTTGACTGTTTAAAGAATTAGGTCATTTCTGACTGGAGTCAGTGATTTCAGTCATCTTCTGGCTGTTTCTAATTGTGGGTAGAAACCTGATTTGTTCCCTTTAGAGCATTTACAGTAGTGACTTTGTGCTGTAAAGTGTTGTGATTCCCACTCCTGACACTCCTTATGATGGCTCCAACTGTTTTAAGGGATCTAGTTTGATATGATAAAAGGAAAACGTTATTAAAAAAATACTTTTATGTCCATATAATGTTAGTCAAAGCCACAGGGAGCCACTGGAGAGAGGCTACATCCAGAGTCATATTAAGGATTGGGTGATTGGACGAATATATCGCCTATCTGTTGTTTTTTGGGCGATTTTTGTCATTTTATTCAGTTAATTTAAAGGTCTGCCTCAGAATGAGAGAACAGCTGGATTTTCACATCTAACTGCGGCAAATTGAGAGTTTATTTCGACTAGTTTGACGACAGGAAATACAGGTACAAGGTGATTCACTGAGGCTCCAAACAAGACTCGCCAAGGACAGCCCCGGGACAGGAGACGAGTAGAGGAGGTCAGAGGGCATCAGAGAGGCAGCGACAGCGAGTAGAGTCACAATATTTTTACATCTAACGCTGTTAGTTAGTTAGACAGCAGAGTTGGGACAGCGTGAGGACTAATAAAGATGGTTTGGTGAGTTTTATTTAGTTTCTGTAAAAGAAAGAAACTTGAATTCAGAAGCTGTACGGTCGTATTTATCTGTTTAATGTTCCTTTCTTGACATTTGGTGAGTTTATTTTCTAGTTTAAAGTTATTAGAGCTTGTTGCACGTCGATAACTCGCCAGTTGTTGGACTGACAGTGGTCGGCTGGATCGCCCAACCCTTAATCTTCAACCGTTTAGTAGCCTTAAATGTGCCTGACAGGCAGTAGTCAGTTTGGCCACTTAGAAGCTAACAAGGCTTCTTTTACTTTTATACAACACATTTTAAACTCCTGTGTTAAACGTCTTTTATTGTGAAACAACTTGTGCGACTGCGTTTCAGAGAACATTGACAGTGTTTACCGTCAGTCACGCTCTACTATCCAAACACACACAGCACTGATAGCCTCTATTTGTACCTTTACCCTACTACAGTGAGGAACAGGTAGCACTGAGGACTCATTATTTATCTTTTCAGGTGACCCAGGGTAAAAAGGACAGGACTGAACATTCATTGGTTTTCAAGCAGACATGTTGCACCAGGTGATGTACCATACCTTGTGCACATTCCTGGGATTCTCCAGCCACGCGTAGTACATCTCCTCCACATAGTTAGAGCTGGTGCCGTTGAGGAAGGGCTCAGCAGCCACAGATGTGTTCAGGCGCCTCGCGGGCTGAAACGTCCTTAAGCCCCCTTCTGCCGGCAGCAGTCTGGGCTGCGACGGGCCCGGGGCCGTCTGCGCAGCCGTTAAAGGCCGAAGCCTCGCAACTGTAGTCCTTAAGCGGTGCATGGCTGCAGATCAGCCACAGCTCCTCGCTCCTTCCTTCACGTCCTGGAGGGAAAACGCACGATCCCGGTCAAAAAAGACCCTCCAGGCTCCTCGGTGGTCGCTCCTCTCGCTGCTCCACAGCTCCGTCTCTCCTGCTGGCCGTACAGTGGATCCTGCTGACTGTAAAGGCAAATATTGTCCATCAGAAACAAACATCAGTGCAATAAATCCAAACCAACAATGTGATAGACAGCTCTAAATACCCTGCAGCCTGTGGCACTCAGCTACAAGCCCCCTGGTTCCTCCTTAAGACGTAAATATTTAAAAACAGGTCACTAATATCAACTTTAATGTCTAAAGAAGTCCCAGTTATTTCCTGAAACAGCTGGGAATTGTAGTTTTTAACCAGCACTGGGAAATGTACATATACATACAATATAATCTGTTTTTATTGTGCAAACTGCAACGTAGTAAAACTTTATAAAAGTTACACAAACACTATAAACTAACTTACAGTATTTAAGCATTTAAAGAGATATTTCTCTGATGTTTTATTGCACAAGACACAAACGGGTCCCAGCAGTTGCTCCTGTTATGTAATGGTATGTCGCTATATGAATAATTACCATCACACAGGAAATTAAAACCGGTTTACCAGTTCATCCGGTCGTATGGAGAGCATCCCGTATGTCACCGGTAAACACGGCTGTTACTGTAATGAAGGAACCAACGTCACCATACTTGTTTATACAATATATAGACCATCTCCAGACTTATTCTTTAATGATTACAAATGACCCTTTGTGCTTGTCTTAGTTCTCAGTATGTCCAGATCAGGTGATAAACCAGTACAGTACAGTGGCTGCTGTACATCCTAAATATAGCTCATAACCATAAAATCTGGGTACAGTACACCCCGATCCCATATGTACCCCCCCAGTCTATATCCAACCCCCAATAACAACACACAAAGCTGTTCCCATCATTATTTCATTTAGTGCATCATTCTCTGGAGACTAAATAAAAGTTATGTACATTTAGTATACATTATATACACATTTTATCTTTCTTATTGCTTTAATTTCTTTATATCTGCCTGCTTTCTTCTTTTATTTCATGTAGTTTTCAGTATAGCTTTTATTAAATACTATACTTTAACGTTACTACTTTATTTTGGTACCTGTAAAGTCGATTTTTATTGTGTTATTTTTATCCTTTTATTCTATTTTTACGATCGACTTTATTTAATGTTTACTCCATTCTGTCTTATCAATCGTCTGCGAAGCACTTTGAACTGCGCTGAACTGTATGAACGGTACGAAAGCAATAAAGTTTGATTGATTGATTGATTGATTAAACCCTTAAACTAACCGTAACCGTTACACCTTCAGCCTGAACCGTGACATATAAACGTTAATGGGGGCACTCAACCTGTGAACGTATCAATGTCCCCACAACATAACAAACACACACACACACACACACACACACACACACACCAACGGCTCCGCGCTCGAGCGCACACAAACTGTTTGTTTGTTTTAAACCGCAGCGTCTCGCGCAAGTTAAACTGCCACCGTTTGCTAACCGCTAAGCTAACACTTTTTAGCTCTGAACTTTTAATTGTTCGTTACCTGTTTTTCCCACTGCAGACGCTCGCGCTGCTTCCTTCCAGAGCCTCTCGTGCGGTGAGCGAGGAGCAAACTCAGCACTGTTCCCGTGCTGACGGAGCGCGAGCTGGACGCGGACTGCAGCGGCGGCGGGAGAGCTGAGTCGCGCGCTCGGGCACTGTCTAATCGCCCTGGTGCTGATCCGCGTCACGCCTGCGGTGACGTCACAACGGTGCGGTTGCATCAGAAAGATAAACTTATTTTTTTTTATTTATTTTTTTTTATAAAACTTTTAAAGAGGGTTCAACTTTATTTTAATAACTTCCTCTGTTCAGCATTTCTAAGCAGAATATTAAAATAATTATTATAAATGATATATTATTATAAATTAATTAACGGTTTTTACCTCACTGTAATGCAGAGATAAGTTATTGTTATTGTTTATGTGTTTGTTTATGTATTGTCAACAACTATGTTTTTGGTTGGTTGACACAAATGTATAACTTAATATTTGACATTGTATGTTATATTCGATAAAACATTAAATGTGGTTTATTACTTATTTATAATAATAATAATAATAATAATAATAATAATAATAAAAATAATAATATAAACTTGTGTTATAAAGAACCTTTCATACACTAAATGCAGATCAAAATATTTTACAAAATAAAACATAAAAGAACAGATCATTTAAAGTAAACAAAATAAGTACGACAATAAATAGCTTGACAGTGGAGCTAATAAATCTTATATAATTTATTTATTTTATTAATTGTATTTATTATGATTATAATGAAGTAAAAATACAGCAAACTCCAGCTGCCAATGCAGTTATAGATACTTCATATAACTGTTGATAAAGTAATATTAATAACTTGTAAATGCAAAATAATTAATATGATAAAAATGAATAATAAAAACAAATATAATGTAAGTCACTGTGTGAAAGTATGAAATGTTTTAACTTTTTGTTAAAATGTTTTGTTAAGCATTCATTATGAAAATGTAGCCTTGCACACATCAGTATAAAGTGAAAGTCATATAATTTTCCATCATAAAGTCTCATCCAGTGATTTACAATATGAATTACTTGAATGGAATATATCTTTATAACTCTGAGTTTTTATAGCTTGTAGTTTATTTGGATGAATTTGTTCCCAGAGAGGCCACCGTATCCGTGTCCTGCTGCCACTTACTGTAATGTTAATGTGTGTTAATGTAGTTTCTGTTCTGGTGAGAAACAACTCCACTGCTGATGTTAATGAGCTCTTTGTGATACTAAACACAGACCGAGAGATAGAGAGAGCATTTACATTAACTCATATTCAATATTCAAATGTTACTTAAATGTACTACAAGGAGTTTAGGGGATAATGAGGTCATTATATTGGTGCAGAAATATTCAGAATTGGGGTCAGAGGTCACCTACAGGGTCACTTTAGGAGTAGGACAGTCGACATTGAGGTGACTTTTAGTGTAAGAGGAAGGAAAGATATCGTTAGCCTGTTAGCTCTTTGTTCTACTTGTGCTCTGAGACGTCTGTGGTCTCTTATAGATAATGTAAAACATGTCAAATGTACACATATATAATAATATATTAATATATAAGTGATGGGGTTGCAAGGTCTTCCTGATTTTAAGGTGTGCTAGAAGTTGGTCTGTATCTATCAGGGACAATAAAACACTGAATCTGTCAAAAAAAAGAAACCTATTAAGTCTGTTTGATTGTTAAATGTTATAAAAAATACAACAATACAGACCGAAAATTGTATAAAAAGTTCCTTTAACAGGAAATAATCTGCTCAAAATTCATCAAATCACTGGTTTTATACAGAATTCCTGCAGTTACTGAGTCCACTGTTTGTGTTAATCGTACAGTTTTATAATATGTTATAAAACATCCATAAAATATGTCACTTAATGAGTTTATTTAATGATAGGAAACTGTTTTAGTGAGCACCTCTTCATCTGAATATAGTTTCTAGATCCATAGAGCTCAGAGTTAAAATAATACTTTACGAGTGTAAAGCAGACCTTTGTACTGTAAACGTTTATATGTTCTGGTTCTGAGCCAGATGTTCTCCACTGCCCCCGAACGGAGCAATAAACATCAACCTTTGTCCCGACACTGATTATATAAACAGCCTGTTAATGAACTTCACAACCGGACCGCATCGACGTCACATCAGACCCTCGGTTAAAGTACAATAATGTATAAATATTACATTACAAGTAACTGAAGTAAAGGTATTTTAAGCTAAATGGATTTAAAGTATCTGTAATAAAAAGTAAACATTCTGCAGTAAAACTAATATTATAAATTACATTAATACTGATGCATCCAGGTGGAGCTCGTTTAAACTACTTTATATACAGTTTAGTCCACTGGTTTTGAGGTGGAAAGAAGTTCTGGTACAAATATTTGTATCTGACTTTTTCTCTCAGGTACCGGAGCTTTTTTGGGGGCTTTTAAAAGAACCAAGTATGAAGGATTTATTGGCATCTAGCGGTTCCAGATTGCAACTAACTGAACACTGCTCGCGTATTGTATAATTCAATGAATGTACTGTTTTTACACACCAAAAAAAACAAACTGATTACATCGAAACCTTTTAAATAGATCAATCTTTAATAATTTTATTACTTAATTTAGATTTTTTTTTTATTTGTATTGTGAAAATAAAATACTTTGGTAAAAAGTGCTTAATCAATAATGTTTCTTAAACTTTTACTAGAAGTTTGTGTTTCAATGTAAACTGTTTCAACACTGTGTATCATTAATATTATTAATTATTTAATATCTAAACTTTGATGACCTGAACACAAGCTGCACTAGAAGAGTCAGGAAGAATAAAAACACTGAATCTGTCAAAAAAAAAGAAGCCAATTAAAGTTGTATGATTGTTGAATATTATAAAATATATATAATAGAGACAGAAAATTCTTTAAAAAGTTCCCAAAAATATCAGAAAAACTGATCTCTGATCAATATTATCAGGAAATAATCTGCTCAAAATTCATTAAAATCTCTTGTTTTAACACAAACTTCCTGCAGTCACTGAGTTCATCGATCAGTTCCGTCCCTTTCCACCACTGTTCCTGTTTACCACCTGTGTTATCAACACCCACTGATTCCCTTTTATTGATCCCTGACACACACACACACACACACACACACACACACACACACACACACACACACACACACACACACACACACACACACACACACACTCTGTCCTGGGAGATAACAACGAGAGGAGTAAAGTGGCTCTCTGCATTGTCGTTTTATTGGTTCACACACTGATTACATCTGATCACATTTTAATATTGATAAGACTCGGAATGCACACCAGAGGAATCATCATCATCATCATCATCATCATCATCATCATCATCATCATCATCAGCAGCAGCAGTATAATCAATTTAAAAAAGAAACACTTTACATACAGTCGTCTCCTGATCTGAACCGAGGAGAATAAACCTTGAGGATCTTCTGAGGCTGTTCAGGAACGCGAGCGAACGCTGATTAATGGAATAAGGATTGATTATTAATCTAAAGGGAGCAGTAATCCTATTAAAGCACTGATACTAAGGGTTGAACTGTGGCCCCTGTCTGAGAGCTTCAAACAGTCAAATAAATAAAGAGAAGCACCACAGAGAGTCTTGCAGAGCGCCTGTCTTATAGTAATTCACCCACTGTTTGTTAATGTGACTCAAACACAGGCTCCATAATCAATAAGACTTATATCTGCAGTGTTTGTACGATTGCTTTGGCTCAGTTTGACTCCATTTCTCCTTATTTTAACGTCATTACCAGACGAGGAGCAACGCAAAACAAAGTATTGGTAAGAATCTGGTGATATGATACACAATACAGTGGATTAAGATTCAATATAAGATAACATATAATCAATATATTGTGATACTGTAGGTAAGGGAGGGTGACCAGGTGTTCCAGTGGTTGTGAAGAGAAAGCAGGAAGGATGGAAAGAGCCACAAAGAACAGGAAATGTACAAAGACTGCTACTGCGACTATCAAGGAAAGTTTCATTAGAAGTAAAAAATACATTTAAATCCTTCGCTTAAGGAACCTTTAACCTGGATCGTTTGCTACTGAATCGACCGGAGGACAAAGCAAACAGATGTTACGAGCTGAAGGGACGAATAGAAGTGTTTAACTTAGACAGACGTTATAATGTTTTCCAGCATTTTCTGTAGTTTACTTTATGAAATAGATTATAAATTAGATTTCTAATGTCAGCAAACTTTGTGGTCAAACAGAAACTCGATATGACCTGGTATAAATGTAGGATTTAATGAGTCGAGACTATATTATCTGTATTTACAGTGTTTGATGAATAAAAAACACCAAAAGATCATTTTAAATATTCACTTCTGAGTACGTTGCTTTAATTTCTGGTTGTTATGATGAAATGACGTCGCTGTTTTATAATATAAAGACTTTATGAAAAAGCTTAATTTGATTAAATTGAACATAACGCTCTGATGAACTTTGATACATTATGTATTAGCTAATGATTATTTTAATCATCATTATCAATCTGCTGATGGTTTTCTTGATTAATCAACTGATTGTTGAGCTTTTATGGAAAATAACAATTTTGTCCAACTAAAATTAAAACAATCCAAAGATGTCCAGTTTACAATCATAGAAAATAGATGAATGTTTGGTATTTATGTTTAAAAAGTGACGTGAAAATGATCTTTTAAAGCTCTAATATGTCCGTTTTGTGAGTTTTTGAGGACAGAATATTGAGTTAAAGCATTTTGTGTAATAACTTTTAATTCTCTGTTGAGCCAAAGCAACCGTGAAAAATACCGTAAAGGCAGTTTGAGAGGAAGTAACTGAAAATCTTCCTCTCGGGGGTCCAACTGCTCAGATCTTTATGGTGAACTCTGAGTTTCAGTCACACGTTCAGTCTCTGTTGTTGGATGTCGGTGCCCTCTTGAGGAGAAGTTGGTTCATTATCACAAAGCTGAAAACAAGGCTGGTTTTTCTACTGATGGTTGGGGGCATAAAGGTCACAGACTATATCAACAGGGCCTTGTTCAGCTGTTTAAATCGTATATTTGGGTCTTTTTCTTGAAAATGCTGCATTTTCAAAATAAAACTAGGCTAAATTAAGACCCTAATGTGACATTTTCTTCAGTCTGGTTAACAAAAGATGAATTAGCTTCTTGGGTTTTGTCTTTGATACTTTAAACTGAACCATAAACTTTATTTTTGGTGTAATTGTTCCTGGTTATACGTCACCAGTGCCTTGTTTAGCTATTTAAAATAGTACATTTGTGAAGTAAAAAGCTGCTTTTTCATAATAAAACTAATCTAAATTAAGACCCTGATGTGACATTTTCTTCAGTCTGGTCGACTCTAACAAATAAAAGATGAAATAGCTCCTTTGTCTTTGATTCAGTGCAGAGCCATTTTCAAACTGATCTGGATACAGCAGTTTCTTTAAAAAGGCAATTTTCTGTCACGATCCTCGCCAGTATCCTCACATATTACACTATCATATTAACACAAAAATAGTTTATGCACTTACAAAGCCCAGAAAATAGAGGCGATAGATTATAGCTCACCAACAGCTCAGTCCAAAAAGAGAGAAATCAACAAAATGCACGATAAACACCCAACTTACCAATGTTATTAACTCGGAATATCATGCAATTAAATACCATCTACAGCATAAAATGTCGTTAAGTCACCACGATGAAAACTGGAGATTTACATAAACGGCGCGACACTAAAATCTCAACCATTGTCATAATTTCAGTAGTTAACTTGCAATGTTCAGTACACAGAGACTCAATTAAGAACCACAGTAATAGTTTAGCATGCTGCATGGCTCAGAGAGGAAGGGGCCGGGGGTCAGGGGTCAGGGGGTCAGGGGGATCAACTACACTCCAGAGAAAGAAAGTTCAACTGAGCAAACCACACAGAAGGGATCATTAAACACACCCACCAGTCGGTGTCACTCTCTCTGTGAGACTGGAACTGTTATGCAGCCGTTAGTCGTGCAGAAATAAACAGCCACAGGGAATCAGAACACGGGGACAGAGTCATGCTCGTCGTTAAAAAAAAACAACCAACAAGGGTAAAAGGTTTTAAAAGGGCTAATAAATATACTGTACAGTTGAAAGAGCACAACAACAGACTGCAGCCATAATAATACTAGAAGGAAGGAACAATAACTGGACGTCAGAGGAGTAAAAGGGGGATTCTGCAACAGGAGAGCAGCCGCCGCCGCCAGAGGCCGACCGGAGACAGGACGCCGGGCTGTAAGAGTTTCCTTCTTTTTTTTTTTTTTGGCTGATGTGCCCTCTGCTGTAGCGTAGGTTTTGGCGATGGGAGCGTCGGCGTTACAGTCTGTGGTTGAGGTTGTAGAGAGAGAGAGAGAGAGAAGAGAGAGAGAGAGAGAGAGAGAGCGAGAGAAGAGCGAGGTGGGTGTGGAGAGCGCAGGACGACGACCACAATCCTCAAAAACGCATCAGACTCTTCAGACTCCCTGAAGCCGGCCTCCATCCACCTCCGCCTCTCTCTCAGCTGATACGCTCTCTCAGGTTATTCCTCCTCTGCTCCTCTCTGCCTCCTCGTCCGTCTCATATTCCTGCAGCAGCGAGGAGACAAACAGTTAAACAACCTCTCATTAAAAGCAAACACAAAGATTCAGCTCGGAACAACATGTGTGTGTCTGATAAAAGTATATATTCCACATTAAAATCCTTGAAAAGTCAGATGTGTATTGCTGAGCTGTTACTGCCGGAGGCCGTGCAGACAAACAAAAATAAAACCAGAAGAATAAGAGTTTACAAAGTTCTTTAAAGACGAGGGGACGAAGGAGTGTTGTTGTTAAATTTCATACTTTAGTAAAAAAGAAAAAATCATTAAGGACCAAACAAATATTTTTATGTGTAATTTGCAGCCCAATATGTTGTATTAGCGTTTAATAAGTAATTAATAATAACTTTTCCTCTACCTGGTGATATTTCTTATCTTATCTAACAGTTCTTCCCAATATCTGTCTGTACTATACTATATGTTTTAATTGGATGCTGTCAACATATGGATTGTAAATAATGACAACTAATAGTTAATTTGTACATGGACAGAATGCATGTTGTTGTTTTTCTTACAGCTCCTGCTCCTTAATAATAAAAACAATAATTATATATAATAAAACTCGGTGTTCAGTATGTGTAGTGGTCAACGTGGTTTTTTTTTTTATTCTCTTGGCCGCAGCTTTACATATATTTCTGAAATAACTTCCTCCTTAAAAGATCCACCAGACAGCCAATCAATATCACTTGTCAATATCTCATATAGACTCAGTCTTGTGTTGGACTCTAACCTATTTGGTCTCGACTAGTCTTGGTTTTGGACTCGATAAAGGTGGTATCGACTACGGCTCTGGTGTAAGGTGCATATAGAAACACGGCGGTTCAACACGGCGGCCTCCGTGTGTGAATGTAGTTCCCTGTACCTCATCCCTGCAGCGGGGCAGCATGAGCGCCCGAGCAGTGGAAGTGGACGTTCTGCCACCGGCTTTCCCTGCGGTGCCATACTCTGGTCTCTTCCGATTGGCTGGAGCGGGGGCGGCCCTGCCCGTCGACGAACTGCGTCAGGCGGATGTAGGCGATGCAGGCGGCGTCGTCCCCGATGATGTGCACGTGAGGGTTGAGGATGGTGGTGTGGATGGGTTTGCTGTTCTTGGAGAGGACTGATGGGAGAGAGAGAGAGAGAGAGAGAGGGAGAGGGAGAGAGAGAGAGCGTAGAGTTTAAATTCAACCATGACTCGAGTCAGTTTGTGAAAACAGAAATAATTGTTCTAAAAGTCTTACGATTGTCAAAGTAAAATCTGTGGAAGTCCATTCCCTCCACCAGATTACCGAGCCCCTCCGGCTCAAACGAGGTCAGACCAGGGTCGCAGATCTTCCTGTAAAAACACGCAGGATAAGTTCAGAGTACGACCCTTAAAATATCAGGTTCAAAGTGATGAATGTGCTTTTATATGTCCTGTAAATCCTGTAAACACATCTTAGTTAACATAAATGAATCCCTCCAAAAGACTGAGAGTCACTCATTCACATTAATTAAACCCAACCACTCAGTATTCACATCATTATTTTAAATATTATAATTCCTGTTTGTTCCATTAAGTTGATTTTATATCATCACAAATTTAAAAATGTACCATTTTGATTATCAATTCATTGATTGTCAGCTGTTTTTACAGGTAATGTAATAATTTGCTATAGTGGAAGAAAACTAGTTTAAGTAACACTTGTATATAAGTTACATTAAAAGTACTTTAATAAGATAAATAACTCATTTTAAATACGTTTGGAGAAACTTTAGGCGAGTATCTAACAGTTAACACTTTAAATTGTTGTATCACATGAAAAATTACATTTTTATCAACAGTCAAAGTCAGAATCTTTGAAAAAATAGGAAAAATGCTAAAATTGTGTTTATTTATCAGTTTTTACTTCATGTGTGCATATCTTTAATATTCAACTTCTTATGAGTTCATTAATATCAAATACTTAACTGTGTTCCTTGTAGCCAATTTCTTAAATGTGTGTATGAAACTTTAATGTATATGGAATATAGAGATAGGAGCCCGTCGCATGTGTATACTTAAAATAATATCCCTCATTTTTTATCTTTTCTTTTATCTTATCCATTGAAATATTTCAATTGTGGGCACAAATGGGTTAACACATCAACACATCTGGAGGTAAATAGTAATGGTGGAGTAAAAATAACTATATTTACCTCTCAGAAGGAGTAGAAGTATAAAGTTGGACAAAATTTAAATACAGGTACCTTAGTAAAAGTACTTAGTTACATTAGAGTCTCATCATTTTAGCTTCTGATGAGGATTTTCAGTTTTATCATGCATGACTTTTTCCAGACGGAAATGGGCTTCCATCACTTTACCCTCCCCTCCCTCAATCTGCCCAGCATTATTCTTAATTGCGTGGTAGGTAGAGAGAGAGAGAGAGAGGAGAGAGAGAGAGAGAGAGAGAGAGAGAGAGAGAGAGAGAGAGAGAGAGAGAGGATAAAACAGTGACTGTAATGACTCTTTAATCTTTTAATACAAAGATAAAAAAAAAAACACATTTGTATGTCCATCACATTAATGGTTCTCTATGGCTGACTCGGATCTCTGGTGTTCATTTTACAGGATAAACTCAGACTCAAGAGGCTCCTGTTTGGAGATGTTCACAGAGCAGGAAATAAAGAGAGCTGGACTCACGCGTAGGCCTCAAAGTCTCCATTGTTGACAGCTTCAATCAGCTGCTCCGTGATCTTTATGATCTCCTGTTTGCGAGCTGTGAAGGAGAAACAAAACAAAGTGAGAACTGTGTGGTAAATTTAACCTCACCATGAAGCTCTGAGAGTGCTCCACTGCACAAAACTCGGGGCCTAAAAAACTCCTCCGCAGACGCACAAGAGGCTGAACGCAGCTCAGACTCACCTGAGAGTTTGTTACTCATCGTGAGTCTGATCGGTCATCTCTCATTCATCCGTGAGTGAAGTCTCCTCCATGCTACTGCGCGCGCAACAACAACAACAACAAATACTCCCATGCAAGAAGTTGAGTTGTTTCTCTCTCCATGAGCTTTTTTTCTTTTCTTTCCTCAAAAGTGAAATGTCTCTTCCTGCTCCGTCTCCATCACATCCCCTGTTTACATGTGAGGCTGCTCCGGCTCATCACGCTATTCTTGTCCCAGCGCTTTAGATGAGATTTACTGTGTCCTTCTCCCCTCACTTCCTCCCCACGCTGACAGGAAGGCTTAGCTCGCTCTGATTGTCTCTCTCTCTCTCTCTCTCTCTCTCTGCAGTGCAGGAAGTATTCAGATCCTTTACTTAAGTGGAAGTACTAATTCCACACTGTAAAAATACTTTGCCACAAATAAAAGACCTGCACTGAAAAACTATTAAACTGTTGTTATATATTATATGTTATATCATAAAAGCAGGATTTTACTGGCACCTGACTGTTGTTGGCAGTGCATGGGGAGTTTTGTTTACAGGATTTTGTTTTAGTTGAGCTACATTTGAACTATTTTTGTATCGGACTGCACCTAATGAGAAAGAATTTGCCTCTAGCAACTAAAAGTCGGTATTTTATGTTACTTTATTACCTGCTGTGTGTTTTTCAGTTTTTACACATTATTATTTTTTGTGCTCTTTTGATATCCTGGAGTATGTTTTAGTTATATGATCAATATATAGCAATATGTAAGGTCATGCCACTATGCATCTGTTTTTGGGGATTACTACTATTACTGAAAACCCAAATAAAAACACTTAGAATAAGATTGCGCCTAATGATTATTATTACTGATTATTTTCTCCATTAATCCACTGATTGATTGCTTTTTAGAAATTCTGAAAATGATGAGAAATGTTGTCACAATTACCCAAAGTGACACTTTCACAATTATTTATTTTATTTATGGTTTATTTGATAGAGTCAGAGTAAACATAGACTGACAGCTATCAGCTATCTGATGCAAGTATCATAGTGTTTATAGCAGATATCAATCATTTCCAACACCCGTCTCTAGAAAGAGCTTAAAACAGAAAGGTACAAAAAAAGAGTAAATGGAAACAAAAAACAGAATTAAAGACGACTACATGAGTACAGGTTTGATTTGGTAGCTCTCTAAAAAGTGATGAAGTTAGTAACAAATAACCAGGTAGTCAAACTGTTCGACATATGTGAGAAAATATATGAACTTACAAACAATGCTTGTTTTTGAATCAATAAAAAAAATCTTCATATTTTAATGTCTTAACTTCTTATTTTCATAAAAGCCCTTCTAGAGACGGGTGTAAATTATTACTTTAGTAAATAGTTTACTGTACCCTTAAAATAAACCATAAATGTATTACTCCTATCACTTTATTTTATAAAAGAGAACTAGCCTATATCTTAATTTCATCCAACAACTTTGCACTGTAAATAACCTTCAATCCTTGTATATATAGTTTAGTGTGTTGTCTCTAGCATGATTTTAACTTAAGTGACCTGTCTTTGAGAATCAAGTTAAATGTATATATATTATATATATATTATTAAATGTGCTGCATTAAGTGTTTATTCTTGTTGTTATGTTGTGGTGTCCCTATGTATCTTGTATCTATGTATGTATGTATGTCTATCTATCTATCTATCTATCTATCTATCTATCTATCTATCTATCTATCTATCTATCTATCTATCTATCATGAAAAACGCTTTTATTATTATTAAATCTTCCTTGTGTGTGACTCAGAAGGTTGACGGTTCGATCCCTGGCTCCTCCCACTGCCCCACTGCCCCTGATGCTGTGTATTTATGTGTGTGAATGAGTTTGTTTCTGTTTGTGATGGCTGTTACGTGCCCAGCAGGTCCTCCTGTGTTCTCACCAGGTGCCAACAACAGTGACTGGTTTCCACCTGTGCAACCGGGCCTTGCTGCTCATTGGTCCAACAAGTCTGAAGCCCTCACTATAAGAGCTCAGTTTGGGGATACCCTGCACACTTTTTCCACTCGTGCACTAGAGTTATTGATTGGTGCCTCCTTTGTAATGTTTTGGTGAAGCTCTTTTATTTGAGATAAGATAGTTTGTTTGTATTTGGTATCTATCCACCCTCACATTATTGAAAACCTTTCTGTTTATTAGTATTCATTTGTATTAAAAAATAACCCCTAATTGTCACAACTACTTTGCAATTTCTTTGTCGTGTTTTCGTCTTTTATTATTCTTTAAAAAAGGGATGTAAAAGTGGCTTTTGTAAAGCGTTTTAAGTGGTTGAAAGGTGCCACATACGTCCAGTCCATTTACCCTTTTTTAAATATTCCTGGTTCTAAGAAAAGAAAATGTGCAAAACATCCATATTTTAAGCTAATAAAGAGACTTTGAGGAATATCTTACCTTTCACATCTTCATCCTCAATGGTGGTGTTGCTGCTGTCAGATGATTCCTGCACAGACAGAAATGCTGATTACCATTAAAAAATGAAAACAGACATTCAGACATGCATACACCCACAAGCGCTGATATATAAACACACACACACACACACACACACACACACACACACACACACACACGACACTCAAGTTTCTGCCATCGGCTCTACAACACGACTCGATCTCAACACCACGATTTGGCCAAAAATACAGAACAGATACAGCTGTAGGTGTGAGTCAGCAGTGACCCCGAACGACTGCACAGCAAACGACGTTCAGCCACTGTCACACACAGTCCAACAGCGCGGCGAGGGTTAATCTGGTTACACACACACACACACACACACACACACACACACACACACACTGAGCTCCATCAGTCTGAACACAGAGGGGCAGTATACGACAACGAAACACCTCACAGGATCCACAGCTCCAGCTTCTCTCTCGCTCTCATGCACAAACACAAACAGATGCACACAGAGATAAATAATCAACAAAATACACAAATCCTGCAAAAAAAAAAAACAGTTTTTTTTTTTACCAGCTTCACCCTCACACACAGCAGAAAGGGGAGTGAAGACGAGGGTGAGGAATGAGGAAAAGGACAAGGCATGAAAGGGGAGGGGAGAGGAGGATGTACCTTGGTCCCATCTATTGGATTATGGATAACAGTAGTCTGAGGCTCCTGGAAGGAGAATGGAGAGAAAAGGAAGAAAGAAAGAAAGGGAGGGGATGTTTTTATGACGAAGAACGAGAGGAATATCAGTAGAGAGAAAGATGTGAGTAACACATGGAAAGAGGGAGAAATGATATTAATTTTGAAGAGCTAAAAGTTCTGAATGGATAAAGATCAGAGTTAATGATGGAGGATGGTTGTAAGAGTGCTAATGATTGATTGAACTCTCTCTCTCTCTCCCGTATCAATCAGTTTTTATCCCGTTTCATTGAAATCAATAAGAAATGTTACACTGTAAAAAGAAATGTTTGAGAAAAGTGTCTTTACTAAATGTTTAAATTTTAAGTCAAACTCAAAATTTTAAGTTTTTGTTTACATGATTTACTTTTTTCTTTAGAAAAACTGAAATATTTGAGTTTTTAAAACAGAACAATCAGTATTTTTTACTTATTATTTTAAAAATAACTGAATAATGAAAATTTTACATTATTTGGGTGCTTAAAAATTAAATAGTTGCAATTGAAAATATATACATATAATCAATCCATATAACAATTATATATATTAAATTAGGAAATACTGATTTTTTGTTTGTAAAACTTAAAGATTCAAGTATCTCTAAAGAAGTAAATCATTTTTATTAAAAGTAAAAAGTTTGAGTTTGACTTAAAACTCAAAAAAGTTTTCTCAACCGTTGTTTTTTTTTACAGCGTACATACAATTATACATTTATTATAAATATTTGGCAGTTTATTGCATTTATATGACTTGTTCTTATGTCACACAGACATAGTTAGTACATCGTTTTAAATGTGATATCTGGTGATATTCTGTATTTTTCTTTGTCAATAAAACAACATTGAATGTATCTACGAACTAGTAATATGTATATACCACAGTCTGATATATCTTCACTTCCATTGTTGTACATTAAAAACACATCAGAGAGATATTAAACCTGCAGTCTCTGTAACGGCCAGCAGGGGGCGGCTCCATTACCATTCAGTCTTATGGAGAAATGAGCCGACTTCTCAGTTGATTTATTCCCTCAGTAAACAGTTTCCTGATGAGTTTCTGGTCTCAGTCTCTAGTTTCAGTCTTCTTCCATACAGCATGATGTTCATTTAGTAACTGATGGTCCCATTTAGAGTAAAACAGACCATAAAGCAGGGTATGCTTTAGGGCGGGGCTACCTTGTGATTGACAGCTCATTCTCAGTGAGTCCGTCCAGCTCAACGCACCAAACTCAGATCAAACTGTCAAACAGTGCTGATCAGATATGGATCCAGATTCTGTTGTTGACTCGCTTTACGTGACCTCTGCTGGCTCCAACAAACTGTCATGGCGAGGCGGACTAACATGTTGGTATTTTTATCAGATTTGTTGACAATAAGAAAAATACAGAAGAGCACAAATAACACAAGGCTCATTATTTAAATACAATATACAAATAAAACAGAATAATTTCACTGTTAATATGATGAAACCTGTGAAATCTATCAGAAACACACAGTTCATACAACACATACAGTCTACATGTTCTTTAATAAATCCTCTTAAATGTGACTGTCTCTCTCTCGCTTTGCTTTTGTTTTTATATTTCAACATATCTGAGGAATAATTTGACATTTTGGGAAACTTAATTAGCTGTCTTGTAAGTAAGAAGCTGGCTTGGCATAAAGACTGAAAACAGGGGGAACAGGTAGCCTGGCTCTGCCCAAAGATAACACCTCTAAAGCTCACTAATTAAATGAACACGGAGTTTTTAACTGCTTATAAACAGTCTCAGTTTAATACTGATGCCTCTGTATGAGCTACATTAATAAACAAGACCATCAGAGAGAAGATTGGATATTTCTTTATATTTATTCTTAATGTCCGCCACCCGGTCGGATTCCCCTTGAAATCAATGAAACGAGGCGGTGGAGACACTACCGGTTCTGTCCACAGGGGGGCGCCAGAGTTAACACAAAATGAAAGTTCCTTATAGAGTCTTTAACGTGTTTGTTTAATCTGTACACAAACAGAAATCTAAGTTTAACAGTGACTGCAGTGACTAATTAATTATTGATCTTCCGTACAGAGTAAGAGTGTTTGGGTCAGACGTAGGGGAAAATAGTAGCCAATCAAATCAAGCAAGAGGCGGGCTTCACTACTTCACCACTTCCTCCCTGTTTTAATGCCGGCAAATAGGTTAGCTAACTAGTTAGTTGGACTGTGAGAGAGAGAAACCCTACTGGTTTTATCTATCCTCAAAACTTCAACTTTAATCTTGAAATGTGAAGTTTATTCTGGACATTTCGACTTTGTTCTCTAGTTGTTTGCTCTTATGCCCGACCCTAATACCCCGTCATACTTCAGCAGCGTTAATTAGTGTATTATTTTAAACTTTGGACAGAGCCAGGCTAGCTATTTACCCCTGTTCCTGCTTCCATTAGATACTAATCTAATCTAATCTAATCTAATCTACTCTACTCTAACCGTCTCCTGGCTGTAGCTATCAGTCTTTTTATTTAACTCTTGGCAGGAAAAGGAAACAAGTGCATTTCCTAAATTGTCAAACCTTGAATTGATACTGATAGCGATAAATCACTGTGATCCATTGTCCTAAACTACACACACACACACACACAAACACACACACACCAATCTCCGGACAGACAGACAGACAGACAGACGGGTGGACAGACAGACGGGTGGACACAGAGCTGCATACCAGTGCAGCAGAGGGGACGTTGCCTTTGGGACTGGTGACTATGCTGTTTCTCGTGCTGTTTGTCTGCGGCTGTGCAGGAAAACACAAAGTGCTGCGTTAGTGCTCAGAAACAACGGGGAGTGGCGCCACCTGCTGGTCGTAAAGTGTGCGGTTACTGTGTGAAACAAACAAACAGTCATACAGGTAAAAGGCAGGTAGAAGCTCCAGACAATCAGTGGGTAGAAAGAACCGACTTCCAGAGATCCACAAAGGTTCCCGTCACATTTACGACTCCAGTGTTAATTAGATAAAAAGGTTTTACACAGTTCATCATGTCAGTTCATTTCTATCCGCCCAGCCGGCGCTCAGGGTATTCCTCTCTTGCCACTGGCTACCGATGCTATTCGGGCAGATGGCAAATTAAACCGAGGACAGCTGTGCACCTCTGCAACATCTGTCAGATATAAAGAAACATCCATTTAGCCAAAACTACACAAGCTCTTCCAAACGGACATTAGGATCTCTTAACATAGCCCTACCAAGTAAACAGCGTTCAACTGCCTCATTTCAGCTCATGAAAGGATGACACACACACACACACACACACACACACACACACACACACACACACACACAGCCAGCATGCTAAATATACACACACCCTGGTTTATAAGGGCTCACACAGACTTAATAACTTGCACAAACACGTGAATGCAGACAGAAACTTCATGCTTGAAACCAGTTAACTGTGTGATTCCTGCTCGTTATTTTCCTCAGCAGGGTCGCCTGTAATTGAAAACTGTGTCGGACTGAAGGAGAAAAAGATTCTGAGCATTACGGGGCGAAGATGGAAAAGGGGTACGAGAGAGAGAGCGAGAGAGAGAGAGCGAGAGAGAGAGATGCAAATATGTAGATTCTCGTGTAAGCGCCCGTTTCAGTTATATTTAGTGTTTTAATTGGATGGGAGAGGGGCCGAGGGTCACTCGGGTTGTCAAACTGACACCTGTAAAGTGAGTCTGTTCCTGCTGTCGACGCAGATGATGAATGCGATGCTACTCAGCGTTCACACTCTGCTATAAAAGAAAACTACTAAACTATTTAAAGGACTATATGCAGCAGATTATGGGCTGAAAGGAACAGTGCAACCTGTTCCTTTGACGTTTGACTGTTTTCTATAACTGTTTTCTTATTTTTACATTAGTCGACTAGTCTGAAGTTTAATTCAAGTTTATTTTTGTTTAACTGCTCCACCGTGGAAATGTATACTTGCATAAGGACAATAAAGAGAATCTGAGTACAGTCAAACATTTTAGGCAAAAAGCTGCACAGCACTAGTTTATATAAACTGTCTAATAAAAGTGTTTTTGGTCTCCACCTACTCCCTCAGGATTAATTGCAGTCCCCTTTTCACAAATATTTCCACATCTAACTCTGTGAATTAAGAGTTTATACCGATCAAACCTGCGTTAATGACTAATACAGTCGGTTTTGGGTGAGTTTTATGTTGTTTCTGTCTCATTTGTTCCGGCGCTCTGGTGCAACATCCAGTGGCAAGTGAATTTTATATACAACCTTTAATACTGAGTATGATCACTATAAGCTTCAAATGAAGAAAAATGAACATGTCAGACGTCTAATGTAAGCAACCATCTTGATTAAATCTTTCTCCACATTTCTGATGAGAGAACAGAGAGCTCAGCAGGAGGCTGAGGGCAGTTTCTGTAGCCACTGAGGCGACCCTATCGGCCCGCTAGTGTCACTGAAAATCAAAAAGGGCAACAAAAACTAAATCAGCCAGAAATGTTTGAGCATCAGATCTCCCCTTTGAAGGTACTTGCTGCGATGTTTATCCTGCCGGCAATCCGTCCGGAGGGATAAACACCCGTTCAGCTGGAAAGTCACATTTAAAATCCATCATCTGTGCAGTCGTCTTATTTTTGGACTTCAGCGCTTTCCGACCACCCGAGGTGAGAGGAGTCGTGTGAACAGACTCAGGAGACCTACGTTTAAACTCTGTGGTGACTTTCATGAGCAGAAAGGAGCTGGTTCGTTCATTAATCCGTGAGAACGATCGACTGCTGGCCAATCCTTCACGTCACCAGGTTTTTATACCTCAAAATGCAGAACCGAGTCTCAATCTAATACGTTCTTAGACAACAGTCGGCACTTCAAGTACATTAAAGTTATTAAAATCAATCCAATTTATAAGCTTCACAATAGCTCTGCAGTGCAGTAAGAGAAGCACTGCCTCCAAGCTGTTCCTTAATGTTTTAGTTTCATTTATTTTTTTTACAAAAGTATACAAGCTAAAAAACATTTTTATGTGTCTCTTATCACAATTACACTTATTGCAGCAAAACTGGAACACTCACATAATCAGTAATATAATCACAACAAAACTAACTAACCGGTAAAATGAGTAGGAGTCTGGTGGAGAGTGATCGTGATATTACGCTCTATATTATATCTCTGTAGGGATCCTTTCCATGATGTAATTGCCCCCAAGGTTTCTGCTTTAGCCTCCACAACTTTTTGTACCTATAAAACAAAGTGTTGGGCTTCAGTTTGTGCTCAATATAGCCGAACACGATCAGTTAAAGGTCCAGTGTGAAACATTGAGGAGGGTCTATTGTCAGAAATGGGTTATAATATTCATAGGTATGTTTTTATTAGTGTTTAATCACCTGAAGACTCGTTACCTCAGAAAGACGTTTTTATCTACAGATGCTGTGGGTTAACTTCCAGGGAGTCTGCCACGTTTCTACAGTGGCCCAAAAGGGACAAATCGTGTGTGTGTGTGTGTGTGTGTGTGTGTGTGTGTGTGTGTGTGTGTGTGTGTGTGTGAAGGATACAGTTGGGATACACCGCCGTCCCTTAAGACCTTTTTTTTTCTTCAGAATTGGATGGATGGATGAAAGTGCAAACGAACAAAAAGCGTCAGGTATGATTAATGGCAGCAGAGCGGAGACTGTGCTGAGTGTGGAGCCACGAAGAACAGCGTCAGATGGTAAGATAAGAGGAAGCAGAGCGGAAGAGAGGACAACACAGTCTGCTGGGAATTACTGGAAGCTTAGAAAATGTCTGAGGAAAAAATAGAGAGAGAGAGAGAGAGAGAGGATGGAGGAGAAAGCAAGATCTCCATCAAACCATACAGGAGGAGCTTGAGCAGGAGAACAGGGAGAGGATGAGAACTGGAACAGAGCGAACAACAGGAGGAAGAAACTAAAACCCGAAGATGTCCTGCGTCAGGGGGCGAGCTGGGGAAGTCCTCGGCCGTGGCGTGAGCCAGTCTGGCATAACGCCGCCTGTTAGACCGGGCCAATCTAATACTGTCAGTGCTGAGTGGCAACCGCAATAATCACATACTACTGAGAACCCAACTGCAGGGGATCACATCATATTCAGGAACCGTCCCAGAGCGCGAGGCTGAAGAGACTCAACACAGACGCAGTGTTTCCAATCAATTCACAGCCCAGGATTACCACGCCACACAGGAGGAAGTCACGTGGCCTCCAGCACGCAGAGTGGTTCGCTAATTAATCCAGTTCGCCACAGCTCGGAGGGGTTTGCGTTTAAGGAGCGACTCTGTTAACTTTCAGCTGAATATGTTAAATAACTGGTACCTTTTTTTGGGGGGGCTGAAAGTCGCCAGTTAACAGACCCGGGAGGCAGCAGGAGGAGGAGGGAGGGAGGGAGGGAGGGTGCAGGTGATTAACACAAGCAGGTAGTGAGATTAAACTTTGTCCCGCTGTGTCTCTTATGTAGTAATTAGCAAAAACAACTAAACCTAAACTACCTAACTGGCTCAGTCTTCATCGTTTACATCTGACTGAACTTTCTAAACATACATTTTCTGCTCTTCTCAGACACACCGACGGAGGAGCAAATCATTTTCTGACTGAGGTTCGAACAGTTTCTCCAAAAAGTGTCTTGGCAGGAGCAAAAATAAAACTATAAAACTGCCCAGTTAGAAGAGAAGCTGAACAGTAACGACAGCATTTCCCCCAAAGAAACACAAAACAACCAGACTGAGATCATGACGATGAGCAATGCCCCGTATGGGTATTTATCTCAAATGAAAGTTGGAGGAGGGGAGGAGGTTGATTTATATTCCAGTTAAATGAATTATCTTTGTCTTACAGGAGCACAAAAGACTAAAATACATTCTCGACAGTGTCAGGAGGAAGAAAACGATGTTGAGATGAGCAATGATGTTTAATTTTGCTTTGCTCGACTCGCACATCAATTACATACTCGGCTTGGGAAGAGGAGCCCTGTGAGACCACCATTATTATTATTATGAGTCACTGTCTGATTCATCAAACATCATTTTAGATTTACATACATTTTTTTTTGGCCACTTGGGGGCAGCAGAAGTAAAATAAAACACAACATTGACATATGAATTCCCTATTAAAGCTCTTATAGCTAACAATGTGTATTTACACATGCAGCAGACACTTAGAAACATTAGCATTGTGTCTCTTTTTAGCTCCGGTTTGGTATCAACCAACTCTTGAGGGAAATATGTGGCTCTTTAGCCACTAAATGTTCTTTACCAGCTAGTTGCTAACTTTGTCTGTCAGCAGGTTGTTGGTATCATCCCAATAGACCAAAAAATAAGATCCATGTAGTTTTACCTACAGTAGATAGAAACGTCTCATTCTAAGGTAACAAAAACACAATGAGTCTTATCATCAGGGGATTATACACTAATGAAAACATACCTATGAATATAGCATAGCTTACTGTGTAGTTCAATGTGCACACACTCCTCAGTATCAGGACATATGAGAGCAGTTACTTAAAATAAAACTGTTATTTTTGGGTGTAAAAGCTCAAGAAAACAGTCTGTCTTATTATGACTTTTACAACAGAGCCACCAGTCCTCAGTTATAAATGTCACTCCCCTCTAAGGATGATGAAGCACTCTACCACAACCATTATATAACAATCGATTTCAACTCTCGCTGATTGCCCTTAGTTACTGCAACTGCCTGGAAATAAAAAAATGAGCATATTGCCAGGAAATGGCTGGAAACTGAGAAGAGTGTGTAAGACAGAGAGAGGAGGGAGGGAGGGCTTCTGTGCTAATGCAGAAATAGCTCCGGGGTTGTGTGCAAGTGTGTGACGTCAGGGTGCAGCAAAGGAGAAGCTGCGATTATGTAATGATAGATTAATCATCTGGTGGGGAAATAATCTGAGATTAGCATCAGGCCACCCTGAGGAGAGAGAGAGAGAGAGGAGGAGGGTAGAGGACAGGGAGGAAGAGGAAGGAGGCCGAAGGAGGAAAAGGGAGATGCAGGTTAATGAAAGAGAGAGTGTGTCACAGAGAGGAGGAGAAGAGAGGAGGATAAGGAGGAGGATGAGAGAGACCAGATGCTTTTTTATTAAACACACACTTCAACTCCAAAAGGTAAAGTTCTCCAAATAGACTCCAAAAAGTTTATAGTTTGTTTTATTTTCTGTGTAAAAAACATCCATTTATTGTGTTCATAAAGTAATTATCTTCCATATCTACACATATATTTACTAAATAGGGTTGAACAGTTAATTGCAATATGCATATCGCAGGAAGCTGCAATTCTTTTAAAGGTAAAATGTGACAAACGGCACTATAATGTAAAGTACTGTAGAGCTGCAGAGAAACTCTGGTCTATAAATATTCTTCTCCAGGTTTAAGGAAACATATTTGTTTGTTACAGACCACAAAAAAAATCTCTCTTCATCATTTCAATAGTTTGTAAAGAGACTCATATCACAATATCTGTTAAAGCAATATGATGTTTTTACTATATCGTGCAGCCCTGATACAAATAATATCTCCTGTACCTATAAAATTATAATCTTGTGCGAATAAGATCTTTATGTTTTACAGCCCCGGTTGTATAAAAGCTCGTAGGCAAAGGTTGCCCTTAAATTATCATCTAATGAAGCCTTAGAGAACAATAGTTGTATAAAATCCCCTGAAGGATTTCAAGTGTTTGCTCAACGCTTCTTAATTATTCCCTTACACACGTTTATTGTTTTAAAGTCTGTAATGGGAAAAGGCCTGTTCCCTAAGCCAGTGGTTCCCAACCTGGGGGATCTGGACCCCCACTAGGGGTCGCCAAAGCTTCACAGAGGTTCTTGAGGCCTTCTTAAAAAATATACACAGTAGGCCTGTATCACAGCGTTTGGTTCACTTCTGTGAAGAAATATAAGTTCTAATAGAACAATGGCCAACAACCAGGGACAGGAAGACACTGAATTTGTCTAAAAATAATAAGCCTATTAAGTCTGTATGATTGTTAAAAAATAATAAAAAATACATAATACAGACAGAGAATTGTATAAAAAGTTCCCTAAACAGGAAATAATCTGCTCAAAATTCATCCAAATCTCTGGTTTTACACAAACTTACTGCAGTTACTGAGTTCACTGTTTGGGTTCATTGTACAGTTTTGAATATAATATTAAATATTCATAAAATATGTCAAATTTGAGCCATTTTACTTAATATTATGAAAGTAAAAAGGTTGGGAACTACTGCACTAAACCCTATCCTGTACCCAACTGGTGCAACATAAGACAACAGCTGAATTTATACTGATTGAAGAGGACGAGGAGGAGACACAGGAAAACCAATCGGACGCTACGAGCGATGCACAACTAGTAGAGCGGAGGTCAGATAGTTTTAGTTTGTCCTAATGAAGATGTCCTAACCTGCTCCATCAGCCAACAGGCTGAGCGTTCTGTTGCTTGTTTGAAAAAGAAACCCTCACTCTGGTTTCTATTTTTTGAGAAGTTTCGTGCACTTCCTCCACCTCAAACCTGCTGAGACCGAGAGTCATCAGTCAACACGAGCAAGTGGGAGATGTTTGCTTTCTGCTAGAAATGACAAGAGGCTACTTTATGAGATTGAGAAGCGGCACATCTTATATGATCCACAGCACCGTTTTTATCAGGATATTCTCAAAAAGAAGGTTTGGAAAGAATTCAGAGAGCTGTTGTAATAAAAAGATCCATATTGTGTGTGCGGAGGTTAGTATCTTCTGCACAAGACACAGTTGTTGTTCATACAAGATAATAACTTGTGCAACACAACATAATAATATAACATAATATGTAATATTCCTATGAGATCAAACAATCATCCTCTGGACGTCTGGAGCTCTGAATTTAACCGGCGACCTCCGATACAGAGTACACTGAACTGCTCACACAGAGGCTTCACACTGACTCATGCAAACACACACACATGCATTGACGCCACTTACACATACACACATACATTTGCAGCATTACATTACACACAGACGCTCACACACTGACGAGGGGGGAGCAGAGGTGCACCGATAACGTCTGCAGATTCAGCGTCTGAGGATTCTCTCCAGGAAATGAGAGCAATACTTTATTGAGTCCGCTTTGGCACCGGCAAATGTTTGTGGGTGAAAAATGTCTGCAGAGGAGTGATGAACAGTGACTGCGCCAAACTGAGAGTGGAGAGGAGGTAACACAACCCCCTGAACCACCATCAAAGCAACGGTTAGAGAGAAGTTAGCATCAGGAGTGAGAGGGTGCAGCCTTCAAAATAAAAGTGCTAAATATCCACTTCAGTAAAGACTAGAAGTTAAGAAGTGTCCTCGCTTTCTTTAGGTTATATTTCGTATTGCATCATTACTGTTTGTGTTAACTAGAGGTAGTAAAAGTACACACATTTATTTATTTTACTCAGAAATGTACTCAAAGTATAAAAGTAAAAGTTACTCCCTGAAACTTCAAAATCTTTAATTCTCTTCTAAAAACACTTTTATGGGCTTTTATGTGAATTTACACAATATTTCTTGTCTTTCCTTGTGACTTATTATATTTAAATCTTTTATTTTATTTCAGCACACACTGCTTTGTTTTCTTTATTATTATTGTTGTTTTAAAGCTACTTTCTATCTTTTTGAACATTGTCTACATTGGGAAAAGTGGCCAATTTGGCAAATTGTCTATTTTAATACAATTGTTTTATAATAAACTATTTCTACAATGATGGATGTTAACTGTGCTACTTGGATCATATTATATAAGATAATACTATATAGGCAAAATCTAAAGTCACACCTGTATTCATATTCATTTATTCGTATATAAAGTAAATTTAAAAGTTATTATAGTTTTGTATTTGTCATTAGTTTTTATTTTTATTTCATTTTTAATGTTTGTTTTCTCTTCAGTTTAGTTTCCAGAGTGAGTTCACTGGTTTCACTTTAGGTTTTATTGTTTAAAATGTTTAGTTTTTTATTAGTTTCAGTGTTATTTGGGTTATTTTTTATTATAATATTGGGTGTATTTGTCTCTGGTAAGATTTAAGAAGTTTATATTCTAATACAAACACACTGACCAAAAGTTATGTAGACATCCAGAGCCTCAAAAAAATATCACCAATAACTCCTTATTGTGTTGACACGTTGGACTAAAACTGACATTTCCTTCCTTTATTTGTTGTTTGTTTCATAAGTACACAATATTGTTTCAGTTTGTTTGTTTATTTCAGTGAACTAAAATGATTTCTCACACCTAGTTTAGTTCAGTTTTAGTTCGACATCATAAAGTTGGTACAGAGTCCTGATACAATTCATTCAGAACTTCTTGTGCATCAGAAACACTTTGTTACGGTAAAGAAACATAAATAACATTAAAATATGTATTATATTACGAGATCTAACAACTATATATAGCAAATAGTAAAATATAAACAAAGAAAAAGAAATAATATGAAGTATGTTCATTATAATACAATATATAGAAGTTAGAAATACATGTTTGCTATAGTGTAATAAATAAATAGTAATAATAGCTGAATCCTTAAAAAATTGCAGTACTGGTGACAGAATAATATATATATAGTATACTGGATATTGTAGTTGTAACAAAATATAGTAGTTTGGTTCTTAATCAACTTTATTTGTTCAGTTTTATCAGTATTTCTTTATTCCCCTTAAAAAAAGACTCAATAATGTCACATTACCTGACAAATATCACACAAATCTACAGACTAAAGTATCGATGAATCTCTGAGCTCCAACGTGACAGGACGACAGAAAAGTGACACACACACACACACACACACACACACACACACACACACACACACAGGATGCTTACACTGTTCCTTTAAGGCCAACGTTGAAAACATTAAAGTGAACGTGACAGCAGTTCAACAAAAAGTCCAGTCACCTCTAACGTACCAGCCTTCAATATTTATGGGACAATAAAAGTTAAAGGGGCGTCCCGGCAGCAGGAAGGACGTCCCAAGGATGTAGAAAGAAGAGAAAAGCTAGCTTACCTTGACGTCCGCCTTCTTGTTGAGGAGACTCTTGGCTGCTGCGGAGAGGCAGAAGGACACACCCTCAGACGGCAGAGTACACATCATACACCTTCAGACAACCACAGCGCTCTAAAATCTGCTCACGGGCTGCACGGCGGCGGCGCATGCAACGCACGGGAGGGAAACTCTCAGCAAAGAAATCTCCAAAAGGAAACATGCAGGACCCACGGACAGAGTGACAGCTCGTCTATGCACATATCCTCCCTTTCTCCACCCTTAAGGGCAGATAAAACACCCAGAATTCATCCCTTCAACCCCTCCCTCCCTCCGTCCTGTAAAAAAGACATTAAAACCCAACGAATAAACACACACACACACATCCAACTGGCACCTCCTAACCCTGATCCACTGCCCAGAGCATTAGATAAGCAGAGGGCATGAAAAAAAAGTCAAACTAATTCTCCATATAATCCAAAATACACTCACACAGAGATGCGAGAGGGAGGGATTAGGAGTGAAAGCATTGAGGGAAGGGGAGCGGAGATGCAGGTACGTGATAATGGGTTTGTTAATCTCAAGAGTGGGTCGGATTAGTCGGGCAGAGTTCATCGACGGGCATAAACAAACGCACCCAGAAGAAGCCGTAACAGAAACAGTAAAGGATAAAGGAGGAAGGAGACGGTCCTGCTGACGTTAATCCTCCATCAGTGTATGTGTGTGTGTGTGTGTGTGTGTGTGTGTGTGTGTGAGCCTCAACTTGAAAGCAAGAGTCACACTTAAAGTCCTCCCTCCAGTCAGGAATCAGTTCCTACAGTTAGATGACAGGAAGTCGCTGGTTTCCCCCGACCGCTTTCCTTCAGGGGAACTGCAGCAAACGGACTGTAGTTTATGGATATTTCGTATCATATTTAATGTTTAACCGTAACAGGAGAGAACAGCTGATAAACTGAACAATGAACACAAACTTTAGTAACTGCAGGAAGTTTGTGTAAAACCAGAGATTTTGGATGAATTTTGAGCATTTCCTCAAAGTTTTTGGAACTTTTTCTCCAATTCTTTGTCTTTAATATGTTTTATTTGTTTAATCCATTTGTGTCCGCAACTGAACTTGAGTTTTTCCTCTGATTAGCTGTAACTTTATGAGCACTGACAGTGAATAACACAGATTATCTGGTTATCTGGGCTTATTAGAAGCAGGAAAAATGGGCAACATGAGGATCTGAGTGACTTTGATAAGTAGCCACACTGTGATGGACCACTGGGTCAGAACATCTCCAAACCTGCAGTTATTGTGGGGTGTTCCCGGTCTGCAGAGGTCAGTACTGATCAAAAGTGGTCAAAGGAAGGAACAGAACCAGAGACAGGGTCATGAAGGCTCATTGATGCAGGTGGGGAGTGAAGGCTGGCCCGTGTGGTCGGATCCAACAGACGAGCTACTGTAGCTCGAACTGCTGCAACAGTTAATGCTGGTTATAATAAAAAGTGATTTTAATTATCTTTATATCATCATATCTATATATTCCATATACATAAAATATGATGTATATGGAATATATATCATTTGGTGTCAAATTTAACACATTAATTTAGATTAATAATAAAAATCCTGTGTTAAAAAATGGAAATTAATTAAATGATCTATTATGGACTCAAATTATTAATTTCTAACGCCACCTTTAGATATTTCTGTTCAGTGTTTCACTAATGAGCCACGATAATGTCCTTTTGGGGGGTCTTCAAAGCAAATATTGATTGATTGATTGATTGATTGATTGATTGATTGATTGTGATTAAATCAGCAGATATTTCTGACATTCAATAAAACAAATGTTGAGGATTGAATATTTCTCTAGATAGATATATCTTATTATTTTATGTTTTTGACATCAAGCCGCAGGATAGATGGTTGAAAATGGCAGTTTAAGATCGCTGGTTTATACCCAACCTCAGAAATAAGAATGAATTTGATAAATAAATATATTTTGTAGACTTTTGTCTGAGAAAAAAAGGAATATTCAGCCATAATTTTCTCTTCAATCTCATTTTGTTTTAAAAAATCATTAAAAAAAATTTAATTTAAGGGCAAAAACAACAAACTAAATAATTTGTCTTTTTGTGTAAATTACAGTCTTTATTCCAGTTTGTTCCCAACTTCTCTGTTTACTCCTGTTTTATTGTTTGTTTATGTTTCTATTTCATTAATTTCTTCGTCTTTTCTCTCTTTTTCTTCCTGGTTTGTTCTTACATTTAGTTTCTCTCTGTAAGCACTGTTTATATTGTGTATTGTTTTTCCTTTTCTACACACGAAGCTACAGAAACAAATATGTGAGAATAATGAACGAAAGCATACGATTGTTTCTTAAACACTCTGAATAATAACTGTTGGTGCAGTGGTTAACATTACATCCCTGCTTTAATACAGCACACAATGTCTGGAGGGGATCTTTAAACCCTTTCTCCCATCACATTGGACATCTAAGCGAAGCAAACTGCAAGCAATGTGTCTCCTAATTCTCCGCAGGGCATGCGACTGTGTTGCACAACAGAGACAAGCACAGATATCTGAGCAGTAATACTCCCAGATGAGGGATGAGGCTGCTTACCTTGGCAAACATTTAGGGAGCATTAAAGGGAGAGAGAGAGAAAGAGAGAGAGAGAGAGAGAGAGAGAGAGGGTTAGGGGGGAGGAAGATTTAGGAGGAGAGATTAAAGCGAGCCGAGGGAGAGTGTGTGATGTCGCGACTCTGAGGGGATTTTCCATTTAATCATGACAAGTTCGGCGAGAGGAGACGGATGTGAAGTTTTAAAAAGGGGGGAGAGGTCAGGCAGAGAGAAGATGTTGGTTACCTTGCTCCACGATGCCAGCGGTGGTTCCAGGCACGTTGCTGACTGAGGCGGGGGCTGTAGTCTGCCGACCCACTGAAACACAGAGAGAGAGAGGAAGACGGTGAGGAAGACTTCAGGCTGATGGAGAATCACAACAACAACATGTTAGTCTGTCTCTCAGTACTTCCTGACTTTCTGTCTGTCGCTCTCTGCTCCAAACCCACTGGTTCCTACTGAAGAACCTCACAAATACATTGTTAGATATTTCCAAAAAGAGAAGAACAATGTTACAGCTACCCAGTGGTCTCAGTTTAATATACTGATGCCTCTATATGACCTGAACAAACAAGACCATCAGAGAGAATATCGGGTCGAAATTCTCTTGAAATCAATGATACAAGGCGATGGAAACATTATTCTCTTGTCCACAGGGGGCTGCCAGAATCAATACAAAATGTAAGTTTGTTGTAGCTGCTTTAAAGGTCCAGTGTGTAGTATTAAGTGGCATTTAACACCCTGTTACTACTGTAGAAACATGGCGGACTCCACCAGAAGAGGACCCGCTGCCTCTGTAGATAAAAACGTCTCATTCTAAGGTAACAAACCCAATAATTCTTATGTTCAGGTGATTAAACACTAATGAAAACATACCTATTAATATTATATTACACTTCTGACAATAGATCCTCCTTTTTGGCCAGATTTCATGGCAACTTTTCTAAAAAAAAAGTTGCATTTTAAGATGTCTTTGCAATTAAATTGTGGCAGAAAGAGGAAATTGTATAACTTAACAACCAATGAAACTTGTTCCAGTGAGAATAAAATCAAACTGTTTGGAGAGTGAATGTCTCCATCATCACAACAACCAACAAGGAGGAGTTAGGTGACGTAAAGCTCATCGTTCTGCACATGAAAACTACGTTTAAGTTTAATTGTTGTCATCGCAACTTCCTGAGTAATTCTTCCACTGCTCGTTAAAGCTCCAGTCTGACAGCAGCTGTTAGCTCTGTACATGCTATACAGGGCAGAGGTCAGTCAGCGTCCCTCCTGTCTCTCACGCCGCAGCCTTGAGTCTCCTTCAGTAGTTGCATTTTTAAAATATGCTTGGAGAAGAAACTAGATTAGTTATGAATATGATAATGTGTTGTACTTCTGTACTTTCTCAAGAGGCTCAGAGCTCAGCATCAAACTCTGATGCAAACAAGCTTTACTGTACGAGATTACGGCACAAAATCTAAGCAAATATCTCTGCGGCGCTTTCTGCTTACTCCGACACTGCCGCCCATCAACCTGCTGTGTGTGTGTGTGTGTGTGTGTATGTGTGAAGAGATGGCAGAAGACAGATGGCATGTCATCCTGTCCTCCTCTCCTCTCCCGCTCAGGGCGCTGACATGTTCCCTCCACTCTCGTCTTTTCGTCGAGCTGCACTCACCAGAGAAGTTCCTGGAGACGAGCATGGTGGTCAAAATGGCTCCCTGAGGACGGAAAGGAGAAGAGTGAAAGAGACGCTGTTAGAAGTGAACCTCTGTATGTTAACTTTGAACTGTATGTCAGTTTCTATCTTCATCTAAACTGTTTTGGAAAATCTGGAAAACCTGGAAATTTAGGGACTCGTTTTCCAGTAGAAACACCTGGAAATTGATTTCTTAAAAAGAGCTAAAAACCGCAGTAAAATTCCTTGTTTGAGTTCAAATACTTTGCCAATAAGGTCGATGCTGCAGAATATGGAAGTGTCTTAAAGCTGCATTCTCTCTAATGACCAGCAGGGGGCGGCTCCATTACCATTCAGTCTTATGGAGAAATGAGTCGACTTCTCAGTTGATTTATGAGCTCAGTAAACAGTTTCCTGATGAGTTTCTGGTCTCAGTCTCTAGTTTCAGTCTTCTTCCATACAGCATGATGTTCATTTAGTAACTGATGGTCCCATTTAGAGTAAAACAGACCATAAAGCAGGGTATGCTTTAGGGCGGGGCTACCTTGTGATTGTGTACTGTTCGTATCTGGAATACGAGATCGTGTGTAACCAAGCGAGCTGCCATTGTTTCCTGATACGGACGAGTTGAAACTGAGGAGCCAATGAGAGCAGCTGTACGTGACCTCCGCTGGCTCCAATTCACTGTCATGGCGACGCCCAAACACCAAACTCAAGGTTGCAAAAGCTTAAAATTTGATGGCATCTAATAAATCAGTTTAAAGTCTAAGATGGAAAAAACATTAAAGTGACTTTACAACTGTGACAAACTGCATGTACATTATCATACACACTCAAAAAACACAAATATAAGCATTTGAATACTTGTATTACATATATTTATAGTTTGGGATCTTTTGAAGTATTTTCCTTTATTCTTTATATTTAGTAAAGTTGATTTATATCGTTATCTCGAGAAAACAAAGATTAAGTTTAAGACGAGAAGTTGACCCCCTCCGTCCTAACAGCATCAACTCAGACGAGGAAAAACTCCTAAAAACACTTTAAGGTGGGAAAAAGTGGAAGAAACCTTAATAAAAAGGGACAAAAATGATGAAACTGATGTGAAAATGTGTTATTATAACTTGCTGCTGTTCTCTTCCTCTCGCTCTCAATCAAACAAGCTTAACTGGATCGACTGTTAAGGTTACATTATTACTAATTACACAAGACGGCGTCTGACGTCTAAAAGAGGCTTTAAATGGACAAAATCTTGCCGAGTAAACGCAGATTCACAGATCAGAGTTTTAAACTTGAAGCCCTTTCACACCTTGAGTTTCCTCCTGGCGTTAAACTTCTTCAGGCACTCGACCGTCTCCTGCCTGTGCATCATGGAGGCCACCGTCGAGCGTTGCTGTGGGGGGGAGACAGAGAGGGAAAGAGAGGCTGAAAATAAAACATTAAAGGCTCTGACAGTGACAGGTTTATGTGGGCAGGAGCTGTCGGAGATACTCGCTTCCCTCCAGTGTGTTGATTCGGAGGCTCTTTTAGGTGACGACATTCTCGGAGCTAAATACATTCAACTTGGCTTTAAATGTGGATTACATCATTATATAGAGGGACTGTTTTATTATACAGTGTTTGATAGGACACGTGGTACAGGCAGCAGAAAGCTTCCATATGTATTATTTTTTATTTATTAATCACCTTTTATTGCCAATATGTGAACGTGTTTCTTGGTAGCCTGCGGACTGATTTATATGTGTTTCTAACTGTGTGCAACACTAGCGAACGTTTGCTTATAAAGTCCGCAAAATACTATCTGAGTAGGTATGTTAGTTGGCTAACTTTAGCTTCCCCAGCTAATGTGATCTTTATATATTCTGACAGTCAGTGTTGATTTTATGATTAATAACTTAGTTTTAGTAGTTTTTAGTTTAGTATTATTCGTTTTTTGGGCGGGACGAATCATCAGTACGCATTGATTGACTGAAGATCTGCTTCCTTTAAACACATTTACATGATTTGTAGCAATAAATGTGAGTCTCGGAGAGCAGTGAGGAGGTTTATTTAGGCTCAGGAGAAAATTTAAGCAGTTGAACATTGCAGTTTTTGCACGATTTCGATAATATTTCAGATCATTGTGCAGCTCTATTATAGGACTAATTTAAGGAGTAAACATTGCACTGCATTTTAAAGTTAGATTAATGTCAGAAAATGTTATTTTTCTCACTTTTATCTGGAACAAACCATCTCAGATCACTTTAACTGCACATACTAGCACTCATCCCTCACACAGGTTAACCCTCCTGTGGAGCAGCTGACCTGCAAATGTTAGAGATGTTGCATGTTTGGAAACAGATGGTGCTGATATTTGGCAGCTTTGGACATATGTTCACAAACTCGGGGTCGCAGGGGGGCCATGAAACATTGACCTCCCTTGTGTGCAGGAACAGGGTGCTGATACATGTGTACTTACGCAGACCCATGGGTGCTTCAGGGCCTCCTGGGCTGTGATTCTCTTGGCTGGGTTGATAGTCAGCATCTGGTTGATCAGATTTTTAGCCTCTGGAGTCACCGTGTCCCACTCTGGGGAGGGAAACTGAAGCACACCCAATGCGTGCCCACATACATAAAAACAACATCATTTAAAGAGAGAGAAATTTGGAGGCATTATAGCGACAGGCTCACATCGTACGCTCCGGCTTTGATCTGCTGGTAGAGTTTGTGCTGGTCCTCGTCCCAGAACGGAGGGTACCCAACCAGAAGGATGTAAAGGATCACACCTACACACAGAAACACAAACCTTTGTCTGAGTGACATGAAGGAGAGGGAGAGGAGGCGGCGGTGAGACACGAACTGACAGAGAGCTTACCGCATGCCCAGATGTCCACGGGTTTACCGTACGCCTCCTTCCTCAGCACCTCTGGGGATAAGTAGCCGGGAGTCCCTGCAAAGCCTGCACACACAAAACACACATCAGGGTCCAGGTTCTCGTGTGGTTTAACATTAGGAACATATGCAGTGGAGCAAAAAGCAAAGGAGGAAGTCAGGTGAGGGTATTATCACAGCCGCTGGAAGTAAAATCCATAAAATCTGCCATAATGAAACAAATAAACCCCCCAAAAAGTTACTTTACTGAGATCTACATGTACACACTGGTAATTATGAAAGGAAACAGGTTTTAGATACTGACCCTCAGGGCCCGACCTGAACCTAAATGTCTGCTTAAAGTAGATTAAATAATGTGTAATGTAATGTAATGTAACTAAACCGCATTGTGCATACAAGAATATTAAGCAAATTATTATCAAAAGTAATCAATAACAAATGCTGGACCCGAGCCCGACCCAGGGCAGCAGTTTTGGGCCCGAATGTGTTGGGTTTTGTCGGGACCGGTCGGGTTCGGGCAGCGAATCAAAGCTCTACGGCGTCTCTGTGTCATACTGTGTATCTGATGAAGTGTGTAGGATAAATAATATAAAATATAAACGATCTGATTAATTGATCTGAGCCTTTTTATTATTGTAACCATAGAGATGAACGTCACTGTCCCTGGTGCTGAAAAGGTCAATCAATAATCATTCCCCACATAATCAAGAGCCAATAAAAAAATGGTTGAATAAATTGATATTTGTGTCAGCCTTCGTGGAGCTGTTTGACAGTATTTAACAGTATTTTTGGTGTTTAAAGTTACACTTGCATTAGGTGAAAGGTAATTGTATTTGCTCGGTTTATTATTTTAATACAAAAAATAATCGCATTTTTTAGGCCTTAACATGCTCAAAAACTCATGAAACTTTGCATGAAATTCGGTGGTAATGATAATTTCCGTATTCTTTTGGTCCCGTACGTGGGCGTCACAAAATAGCTTAGCCACGCCCCCCAGAATCAGCCGCCACGACACGTACGACCAACAAAAAAACCCTCTTGGACCCATACCCTAAACCCAGCGGGAATTTTGAATTAAGTATTCTTGTTTTGGGCGATTTGCAAGCGTTGTATTTAAACGAACTTCTCCTAGGGAATTTATCGGATCGACTTCAGATTCGGTGAATTAATTCTAAAGACGTTAACGATAAAAAGTTTTGCTATTTGTGACCGTACGTCGTACGCCGTGCTCGTAGCGTTGCATCGAAAAGAGGAAGTACATGGTCCAATCTCCACCAAACTTCACACATTTGATAAGAGTCCCACCCTGAACACATCCAGGTGACAATATTCAGTCACAGTGATAGCGCCACCTACTGGCAAGCCTTGTGTGGTGATTTTGATCTGATTTACATTAAATATTTCATGTTGTGGTCCACACATGATACACTGGCGCATGACACGGCTGCAGCACACCCCGACATCGCTGCTTGCAGCTTTAATTAGCAACTCTATAAAACCCTGGTGGAGACATTGTGAGAATTTTTATGGTTGTCAAAGCTCTGAATTGTCTCCGTTGGTGGACAAAAGAATCCCACAGAGTGAAAAGCTCCTTCAGCTCAATATGTAAATGAATGTGACACCATACCTGCGATGAATCAGTGTATTATATAAAGGAATGAGTGACTGAAGGGGATGTTGGAGGCAGTGATTTTATATATGCAGTCTGAGAATGCATTATGAAAATGCAGTTTAATGTAAAGTCATCGCTTTTAGCTTTGCTGCAGCCTCTTTATAATAAATCATTTTGGCTCCGGGTCAAAGAAAGTAAGTAACTTGGCTCAATCAGGCTGCTGAATTATCTTTAATATCCCGTAGTCAATATCCCTGTTAGCTTCCTGGATATCAGGATATACGCTGAAGAAAAAGTGGCCTTTCAGTGGGATGAGATATGTCTAATATTGGAGGCCGAGGAAGCAGAAATCTCCTCCTCTTAAGGGCTCGCTGACAAAAAGGATAAAGCGACCGTATGGATGAACAGTCCTGTGGAAGCCTTTTTTTTACTTTTCTCTGTCGAAATGCTGTTTGCTGTCTCCAGTGTGACAGCCCTGCTGCACGTCACGGCTGTCAGGCAACAGAAGACTTCATGATCAAGAGGAGGAGGAGGAGGAGGAGGAGGAAGGCAACAGACTGCCACATGTTATTGTACAAAGAGAAGATCCTATAGGCTACCATATGTCGGCAGCAGGTATCTTGATCTTAAAATAAAAGTTTAATTTGAATGTCTGTTGAAGTTTTGTGATTATGTTTCACTCAACATCCTTCAAACTCGCCACATTTTTGTTTTAATCTGTATTTTTTTGCAGCTTTATTGCTGAATGACGTCTGATTGGGTTTAATTTTTAAGGGCTAAGCCAAAATTGTTCAAATCGACTGAATCTGGAGGCGACGGCTGCACATTCAGGCTCTTCATTTCAATCTGTTTCTGGCTTTAATGCTGAAACATGTTATTACCTATGACAGAAACATCCTACAGCCCACGACTGCGGCTGCCCCAAGAGGAGAGGAAGAGAGCTTTACATTGGACTGCAATGGTACAGTGCTACCCTTGCCTCTGTGACTCTGGGTGCCGTTCAGCTTGAGGATAGCGTAGGTTTGTTTTGAACCACTACCCAACTGGATCTTCCCATATAAAGCTGCGTCAGTTAAGACTTTATTTGGGACACACTGGTAGATCTGGTGGATCTGGGTTCGTGTTAAATATCCCTCGACAGTAGATAAATCCGTAATGGAGAGAGTTTCTTGGCCGAGCCTCAGTAAATTCTGCTGCATCAAGAACCCATTTCTTCATAAATTACTACAATTTTCAGCCGCCTACATCCTTGTAAACTGCATCCGTGCGGTGCTACAATGGACAGATTGACAGGCGTAGCAACAGTATGGTCACCGGTCGTGTTGTGATGTTGTTTATATTAAATTATGTAAGCAGACTGCAGATGTGTCGTGTGTGTTTAACTCACCGAACCAAGCCTGCTGTTCTCCTTGAACCTCGATAGCCAGTCCGAAGTCGGCCAGCTTCACTGCTGCGTTCTTACACTTGCTGGCCAGCAGCAGGTTCTCTGGCTGCACGTATCAAACAAACAGTCAGTGAAACATATTTTATATAAACGTCTTCAAACTCTGTGACGGTGTGAACGTCCTCCGTGTGTCAGAATGAAGAAACAAACTAAAAGAAGATCACTTTCTCTTCTGGTGTTTAAATCTCTGGTTGTTAGCAATAATAAACTGTATTCTATCATTAATTAATTGTTATGTTGTATAAATGCAAAATAAAATGTAATATTCTACTATGAATTAATACTGATAAACAGCTGATATTTGGAACTTGAGCAAACAGCCATTAATGATCAAATGGGCCCCTGAACACAGACATGTAACGACCCCTCATATATCTGCTCTATAGACGAGTAACAGGGGCCACATAGACTGAAGAGACACAAAACTGTAGTTATTTTAGTATTTAGTTTCTTTGTGGCTGTTTTGAATCTCTTTCAACTTGTTTTTTGCATCTTTATAGTCATTTTTTGTCTCTTTGGGGCCTTTTTTTTCACTTTGAGGTCAATTAATTTTCTTTGTGGTTGTTTTGAGTAGTAGTTTTAGTTGTTTTGAGTCTTTTTGAGTGTTTTCCACCCTTTTATAGTCATTTATGTCTCTTTTTGGTTGTTTTGAATCTTTTTGAGGTCATTTTATTTTTCTTTGTGATCGTTTTATGTCTCTTTGTAGAATTTTGGATGTTTTGAGTCTCTTTGAGATTGTTTTTTGTCTCTTTATATGTTTTTCGTGTCTTTGCAGTCAGTTTGTTCTCTTTGTTGATATTTTGCTGTTGTTTCCAACGAGAAATGTAAACAGTCAGTGCATACAGACTGATCCTGGACCCTGTTCAGTCCATCCATGATACTAATGAGCCTCCTACCTTTCACCTGTGGCCCTGCCCCCACATTCAGGAGACAAAGTGCCCCCCCCCCCTCACCACTGATGGTTCTCATATAGAGTTTACAAGGAAAAATCTAAGTGTGACAGACCACTAAGATGCAGCCAGTCAAACCCGGATCAGAGGACTAATAATAGCTACAACAGACATTCAAGCAACACTTATACATATTCTCTCTCACACACACACACACACTCACACACACACACACACACACACACACACACACACACACACACACACACACACACACACACACACACACACACACTGAGACGGACAGATGGGTCTTAAAATGTGAATAAGCCTTTTTTTTTTTGCCATTTGTTTACTTGAGGAACCAAACACAGATTGTCTCTTTGCAACAGTCGTGTCTTTCCTGCTCAGACGCTGATGTAACAGCAGTCTGACAAACAACCTGCAGTCCACACACACACACACACACACACACACACACACACACAGACACACAGCTCCTTGTTGTATAACCAGTTAATGCTGACGGTGATTGATTTGTGCCACCATCAACCAATAATCATTCCAGCTCAGCGGCACAGAAACAGCTGTACGTTGTTGCTCCAGCTGCAGGAGAGTCTTCATCGTGTCACCCTCAGCTCGCTGATTCACAAACACAATTAGAGGAGGTTTGACTTATGAACAGGAGCTGGAACCTACTTAAACTGAATTAAACCTGATTAGATCATCTACAGCACCTCACAGCTCCCAGTACTGAAATATACCCTGAACATATCTGTCAGAGACATAACGAGGGGCTGGTAGAAGGTTCAAGATCACTCTCTTTGTCAGGTATCGAGCCTCTTTGGGACAATTCTCCAGGAAGAAGAGACTCTGGATTCAAAGGAATAGTTTGTCATTTAGGAAAATACACTTGGTTTTCCACAAGTCTGTGTGCTAAATATGAAGCTACAGCCAGGCACAGCAAGCCAAATCCAAAATGGCCAAAAATCATCATCAGGTCAATACCGTTGGTTCGCAACCAAATTCTTGCAAAACAACTGATGAGGGATGAGCGAATACGCCATTACCCAACTAAATGATCTGTATAATTTGGGCGGGAAGTGGGTGTGGCTACCTTAGAAGTTAGTTGCTATGTATATTTGAAAACTATTTACATAAGAGTCTTGAGCTTCGCTGGCGACACAGTTGGCTTTAAGAGGTTTTATTCATGCAAAGAAGTAGTTATGCAAACCTGTAAAACTTAATAATAGCCGAGGCGTTTATTTGCTTAAATCACTGAACTCCCCCGGCCTTTATCTGGGACAGGCGTTTAATTCCTTTAGCACAAAACTCAGCAAAGATGGACATATTCTATAAATGTGCTTCTTCTCCTGAGTATAAATGCATTTTTGTTTATATGTTTTGTGTAAATTTAAAGGACAGTTTCTGTTTGCATGAATTTAAATCCACTATTGTCGTATACATTAGAAGATATAAGTAAACTGTAATCCTAAAAAGCAACAGAGGGTTTGCCATTAGAGAGAGCATACGCCTCCTTTTGTTGTTGTTTCCTTTATAAAACCCAGGTAAGTGAACACTAACTCACTGCACATGACATTTCGAGGCACACGGAGGGTCAAATATCGATCCTCGAACATATTAGGTGTCATTCTGTCTGTAACAAACTGCTGAGAATTCTTCAGCCTCGTTTCATGAACCTCTAATGAGAAAACAACAACAACAACAACAACAACGACGACGACAACATCCGAGCGTCTTTTCCTTTGTGGTAACTTAATAAACCTCCACTAGGGAAATCATCACACGGCAACCTCGCGACCTTTCCCACCCGACCCCGTCTGTGTGTGTGACCTTTAATACGCTCCTATAGGGGGAAGTGATTGTGGAGTTCCCCAGAGAGTCGCTGCTGTAATAACAGGTCCGGTATGGAAGAGGGAACATGTGTCATAACAATATTTATATATGAACATACACAGATACATAAAGTTAGAATCCAGATATTGTTTTGCATTATAAAAAATGCTTTTAAAATTTGTTTTTTGGTAACAATTTATTTTAAACTCATGTTTAAGAGTTTATAAACAATTAATTAATGACTTATAACACATCATAGTACTTTAATGCAGTTGTAAGAAGATATAAGGTCAGTTTTTACATGTTTATGAATGTATTTATTAACTTTAACTCCTCTAACTGGTGTGTAAACAGTTAATAAATGTGCTTTTAATAAACTGTAAAAGCCAAAGTATTATTACTTTAAACTTTAAACCCATATGTGGACATTGAAAACAAACATTTATTATATGTAATACAGTATTTATTAAGCAGTTATACATATAAATCCCTACTGGTAGGTTGTTTTTATGTCCTAATGCAGCTTAATTTGTTTAATATAAAATAATGAATAACCAATTATGAAATATATTATTATATATATATGTATGTTGGTAAAAAACAAACAAAAAACAAAAAGCTGAAGCTGAAAGTGTGTGTATGGGTGTAAATGTATGTACAGATATGTTTGTATGCGAGAATACTTTATTATTATTGTTGTTGTTCAGTTGTTTGACCTTGTTTTTGTGTGTAGTTGCTCTTTCACTTAAAAGTTCAATAAATAAATTCTAAATAAACGTTCACAGACATCGGTTCAATGAAACACAAGAAGGCAGAAACTCATGCACGTACTGAGACATCGGGCCGACACATGCGCTCACATGCAAGGTTTAAACATCTTACTGCACTTACCAGCTGTCAGAATCAGGTACAACAGTCAGACACACAACTTTAAATCCCAACACACACACACACACACACACACACACACACACACACAGACACAGACACAGACACAGACACACACCCCTGCAGGTGACTCACCTTGAGGTCTCTGTGTACCACCCCCATCTGATGGCAGTGGAGCACGGCCTCCAGGATCTGCTGGATGCAATGACTGCACGCAAACAGCAGGGGGAGCAGGTTAGTCTGAGCACATTCAGCCCCCAACTGTCACATCCATGCAGAGGCAGCAAATACGAGCCACACACACACTCTCAGACACACGTTTCCAATATATATATATATATATAAAATCATCTCACATTTGCACACAATAAAATAAAGTGTGAACCTGTCTGCGAGCTACGAGAGGGGAGAAGGTGTGCAGTTTTTGCTATTTTCTGTTTCCAAGAAAGATCCGAGTGTTAGTCAGGCAGTGTGGGAGTGAGCTGCGGCTCCGTGTGGGAGGCACTGTGTCTAACCTGCACACTCTCCTGTGTAATTTATTCAAGCAACGCCGCCTTTGACGAAACATTTTAGCAGCTTTTTTTCCAGGCGTCTGAAGCCGACGCTGCTCCGCCGTTACTCCACTGAACTCTCTTTCATGCTTACTCACTCACAGAGTACGGCGCTCGGGGCTGCTAGGGACCCCCAGGAAATCACAAATTCTAGCTCAGACCGGGCTAAAATAGTCCCAAAAGCAAGGACCTGAAGACAGGCAACAAGAGACAGACAGACAGACAGACAGACAGACAGACAGACAGACAGACAGACAGACAGACAGCAGGCACAGGCACAGTGCTTTAAATCACAGGCAGAAATTAACAGAAAATAAAACACAAGCATGTAAAAGAGCAGCCCCTTGTGCAGAGGGCCAATGCAACACAATGAGACACACACACACACAACCACACACACACACACACCTTGAGGTCCCTGTGCACTATGTCATGTTGGTGGGTGTAAGACACACTGTCTAGAATCTGATGGATACAGTGACTGTGGAGACAAAACGACAGGGTGAGGAGCAGATAAAGGAGGGAACACAGGAAGGAAAACGAAGCATAAAAAAGGACGATAAATACGGAGGACGTGTGCAGTGAGAAAGATCGTAGTTATCAATCCAACAGAACTACAAAATAAAACACATTTAACTCGCTTCGCAGATAGTTTTCATTTTATTTTATTTTTTACAGGTTTTGAGATTTCTGCCACTCAAATATAATGGAGGTCAATGGGATTCAGTTTGTGTTCATCCTCAGTTATATTGTTCCTCTATTTAACAATGTACGCCAAAAAATATGCACATAAAACTCCATTTCTTTGTGTTTTTATATCAGAATCCAATCATTGTGTCTTCCTGTGAAACTAAATGTGACGCGTGCTCACGTCAGCATGAACTAACCGATTTCAACCAATAACATCCTGACATTCACCCGTCAATCAACTAGTGTTAGCAACTGAACGGGGCTCAGCAGCCTCCCAGTGAACACAACCTCAGAGACAGACAGAGGACAGTTTGACGACAGCGGGACCGAGGTGCTTTATGGGAGTTTCCAGATGGACTCGTATCGAAAAGAAGCTAAGTGTTGCCAATTCTGTGTGTGACTGAGATCTCAAAACCTGGACACATGAAACTCTCTGCGTTGCTGGACTGTAACTGTTGATTAAGAGAGAAAATATGTTTGCTATTTGGGTGAACCTGCCCTTTAACAGGGTGGAGATACAGAAGGGAGTGATGGAGCGAGTGTGTGTGCAGATGGAGCGCAGAGAGGAAACTGTCGGTGAGATACTGTTGGACAGTAATCAAGCCATGCTAATCACACACCCACACACACAAACACATACAGTGACACACACACACATAATTTATGCAAAGAGAACAAGGGAGAATGAAGGCCGATGAGAGGGTAGAAAATAACAGAGGAGAGAAAAACATGAACACTCAGCACACAGAGATAATTATTATTAACAGGCGGCTCACACAGCACTGCAGTAGGATGTTATTGTTTGTTCTTGCACAGATATGCATATTTTATGTAAATAAATACACGTAACGCACACAAAAACGTCTTCAGATCCCACAGAGAGAGGTTTCCTGCCCTGATGTTGTTTACTTGTTTATGTTGTGCTTAAAAAAGGAAACAAAACTGTTTAAAGTCTCCTCTCACTGACTGACTTCCTGTGTGAAATTTAACCCACTTGTGTCTGCAGGTGGTATTTTATTTTGTAATTTGACTGGATTCTCTGTGTCGTTATTCTTCGCAGACCACAGTGGAGCCAGAACGCATGGCAGCCGTGTCCGGAGGAATTTGGGGGGTAAGAAGGACACAAAAATCTCCTCTAACATTGTTGATGTGGCGTGAAATTCTATCTGGAAACTGCAAACGATATTTTATTTTGAAAACTAGACTGGATTGATGGTTCCTGTGTCTGACTTCCTGCCAGTGCGATCTGCTCCGTGCTGCTTGACGCTTTTACCTGTATTTAATTACATTGAATTTATCTAAACGTCATGTTTTCATGAATAATTATGTGCTGGACTTTTATTTGTGCAGTAAATTCTGATTTGAGTGATTAAAAAAGATAAAATAACTATTCATATTGATGCAGTGTGTGTGTAAAGTGTAAAATAAGAGCTAGTTTAACTGACTGCTGGTAAATAACACTTTGGTTTCTTTATGTTGAAGTATAGAAGTAGTTGAGTATAAAAAGGTGTTTTACAGAAGTGAATATTACATCAGGTGAGACAGATACAGATGTCTAAGGACGAAAAACAATAATAATAAAATCAGTTTTTACTGTCGTTCTCCCTCTTTCTCTCCCTCATTTTAATGTTTCAGTCCCCTTCTTTTCTTCCTCGTCTTCTCTTCTCGCTCGCCTCCACAAACCGCCTCCACAGTCAAATTGATTTAAGTCTACCTCCTGAGGGGGTTACAGCGTGGGCATGTGTGCATTTTGTACATGTTTCCATCTGCCTGTAAATTCTGACGCTTGAAGGGGAGCGGGGGGGGGTAAAACTCCTCGACCTCGACTCAGATTCGGATCACACGCACAAAAAGAGTAGAGGTGTTAATCCACCAGAAGTAGAGCCGGTAACACTTTAAAAAATATATAAATAAATAAAAAATAATGTGTCAAAATAATGAGAGGAGCTGAAACTCTCAGGGGGGGGGGGCTCGGCGGTGGAGGACTGCAGAGGCTGGAGGACTGACACATGGAAGGGGATGAAGAAGAGGAGGGAAAACCATTCGGGTGTTTACCTCGCATCTGCTTCACTGTAGTACTCCCTCGCCACAATGTCCTCGAACAGCTCCCCTCCCGTCACCCTGAGAACACGTGAAGACGGAGGTTAAGAGAAAGAGAGAAAAAACTGCCAAATTATATACGTTCATTCACTCAGGCTGCTCACACACACACACACACACACACACACACACACACACACACACACACAGGAGGGGGATGTCCTCATTAGGGGGAAACCCCGGCTGCAGGATTCACTCTGACAGGGTTGCCATGGAGACTGGCTCCGGTGCGGGGGAGAGTAGCTGCATCCGTGTATGTGTGTGTGTGTGTGTGTGTGTGTGTGTGTGTGTGTGTGTGTGTGTGTGTATGTGTGTGTGTGTTAAAGTGGAAGCCGCAAGGATGGGAGGTGGGGGAGGAGGGGAGGACTGTTATGTAATGGGGGGAACTGCCTTGGAAACGAGGAGAAGGAATGAGGAGAATGCGGATATATGTACAAAGGAAAAGAGAAAGTAAGGGAGCCTGGGGGAGACAGATGCAGCGAGGAAGGGAGGATGTGATGGAAAATGAAGCATCAGGGGAGAGGGAGGGAGAGGAGGAAGGAAGGAAGGGAGAAAGGGAGGAAGAGGAGGGAGGAAGGAAGAGAGGAACTCACAGGTCAAAGAGGAGATAGTGGAATCCCTCCTCTGAGATACTGTCATGGAGACGAACTGCAGGGAGACAAACAGACAAACAACTCGTCAAAAACAGTCAGCGTCCCGACGCAGTAAACACTGGAGGCTAGGACGCCGCTGTCGGTGACCTTTGCGAAGCAGCTGGACTCGAAATCACGTAAGAATCACTCTCGCCGGGCTTCAGTCTGTGAGTTTGTGGTACCGAACCAATCAGAGTCCTCACAGGAAGTCCGGGCAGTTCACATCAGAACTTAAAGAGGATTTCAAAGAACAGCACTGAAGGATTTTATCGATGGAAAACAGGTTTTTTGCTCTCACAAAAGTAAACGTTGACTTCTTCTAAGTTACCAAAGTTAACATACATAATATACTCAAGTTACATCAGTAACCTAGGTTACTCTAACCAGTGTGACTGTTAACATTAACCACACAAGCTTTGTTTGAAAGTCTACCCAGAGATTGCACATTTATTATTGCTAACTTTAAATACCTGTGTGTACCATAAACTGCAGTTCCTCTATTGACCACTTGATGCCATAAAATGTCCAGCGTTTACAGTCGTAATATTCCCCGTTCATTACAACTGTCTGGGGGGTGAATTTATATATAAACTCACCCGTTTAAGTTCTATTAAAGATTAAAGTTAAGCATAATTAAAGGGAGTGACAGGTGGAAGCAGTATTTGACGAGTTGGGAAACATTCAGGTGATTTCTCTTACTGTGCAGCTGAAGCATAAAAAGGTCAGTAATTACAACTGTCCCTCCCTGAGTCCGTTATTCAGGTCTGCTGTTATAAGTACCTCAGGGGTCACACTGATAATAGCTGGAGGGCCCACGTTGATCGTCTCTCAGAGAGTATTATAGGATATCTGCTAATGGCCTGGTACGGTTCACCTGCCTGTAATTGCTCGTCTGTACACACTGATATAAAAACTGAGAGAAAATGTCTTCCCTTTACAACAGAAACCACTAAAACGATGATTTTATTTATAAAGTTATTGTAATAGTTGGAGCTCCAAAAGGGTCACAATCCATAAACCGATGTAAAGAGGTCACAGGTTCCTAAAAAGAGACCGATACAACCTAAATGTTGTGATTTTAAAGAGGAAACGATGAAAGAGTCTCACCGATGTTGGAGTGCTTGAGCAATCTGCAGATCCTGGCTTCTCTCTCCAGTTTCTGATGATCTGTAAGACAGTTCAACAGACAGACAGGTGAAAGACAGACAGGTCTACAAATGTGTCAGTGACGTCCGATGAATCAGGAAAACCTCATTTTAGTTCATAAAGTTTAAAGTTGGAACTTTTCTCAAGGTGATTGACGAGACACACAAACACACAAACGACTTTCCTACATCTGCGAGAACGGCCGGAGGGCTGCATTCGTCCCAGATGCCCATTTAACCCCTCGCTCCAGAAAGAGGAGGAGGAGGAGGAGGAGGAGGAGGAGGAGGGAGGAGGAAGATGAGGAAATAAAAGGTTGATACAAGAGAGAAGATGAAATAAGGGGACAGGAGAGGAAACAAGAGGAAAGGAAATAAGAGGAGAGGATACAAGGAAGGAGATGAAGTAAGGGGACGAGAAAAGGAAACAAGAGGAGAAAAGTGGAACCAAAAGAGGAGAGGAAAAGATAAGAGGACGTAAGGAACTAGGAGAGGAGACAAGGAAACAAGATGACACAAGAGGAAACAAAATGAGAAGAGTGGAAATAAGAGGAGAGGATACAAGAGAAGGATAAAAGGGAGGAGATGAAGTAAGGAGACAGGAGAGGAAACAAGAGGAAATAAAAGGATAGGAAATAAGGAGAATACAAGACAGAAGAGAAAACAAGAGGGGAGGAGACCAGAGGAACCAACAGAGGAAAGGAAAAGATAAGAGGAGATGTGAGGAGAGAAATAAGACAAGGAGAAGAAACAAGAGGAGAGGATACAAGAGAAGGATACAAGGGAAGAGATGAAGTAAGGAGACGGGAGAGGAAACAAGAGGTGATGAGGAGGAAATAGGATGCGAGGAGACCAGAGGAACCAGGACAGGAATCAAGAGAAGGAAACAAAGGAAGGAGCTGAGGAAAGGAAACATGAGGACATAAGAAGAAAGACAAACTAAAATGTTTGTGTGATATAATGTCTCTAAACAGCCTTTAAAGGGTCACTGATTGCATCTTCTGTCACAACAATCTGCAGTGAAATGTGGAAACTGAGCAGAAACTCCTTTTTCCTTCAGTAAAAATGTTGATTTCTGTCGTCCTTCTCCTTCATCTGCCTCTCTCGGAGGAACAGACGTGGAGGCTTCACACGCTGGAATCAAACACTCGCTAAAATATGCTAATGTGAGCTTTCAGATCTGGGACAAAACACACACACACACACACACACACACACACACACACACACACACACACACACACACACTCAACCATGTTTCTGTTAATGTCTGCGTTTCACTTCCTCCTCTCACCTCTGGCCGAGAGCTTTTTGGTGTTGATGATTTTGGCGGCGTGCTCTTGGCCTGTGCAGAGTTTGACACAGCGGCGCACCACTGAAAAGGCCCCCCTGGGAAACAAAAGACAGGAGACAGAGATGAGGAGACGGGTCAGCTGCCACATAAAGCTTCGTCAGCATCGAGGAGACGTCTCAGCTTTCAGATCTGGACGCCGCTCTGCTCTCACGCCACCAGATCTGAACGCCTGATAGACACCAATAATGTGGGAATGTCACTTTTTACAGACGTTTGTCAAGAAATCTTCAGTTTATTCTCAGTTTATTGTGTAAATATATATAAAAAACAATGTTTCTCTAATGCAGCCTAAAGCAGAGCAACAAAAAAACATATATTTGTATATTTAAACTGTCTGTTTAAACTTGATCAAGGATTGATGATTGAGTTAAATGAACTTATCTGGTTTTACAGTGTAAAAATTCCCTTAAAAATTTAACTAAACTACAAACATACAAACTGTAAAACCCAAATGAGTTGGTTCAACTCAAACTGTTTGACTTAAACCATTTAAGTTTATTAACTTAAAACAATTTAAACACGAAGAACTGCACTCTAAAAACTAATATTTTGGCAAAAACAAAAAAACTTTGCATCAAACTTTTTGAGTTATAACAAATTCAAATAAAATTTTGTTCAACAAATGTTATAACATTGGGTTAAGGGAATTAGCTTTTTCTTTAAAATCAAAGGTATTTTTTATATTTTTTATTTAATTTTTAATATTCATTAATATTTGGCACAAACATATTTTTAAGTTGATTTGGCTTTTCATAAAAAATAAGTTTTATATCAAAGGTTTATCTAAATCAATAAATTAGAGCTTTTATCTTACAACCATACATTTAATTAAGTGGTGACAATTCACTGCATTACTTTTCAGTCAATTGCATTCAGTTAATTAAACCTTTATATTTAGACTAAATCTACATACAAATGTTGCCACTTAAGTGGAAATTAAGTTAAGTTAAGTTAAGTTAGTTTCACTCAAGTAAATTATTATATTACCTGAAAGATACAAACAACTTACAGAATGGCAGCAAATTAATTTTATGTGTTATTTATATTAATTAATTGTTACTGCTGTATTTAAGTTGTTTGTTTGCTAACATCAAATCTTAAATTTATCATTTTAATTATGATTTAAAGTCAACTTAAATAAAATGAGTCAATGGAACAAACTGGAATTAGATCACCAATAAATAAAATAAAGCACAAATAATAAGTTCACTAAAACAACTGAATAATTACTTCAACAGTTTGTTTTTGAGTTGGGTTTAATTGATGTGTTTGACTGAGATAAACTGTTTTACAGTGCAGGGGTTGGAGGGTCGGTGTGGGGAGGTCACACTGTGTTGATCATCCCGTCTGATGGCGGCTAAAAGCTATTTGGCGTGCTGGATTTTGTACCGATGAGACTCCCAGATGGCGGGAAGGACTTCGAGTGCTGGAGATCCTTGAGGATTATTGTGGTTAGGATTCCTTCACTGTTCATGGTTCAGGAGGTTTCTACCGGGAGCCCAGTTATCCACAGAGGTCTCCTCTCCAAAACTGCTTCTCACACAGTGTTGGACAGACAAAGGACGTCCCGGAGGGGCTGCGAGCCCATAGATATACTGACTAGATGTCTCCTTGGGCTTCTAAGCATACGTCAAAACCACCGCCATCTTGGAGCGGGGGTCTGAAGCGCCAAATTAGTTTTCCCGCATTCAGATCAGCTCTAAAGGTGCCGGACTTTTGTGCTGCTTATGGAGGTTCGAACTAAAGAAATAAAAAAAAAAACAGCAAGGGATAACATTTCACAGGTGATGATGTGTTTTATGATATTGAATGTTATGATTATTTCTGGTGATGAAATTATATTGTTTCAGTCTCATGTTTCAGTATATATATCTACGGTTGGTTCAGCGACGTTTTCAAAATAAAAGCACGGCTGTCAAAAAGGTACTGCATGAAATATTGAGCTGTGAAGCCTTTAGGTCGGATGTTTTTGTGATTGTCATTAGATATGAGTACAATACAGGTGTAAAAGCAAATACACATACTATTAAGTGGAAGAATAATAAACCTACGCCTACTAGTACTAGGCATTACATTTTGAAGTAGATTATATTAATATCAAAAGCTTAAATTTTCTCTGGACTCGAACATAAATACATGTCTGTCAGTTGGAACAAACCAAAAAACTAAAAAATTGTTCGAGATTTTGACGATTTATGGTGATTTTATTTTTGTTAGCTCTTTGCCTAGATTGACGCTAATGCATTAAAGGGGGGTGGATCCCTGCTGCAAGATGGATCTCTGTTGACGCATTCGTTCCAATGAACAGCAGTAGTCAAGGCGACATCTAGTCAGTACATATATCTATGCTGCGAGCCGAGCTGCTGCTAACGTTAGCTCAGCTTGTTTCTCTGATAACTTAAGATCCAGACGTCCGATGACTAAAATCCTTCATCCGGTTCAAATCTAGAGTTAAAAAGCACCAAGATCTAAACAGTGGATGGTAACAATGTGGCTTCAGACTGGATCAACAGTCAATGTATGACAGCTTCTGGCAGACAACCACAACGCTGACGCAGGCACAAAGGGGATATGACGCCATCGACAGGCGACCGGTGAAACGCAGCGTTACCTGAATAAAATGACAGATTTCTCAGAGGGATAGGATAATGTAAGAACTCAACTACATATAGAACATAGAGCCAGAGTTTATACACTGTTTAATGAGGAAATGCTGCAGATTATGGCTTTAAATGACCGTAGCTGCTACAGTTAGCCACTAATTCGAAATATTTATTGTCCACATATGTTGAAGATTTGCCTTTGGCTTCACCATAAATCACAATACACAACATGCACAGTACAGAGAACAATAACAAACAGGTGCAAAATGATTGCATTTGGTTTAAAATACTTTTTGTAAATGTTTCTGTGGCTCGTTAGCGAGTTAGTCCGGGTGAAATGAAGAACGGATGAAAGACATTCGGAGGATATTTCCAGCCACAGTAGAGTCACAGTTTCTGATGACCCCGTGTCAGAAATGATTACTTCCAATCTAATGTGCTTCTGTGGATTATTATCAGGTACTTGACATTTTCTCTCACCTTCTTCACAGACTGAATAAAGTTAATAGCAGCAACCACTTATAATGAAGTCCACATGAAACAGAAATCAGAGCCGTTTGTGAGGGAGGGACTGAATGCAGTCGACAGGGAATAAAATACGGAGGTGAAGTTGAAGATTGATTGACGTTAGTTCATGCTGATGTAAGCACGCATCACATTTTGTTTTACAGGAAGACACAAAGATTGGATTTTATATAAAAATACAAATAAATCGAGTTTTATTTTTGGTATAAATTGTTAATTATGGGAACAATGTAACTGAGGATGTGATCTTAAAGGGTTAAAATTACATCTTTAATTTCACCTGGACTTTAACATCCACCCAACAGCGCCCCCTGTGGTCCCAATGTACCATGGTCACATATTATATGACAATTTGTAATCTAAGCACTCATTTTCTCCATAATCTGAATAATTTGCGTGATGAACCAGATGCAGATAAGCAGCGTTTCCAGGATGAGTACAGTAAGTCTGTGCGTTGCTGCAGTTTTAGAAGGGCCACATTTGCTCATCAAACCCAACAGAGACAAACAGAAATAACCACCACTGTCATTTCTCAGAGCTAATTTTATCTCACCTCAGTATTGTTACGCAATGAAACACACTCACGCTCACCTCAGAGCCCCGGCCTCCCTCACAAGCCCTCCAACACGCATACATTAAGAGGAGACGGGGTGAGTAAGCATGACACTCACTGACACCGAGGAGGGGTAAATCTGCAAGGCAGGTGGGAGTGTAATAAACCCTCGAATTTAATCCTTTTATAGGCTCCCTTTGTTTATTATTATCAGCCAAAAATAATCAAGAATAATATTTAATATATATTGAATCTGGAAAAACGTTGGTATTAGAAGTGAAAGTGAAAGTTAATCTTAACACTGTAACTATATTCTTGACTCAAAGGCCACTTGCTAGCTTTTCCTTGAGCTTTACCCGAGGGCTGCGTGGTTGAAAGCTCAAGAAAAAGGCTAATAAGTGAACTTTGAGTCGAGATAATCAAAGTTAAAGTGAAGGATTTAGCCGTCAGGATTCAGGATTCAACGTGGCGGTTCAACATGGCTGCCTCTGTAGAAGAGGACCCGCTCCCTCCGTAGATAGAAAGCGTCTCACTCTGAGGTAACAGACACACAAGTAATCTTATTTTCAGGTGATTACAAACTATGAAAACATACCTTATTAATATTATACTACATTTCTGACAATAGATCCTCCTCAATGTGTTAAATGAAATATAAATTATTAATTATTAAATATAATATAAATTATGTATCATAACTTAATATTTTAAGTTACTTGTGGTTTCCAATTTGATGATCAACAACAAACCAGTTAAATATTAAAATGTTTCGACTAATTTGCCGTCAATCTTTGATTTTTAGGTTAATTAAAATCATTCATGACTTTTGTTCAATAAAAAAAGACTGGACCTTTAAAGTAAAAAAAAACTCAAATTGATCCATATAATCAATTTTTATCCTCATAATGTCACAGTTAAGAAGCGGGAACATTAATTTTGAATACTTTTCAAAATAAAACAATTAAAAAACAACATAAATTAGTTTAATGATCTGTTACAGACACATTGTTATAGGTTTAAGTTCAATGAAAAAAAGACGTATATTTGGATTAAAACAATTTATTGATTTCTTATGCCACCTTTAGGTATTTCTATTCAATGCTTTAATAATGTGATCAAATATCTTCATTTGGGGGGTTTCCCAGGAGCAAATATTGATAATTAGCATCTATTTCCACATCCCCATGAATACGTCTGCTTTAAAAAAAAAGCTGCTGATTAATTAACCGATCGATTCATCAACCAAACTTTAAGTGGAGCCCAAACACACACTCAAAAAAATCCTCCAAATACATCTTCAAACACACACAAACAGCAGCAGAAACAGAAATAAAAGCTGTGTTATCAGCGAGGGCAGCTGCTGCTACTCCTGCATCTCTATTGTCTTTAACTTATCACAGCCCACACACACACACACACACATTGGAGATCCCAGCCACCACAAATAATACATAAAAAGCCGTCTGTATAAAATCAGCATCCACAGCCCTGAAACTCCTCCAGAGCTGGAATAAATGTTCCTGTGAGGTAAACATTGCAGAGAGAGAGAGAGAGAGAGAGAGAGGATCCTCTCTACCCACGCACAACCTGACAGAGACACTGAGTCCACTGTGCATCAACCCACTGTGGCTCCCAGAACCTCTTCACTCTCAATGTGTCTGCGTCCTATTAGGGGGCCACACATCAACCCTCTTCCACCTCCTCTTCCTCCTTCACAACACATCTCTCTATTTCTGTGTGTTAGTTAATCACCAGACACACCTCATTAGAGGAGCGGTGGATGAAGCAGCAGCATTATTCTCTGACTTTCTCCACTAAGCTGTGTGCCACTGTGATTAAAAGCCAGCTTAATTCCGACACATCAGCTCATATTAGGCCTGTTTGTCCCTAATTAGCCTTTTGGGGGGCAGAGAGAGAGAGAGAGAGAGAGAGAGAGAGAGAGAGAGAGAGAGTTAGAGGAGGAAGAGGAGGAGGAGGAGTGCCCAGAAGTGCTCCATGCAAAAAAAGAAAAAATCTAAACTCTCCTGCATTTTTAATAAAGAGGTCTGATGCTGCAGAGGGTTTTAATGATTTTGCAGAAGCTAATTTTAGATGCAGGAGCAGCGTGCGTTTTTGTTTTGGAGGCTCTGGAGCTGCATCCATCCCCGCAGATGTTGCAGACCTCCATCCTTCCTCCTCATGGCTCTGAGGACAGGGGGGGTGCATGCAAGGCAAGGCAAGGCAAGGCGAGGGGAACACTCAGATAAATATTATGCAACAGCGGCTTACTTGCCAAGCTCCTCGTACAGCTGGTATTCATCCGTAAAACGTGTGCAAGTAGTCGTTGCCATGATGTTTCCTCCTCGGACGGGTGCGGGACTCCGAAATGCGCGGTGCGTCGCTGCGGACGGGAGGACCTTCTGGGCTCAGTCTCCGCCCACCTCAGACCTCCGGACGGGTTCAGCTGCACACACACTCACACACACACACACACACACACACACCCACAGGGGGACGGAGGGGTCCCGGCTCGGTACGGTGGTGGGCTCTCCGGTCTGGCAGCCGGTTGCAGAGGAAGGACTCTTTAAATACCCACAAACTGGAAATGTGAGATCACCACATGACGTGTTCCTCCGGGTGGGGGATTAAAAAAAAAGGAAAAGAAATAAAGAAAAAGTGAAATCAGAAGAGAGAGAGAGAGCTGATTGGACAGATTACTCTTTAAATAATCAGACAGTAATCAGATTACAGTGTATTTATAGGAATGTTTTTCAGGAGGAAGTGAATCCAAATGTTCTCTTTTTAACAAATAAAAGATTATAGTTTAATTTAAGCATCAACCTGTCAGGAGCCCAAATAAACCAAAAACATCATATAGCTATAAGAGCATAAAGTCCTGCAGGGGTCCAGGTTCAGTACCAGAACCAGAACCGACACTTTACACCAGCAATAATCCGGATCAGATCCGTTAATATAAGTTCATATGAGGTCATATTTTGAAGTTTGAAGTGTAGAAACTTTCATTTAAATCATAATTTATCACAGCAGCAGCATAGTGAGTCTGTTTGTGTTGTTAGTTTTTGTTTTTAACTATTTATTTGTCCGATTTTGATCAATTTTTATTGTCTGTTTACTTTCGAGACGCCATCCTTCAGTTCTGCAAAAGTGTTTCAGTGACCTGCAGAGGACAGAGACTTTAGGGGGCGTGGCCTTCATACAGACTGACCACAGCAGCGTAGCAGGAACAGCGAGTTAGTCGGAGCCAACAGAGCTAATAGAGCTAATGAGCAGCTGCTGTCCGACTCTCCACTGGAGCTTTTATTGGTTTTATATGTTTTAATCACAGTTCAGTTCATATAATTCAGTTCACGGCCTTTAAAAACCACATTTTAGGGTTAAGGACCTCTTTAATGTACAGTGAGTTTTATTTATACTGTCAGTGTTTTTATTTTATTGGAAAAAAACAAAAGTCTGAATTTATCAGCGCACACAGTTTCCAACGATCTGATGTCCCGACACAAACGTGACAGCAGACGTTGGAGTTTGTGATGTGGACAAAGGGAAGGTTTTCTTCTACTCACTGTACCATGAAGGTTTTGTTGGTGAATCGATGCACCAACACTTCTGTTCACATTCACAGATCTCATCTTGACCTCCACAGTTTCCCCTTAAACTGCCATCTGTTAATTACATTTCACACTGTGGAAACTGCCGGCTGACAGCACTCTTCTTGTAGTCTTCTCCTGCCCTGTGGACATCAATAACTTTCACTTTCAGCTGCTCAGAGGAACCGGTGGTTGCTGAGTGTTCACTCAAAGGTTTGAGGAGTCAGAGAGTCTGTAAAGGGTTGAAATTGGCTCCAGCTGATGTTAGATAACTGTTCACCTCCCTCGGGGCTAACGAGCCGATGAAGGTCTGAGACTGCAGTACTCTTAGTTTGTCCAAACCTTTGCACAGACGACCACAGTGATGTTTCTATTTAAGGTTCAGTTTATGAAATTAAAACAAAAAATGCACAAATGTTTGCTGCAAATATTGTGTTTTATGTTCCTGTTTACATCTTTTTTAATAAAGAAATCATAAAAATGTGTCAACAGGAGGCCAAACTGGTATATTGTTGTTATAAATTGTAGCATATTGAACATATTTTAACATATAATTCTTCTCTTATTTATTTCTCATAACTTCTCTTTGCTTAACAACTACAGCAGCTGTAACCCAACTCAACCCCCCCGCCTCCCCTGGGATCAATAAAGTGTTCAGAGTCTGATAAAGACTAAAGAACAGTTATAATATCTGACAGCAGCACTCTGCTCTCATTATGTTTCTGTTCCGTTCATGGACCCCGATCACTGACTTCATTAATACATAAATTGCTTCTCTGCTACTTTGAAAACTAAGTTTGAGACACTGAAAGGGAAATGTGTCTCTTCCTCTCCTCACTTAGTTCAAGTTAAAACAACGCTGTAATGCTTTCTTCTGCATCCATTTGTACAGAGCCGCACAGCGCTCTTATACCTCCTCCTGAGCCGTCATTGCATTCACACACACAGTCAGCCATCTTTCCACTCTCTGGATGGAAAGAAAGAGCTGATGATGGACTGAAGGTGAGAGAGGAAACATAAAGATGGAAAGAGAGGAGGGAGAGTCAGACACTGAGGAGTTTAATGAAAGCTTAGTATCTCCTCTACTGCAGGAGGGAGGGGTATTTTCAAAATGCTCAGTTCTGAATTTTAGATAATATAATATAATATAATATAATGTAATATAATACATTATAATATAATATAATATAATGTAATGTAATATAATATAATATAATACACTATAATATAATATAATGTAATATAATATAATATAATATAATGTAATATAATACACTATAATATAGTATAATATAATATAATATAATGCACTATAATACACTATAATATAATAAAATACACTATGATATAGTATAATATAATATAATACAATACAATATAATATAATATAATATAATGTAATATAATAAAAATAAAGTAAAAGTATTATCCAAGGTTATTATAATAAAACTAGGTGTGTGGTTTTAGTTAACTGAAATAAAAAATAAACACTTTAAGCATGAGGAGACTGGGATGTTCTACAGCAGTGGTTCTCAACCTGGGGGTTAGTGCCCCCACTAGTGGTCACCAAAGCTTAAGCGGGGGTCGTGAGGCCTTATATACACAGTATGTTACAGTCCATCAGTCACCATAATCTGTTTTATTGTGAAATTATAATCTGTGTGTTTGTTTCCTGTTTTATTTTTGTAAACGCTGCAAATGAGTGAAATTTATTTACAAATTTTAAGTTCGATTAACTGAATGAAATTGGTTAATTTACCCAAGTTACCTTAACAATAAACACTTGAGTTATTTGTATATTTGGTCATGCTTAAAGTATAAATTTAAACAGTTTAATTAATTAATAGTTTAAGGTGAACATGGCGCTTTGAGTCCTCAGTAGACTAGAAAGATGTTACATCAGCACAGTCACATAAAGTACTTCTTGTCTCCCTCAGTCGTCACGAGAGGCTCAAAAACACTTTAAGTATTAATTAATTAAACTGATGTATAATTTCTCCCAGTAAAGACTCGTCTCAATAAAGTGAAGAGAAGAAAATAATAAAATATGTATTAAAATGATTATCAAGGGGCCATATTTAATTATTTAAGTCTTCACAAATAAACAAACCATGGAATGTGTTTGATTAACAAACTAGAATTGAGTTAATATTAAATGAATTTAATGAGTTTATGATAATTAATTGTTTGGATCATGTTTGTTGGACATAATTCAAAGTAAATTCAGATAAAAGTCATGTTGGTCCAACAAGAACAAACCATTTTTTTTGTTTTTTGTACTTTTTGATACACAAACGTTGTTCTTTGAATTTAATTAATTGATGAAACATAAAATAATAAACATAAAAAATTACTGGTGCCATTTGACAAATATAATATTAGTAAATCAACGCATTTAAATTAAGTTGGACCAACAGAATCTGATCCTGTTGAAAATACTTTCAGTGATTTAATCAACTTATAATTGCTGATGAAGACTGTGAGATGTGTTTAAAGACAGTAAGTGGGCTTTATGTTTTATAATTAAAGTTTTTTATTTATCCGTTGTGTGTTTGTTTGTTTGTTTGTTTGTGAGGCAGCTGAACCTGTTGAACATGTTATAATATTTTTCCCTCTTCTTTTTTTTTTATCAGAGAAGACAAAAAAAAAAAAAAAAACAACTTTAATTTTAAAGTTTTAGGTTTTTTAAAAAAAAAAAAACCAAACCCCTTTAACATTTTTATTATTAATAAAAAAAAAAAAAAAAAAATTTATTTCCTTCTTCTTTCCTTCCCTTTTGAAAAAAAAAAAATTATTAAAAATTAAAAAAAACTCCCTTCTTTTAAAAAAATTTAATTTTTTTTTTTTTTTAAATTTTTAAAAAACCCCCCCCCCAAAAAACCAAATAAAAAATAAAAAAAAAAAAAAAAAAAAATAAAAAATTTTTGGGGTTTTAAAAAAAAAAAAAATTTTAAAATAATGTTGATCAGTTCTGATATTTTTCTAACATTTTCTGTCTGTATTCTGTATTTTTACATTTCTAACAATCAAACAGACTTAATAGGTTTCTTTTTTGACATTGTTTAATCAGCTCTTTGGTTGTTTTTAAGCAGGACGAGTCTGTTGATCAGAGACTGAAGCTCTGTAAAAACAGTTCAGATCTCAAATAATACTCTAAACTTTAAAACACTTTCATTTAACTTTGCTTTAGATAAAGCCCTACTGTGTGTATTTTTTTTAAAGTTTTATTACACCCCATGAAATAAAAAAGGCCTCGTGACCCCAATGAAGCTTTGGTGACCCCTAGTGGGGGCTGTGATTTATGGATTATTAAAATAAAAGCGGTTAATAAACCAGAGATAAATTACAACATAATAAAAGTTACACAGGCTCCCTAGATTACTTGTTTTAAGATATCATTTTCCAGTTTTTCTTGAGAACAAAGGACAGAACTTACTAACAGTTAACAATTATTTACCTGTAGATTTAAAATCGACACATTTAACTGCAGTTTTATTCCTTTTTATTGATGCAGGGGTCACTGATTTAAGTGGTCAGTGTTTATGAGACGTTTCTGTTGCGTCTCCAGAAATTGGACCACGGTTTACTTCAGTCTTCCTCTCACCGTATATTCATTTGGCCACAGGCCATCAGTAACAGTTCAAATGAGGCAGAATTTCCAGGACATTTGGGCATTTTAATGAGTGGAAAAGAAGTTTTAAACTCACACAGAATCATTTTTTCATTAATTGCAGCCATTTTGAAACTCAGTAAACTTAATTTATTGATATATTTCAGTATCAACAGCTTACTACTACGATGCCAAGTGGCTCATGCTCAACCGTGATGATGGAACTCGATCTTTGATCATCGATTGGCCACTTTCTTTAGTTATTCACGTCCAAGCTTGTTAGATTTAGCCCCAAGTAATTGTGGTGCAACAGATTTTAATATCTATATAACTGAGGAGAGAACTTACACATCGCTGGTGCAACCCGGTGCAATGGACACAAACGCACATTAATCCTCATTTTCTTTTGCAGATTTTCTGGAAATTTTGTAAAACTTTATGCTACATTTGGATAAAAAGAAATGGTAAAATGCTGTTTTGCAAACAGTTTTTGGGGAATTTGTATGAACACAAACATGAGAAACAATAACAGAATCCCTCAGTCGGGCAGACAAACCTATAGGCACTGCAGAGTTATTAAATAAAGAGCAAAACAGTGAACAAAGTACACATATTTATCAGATTTCAATCTGCCAAAACATCAAATAAATGCTCAATCTAGTGACACGATGTCCTCGTCACAATCTGAATTCTCTTCCCACCCGTCCGCTCAAAAGCTCCAAACACAACAGACCGGCAGGGAAACCTTCCTGCCACCAGTTCTGTGAATAAACTGGGTTTCAGTTCTGGTTTGGCCGAGTTGTGGCTGTTGCCTCAGAACTGCACTGCGCTGGGTGGGATGTCGAACATGGAGGGGTCGAACTGCTGCCCTCTGAACGGTGAGCCCTCGGCGTCCCAGCCCTTCTTCAGCATGTCGTGCACCTTCTGTGGAGACAAACACAGAGAAGATGTGACCTCTGCAGCAGTCGGGCTAATAAAGACCACAGTGCCATCTAGAGGGGAGTCACTGACCACCAGAGCTGATACAAACAGACTGATAGTTGGTCTCACGGCTGAATGTCTGTAATAAAAAGATCTCAGTGTGGAGGATTTGGTGACATCTAGTGGTGAAGGTGCAGATTACAACCAACTGAATACAGCTCAGACAACCAAACTTGTTAAGTTAAAAACATTGTTGATGAAGCAGCTTTTACTAGAAATTTGAAATGACATTAACTTAGTTTTGTACTTTTTACTCTGTATATTGTTTTTACAGGACAAATAAAAATAGGAAAATTAACTCACTTAAAATTATTAGTAAAAGCTTCTCAATTAATGTTTTAGTTTTTTTCTGTTACTTAAAATTTTCAATGTAATCAGTTTTGTTTGTTGTTTTCTAAAATTCAGTATGAATAAAGTCTATTTTTATATATTATATTATTATATTTTGTTACCTTGATGATGCCAAAACAGCCTAGAGTTGCAGGTTTTATTTTATTTTATTATATTTCAGGAGCTTCTTTAGTCTGTGTTGCCTGCCCGACTTTGTTTACTTAAAAAAGGAAACAAAACAATGTGTTCCTCCGTTTCAGATCCTCTAACCTGCCTCAGACTGAGCGACTTCTGGTCTGGCGCCACAATGTTGAATGTAGCGTGAAATACGATCAGGAGTCTGCAGGCGGTATTTTATTTTGAAAATTCTCCATGCGGTTTCTGTGTCTGACTTCCTGACAATGTGATCTACTCCTCGTCCTTCATGACGTGAGAGGATCGCGGCTTCCGTCAAAAATAGACTCCGGTCGGTGTCTAGGTCACGTCCCCTGAAGTCTCTGATAGAGTTTAAAGGTGTAGTTACATCATTATTAGACCAAAAGTGGACTTAGTACGTTCTTTAATGAGTATAAATTAAGTATATTTCTATATAAGTGCTGCTGTGTGTATATGTGGATTAACAGGTGGCTCCAGGTCAGGTGGTTTCTGAGTACCCTGTGTTATCTACTTCAGGTCTGTTGTGTTTGTCGAGTCGGTTCCTCACCATTTCGTGACTCTGTGGTTTTCCCTGCAGCTTCTGGTGGTAGTCGAAGGTCAGTCTGTCCAGGACGGCGTGCTCCTCCTCGTCCACCGTCGCCATGGAGCGCTCGCGGTTGATCTGGTTTATGTCAATCTCCTTCTCTCCCTTCAGCACCGCGTTCCACCAAACCTCCGAGGTCTTGCTGAGCGACAGCTGGAAGTCGAACGCGGCGAGTTAGATTGGAAGTCGTTTAAAAGTTGCTCTTACGGACGGAATAAAACACGAGTGTACTCACGACCACGCAGCTTCCAGGCTCCAGACTCCACAGAGAGTTTTCGGTGTTGATCTTGTGAGTGAACTCTCCCTCCATCAGCGTCTTCTCCTCGGCTCCCAGCACGCACACTTTCATGCTGCTGGCCTGCAGACTGACTCTGACCTGAGGACGGCCAGCGGGACACAAGCATGAGACACAGCCGGAGTCAGAGAGGTATTCGTGGTATGTGGGGGGGGGGGACTGCGTTTACCTGCCGGCCTTTGACAACCGTCTTTGGCACAAACACGCGAACCTCCAGGTCAGTGTAGTCCTGAGACCAGCTGTAGTTGTCTCTCACCGCCCCGTTGTAGCTGTCGGGGTCGGACTGAAATTTATCCTGAACCCTGAAACACAACGACGGACAAATCCTTTAAAAACCAACGAAACGTCAAATATTTTCTGCTCTAATGTTTCAGCTACATCGACGGTATTCAAAACTGCACAATGAATCCAAACAGTGAACTCAGTATCTGCAGGACGTTTGTGTCAAACCAGAGATTTAGATGAATTTTTAACAGATTATTTGCTGTTTAGGGAACTTTTTCTACAATCTGTCTGTATTATGTATTTTTTTTATACTTTTTAACAATAATAGAGACTTGAAAGATTCTTTTTTGACATGTTCACTGTTTTCTTGCTCACAGAAATGAACTAAATGCTGAGATATAGACTTACTCTGTGTATTTTTTAAGTTTTCTCACACCCCTTAAAAATCAAGAAGACCGTAGGACCCCCTGTGAAGCTTTAGCGACCCCTAATGAGTGTCCTGACCCCCAGATTGGGAACCACTGACTTAGGTAAAAGAAACGATTAATGGAGATATTGCCCAGCCCTCTCCTCGATACCACTGGTGCTCTTTTTCTTCCCAGTTCCCTTCCACATGAAGACCTTGCTTACTCACTCTTCTGCTGAGTTTGTGCTGGCTGCAGCTGCCTGGTCTCCCTGAGGTAACTGGGCCTGAGCGCCGTCGGGCTGAGGGGCGCCGGTCGCCTCGGCAGGAACCTCCCCGCCGTCCGACGAGGAGGAGGAGGAGCTCTGCGTCTGCGCCGCCTCCGCGCTCTTCTCCTCCGTCCCCTCGGGAGGCTCGGCGGCGATCTCCAGCTCCTGAACTGCCGGGGGAACGCTTCGACTCTCCTCTCTCTTCTGCAGCTCGCTCAGCTGCCTCTCTCTGTCGTGATCCGCCATCTTCTCAAACAGCTTAAATGTCTGAGGACGAAACAAAAGATTATCACAGATCAGTGCAGGAACTTCACTCACTCACACATCTTTACTCAGAGAGGAGGAAATCCAGCGTTTCATGGGAGTTGTTGTCTTCACCACCATTGCAGTCAGCTTCTCCCGGTTAGGATTCCTTCAGTGTTCATGGTTCAGGAGGTTTCTACCGGGAGCCCAATGATCCACAGAGGTCTCCTCCTCTCCAACACAAACAGACCCGCTGATTAAAACCACTAAACACACTGAATAAAGCAGTTCCACCTTAAACACACTGAATAAAGCAGTTCCACCTTAACAATCACTGCTTCTCCCACGCTGTTGGACAGACAAAGGACGTCCCGGAGGGGCTGCTAACGTTTCTCTGATAACTTAAGATCCAGACGTCCGATGACTAAAATCAGTGTGTTCAGTTTATTAGGGACACTCTTAAACTAATGTAATCCTGAATGAAGGTTGAAACTGTGGCTGTTTACATTTTCACTGAAAAAACATATTAAATTTATGCTGATGTGACATTTGTTTGGCTCTGTAGGGTCAAAGAAACACGTTTCCTTACATCTGGAGAACAACATCTGTACGTCTGCAGCACTTTATAATAATGTCTGTCACATATTTGACCTGTGAAACAGAAACCGTCTGAACTGTAGTGTGTTATTCAGAGACGAGTTACTGCAAGTTATCTGTTTAACTTTATTCTTACTGATCTCTATATACAGATATTTAACACTTAATCTGTTTTCTGTGCCAATAAAGCCAGTTTGAACTGAACTGACAAAGAATAACACAAGTATAAATAAATAAACAATTAAATAGATAAATACTTTCTGTATTTCTGCACTTATTTCTATTTATTTATTCATTCCCATGTCAATATCTATTTAATTGTTTATGCCTACATATATTAACTTATTGATTTAAGCCTTTCTTTCTGTGTTTGTAGGTTGTTGTTGTCCCTCACAGCTGCTCGACCCTCTAACCTCTCCGGTACGAGCGGGGTGGACAAAACAATAGAAACACCTCAGCGTGTGCCAGTGAACGTCACAATAACCACAGTTAAACCAGCTGACCTGGAAGCCTCAGTCACACGTGAAACACCACCTGCTCCCTTTTTCACCTGGTTGCCTCGACAACTTCACCTGAAACACCATTTTCTCCGCCGCGCCGGGGGGGAAGCCCATCTTCTCGCCGGGGCTCGACAGCCGGCGGTAGAAGTCCGTCTTGCGGTACAAGAACCCGAAGTAGACCCGCAGGAAGTCGTGGATGTTCCCGACGTGCTGCAGGATGCCGAGCAGCGCGTTGTCGTACATCTCTGTCATCTCCAGCGGCGACGCCATGGCGGGCTTTCAACGGCTCTCCGTCAACAAACAAACAAACAAACAAACAAACAAACAAACAAAGAGAGAGAGAAAGGCGGTCGGTAAATTCAGGTTTATAAATAAGTGGGTGTCTTCTGTTTCCCCGCGCCTGAGTTATAGTGACACTTTCCGGTGCTGGGTTTTCAAAATAAGGGTAGAAGGTTTGCAAAACACGTGTGTTTTGACTCAATCGATGGTTTGAAAATGTAAAAAACGGAAGTATAAAGATTTAATATTGTGTTGTATCTATCTAATAATGAGTATAAGCAATTTATCGAAAGCTGCCCTTTCTCTAAGATTTTTATTTTGTCTGTATCCGGTGGGTGCGGTTAAAAAGTCGTCCGGTGGAAACGATCGGCTACACAGTTCCAAGGTGGAGGCTCTTTCCCCCAGATAAAAAAACAACTTGACCATTTTAACCCGACTTTATAATCATCTGCATGTTGCGGGTTTAATTATGTGCTAAAACTATAACGGCACCGTGATAAAACACAAATAAGAGAAAGTAGTTCACTCTCTGTTTTACGTTACTGCACTGGAAAGAACAACATGGCGGTGTCCTTGAGCAGCGTGAGGCTCCTGGTGAGTAAAAAAATAATATTTAAAACAATTTAAACACATTTCTGTGAAGTCGTGTTGACATTGCAGATATCAGCGTCCTCCTGTTGATTCAGCTGCAGACGGAGAGAGTTTTAATGCTGCAGTTTAACCTGCTTATAGCTTCAGTGTCTGACTGTTTGATAAGGTTTATATTATATTATATTATATTATATTATATTATATTAAATATCTCTGAGTGGCTCCTTATTCTATCAGATCGATAACTCTTTCTGTTAGCTGATTAACTGCTCTCATATTAAACCACTATGTGAGAAGTAATCTGTGGTAGTTTGATTTAAAGGCCTTAAAACTACATTTTAACTGAGGATCCCTCTTTAAGAATAAGATAGAAAGAAAGAAAGAAAGAAAGAAAGATAGATAGATAGATAGATAGATAGATAGATAGATAGATAGAAAGAAAAAAAGAAAGACAGACAGACAGAAAGAAAGACAAAAAAAAAAAAAAAAAATATTAATTCCAAAAAAAAAAAAAAAACTTTATTGATCCCCCTTGGGAGAAACTCAGGTTGACACAGCAGCAGTAGTAGTGACAACAGAGAATATCACAATAAAAATATTACTAATATTATTAATATTAGAAGATATAAAAACTATAAATTAAAGTATAAAAACTAAAACTCCTAAAGTGGAAATTAAATATGAATAGTGCAAAAGGCTTGTGCGTTGTAGGTAGGAGATTTAAAGCAGAAAGAAAGATTAAATGTTTTATCAAAGAAGATTTATTAAACATGTTTTCAATGTTGGCTACTAACTGATTACATGTAATGATGTAATCAGATTACATTACTGTAATCAACCCAGATTTTGTTGGATTATAGTTTCATGATCAAGGATTAATTGATTATATTTTTGATTTCCTCTTTAAAATGTGGCAGTTTTAACAGCAGCAAATGCTGAGTATGCTAAATTCATTTTATTTGCATTTTTAAATGTTTTGAGATGTAATTAGTAACATAATCTACCAGATTACAAGTTAAAGTAATCTAATTTTTGGGATTATTGAATCAAATACTGACATTTTTGAGCCTTTTCTCTTTTAAACATCTAAAAAACATTTAAAATGCAAAAAGAAATGCATTTTAAATATTCAGCATTTACAGTTGTTAGTGTGTTAATCTGTCTCCTCCGTTTTCTCTGCAGAGCGCTTTAACCAGGTCCGGCTCATTGTGCCGATCCCTCCACGTCACTGCAGTGTGCTGCAAGGTAAACCCTCAGTTAACCATCAGGCTGTTGTAATATGGGCGTTGACCCTCTTTAAACCGCTGCATTAAAGGCACTTAAAGGATAAATCCACTTTATTTAAGGTCTGTCTGCTGTAATCGTTCCTCCTGTTCATATTAGACATTCACTGATCCTTTCTTACTGCGCTGTCAGTGTTCAACGTTTAGCTGAAGCTCATGTTTATATTAGTTAGATAATTCAAACCGGGATCTCCCAAAAGTTACAATCTGTTTAGTACAGAATCCCTTTAATATTTGGGATGAATGAATGAACTTTATATTATTGTATCACATATATAACTATACCCAGGCTGCACGCCAGAGCTGCATATCAATTACATTCTGCCTCAGCTTTATAATCTGTCTGTAGACTCTGAATTCAGGTCAGAAAAAACCCTTTAACGGTAGAAAAATGGAAGAAACTTCAAAGAATTCCTCTCTCAGGATGGACAGAACAAACCAACTAATGCACATTATATACACGCTTTAATAGCAGTATTTTCTGATGTATAAAGATTATAAAATATGTGAGAAGAACGTGGATCCAGAAGTCCATTCAGTCCACGTCTTTCATGGTCTGAATGTAGAAATGTAGAGAAATAATAACGTTAGGAGCTCTTTCCTGATCTGGATTAAAGAACACAGAAGGAGGTTCGTTATCTGTTTACACCTCCTAAACATCAAATTAAAGACGTTTGTTTCTCTTTCTCTCCGTTTTGTTCTCCAGAATCGAGCAGCTCGCCCCCGAGTGGGGAAAGGAGACTATCCTTTGACCTACGAGGAAGCACTTCCACCTCATTACATTGGTCACCGCAAAGGATGGCTGTCGCAGCACACCAGTGAGTTACAATACGCCCCCCCACCTCACATATTGAACCACAGTGTTTGTGTCAGCGACTCTCGTGGTTTAAAGTTTCTCAACACAACAGTTTTCTTTTCATTGGAAGGCCAAAACTGAAACTTAATGGTGGAATGCGGCCGAAATCAAATACCTTTCATTTAGTTTTATTAAGATGTAAAATGTTACGAGGAGCCTAAGTTCCCTCGACTGAGAGCTCAGATGATTAAAGATATTTACAGAACATTTTTACCCCACAAATAATGAAACTACATTAACTGCAGTGAACTTTGTGCAGCTCTAATCTACAAGAATACATCTTTACATAAGTAAGCTGGAGAGTTGGAGACTAGTTTTCCAGTCATGAAAACACCTGGAAATGTATTTAAACATAGAATCTATGTTGTCCTGGAAATGTTTGTATTTAACTCAGACCGTCTACGTAAACCTTTTAGGAGCATTTTAGTTTGAAACTCGACTGTTTAAAGGAGTTTTAGCGAACGCAAAGTGGAACAGACTTTATGATCTTTTTCTCCAGAGCTGTGAACACAATTCTCAAATCTACCTGCATTCAACGATTAATGATGACATTTCTTGTTGCTGTGGTTGATAATGATGTTAATTACACATAGTGTACGAACACTTTAACTTTGTAGAAGATTCTGTAAAATGAATTCTACCTACTGATCGTCCAAATTAATGTGGACAAACGACGGCAACCCTGAGTGATTAAGTACATGTGTAATATATATTCACTGGAATCAGTCTTCCAATTAGCCCAAAAAAAAATTCACTTTTTATTTAAGTTTTCACTTCACACATGAGTCTGGATGTAAACTGGAACCTGACTGGTTGGTGGAGGGATACGAGCGCGAGACGGTTATTCTAGTTCTTCTTGTTCCTTCAGTCGGATGTTTGAGCTTCACTGTGCAGAGTTTGACACCAGAAGCATGTTTTTACATTCATCTGCTGGAACTGGAAAGTTTCTCTGAGCTCACTGAGAATTACCATTCTTTTTAAGGTCCAGTTTTTAATGATGAGATGATTTTTTACGGATTTTAATGAGGAAATAAACTTTTTATTGTGGAAAAAACACATCAGAAACTATTCGTATACGTTCCTGGAGGGGATCTTTTTTAAATTCAGTAACAGTATCAGTCCTTTCAGCCCTAATGTCAACGTTAGTCTCTGTATAATTTACAAAGTCCTTCCTGTTTCTTCCAGGTAACCTCAAAGGGGAGGAGGGAGCAGCCGAACGGACCGTAGAGGATGTGTTCATAAGGCGCTTCGTGTCCGGGACCTTCCACAACTGCCTGGCCAACGAGATCGTGATCAAACGGCGCGGCAACGTGATCATAGTGTGCGCTATATTGATACAGAAATTAACGCCGCAAAAGTTTTACTTCTTAATCGGCTATACGGAGGCGATGCTGTCGCACTTATACAAATGCCCCTTCAAGCTCGTTGTCCAGACCCTGGATAAAAAGGCGGTGTACAAGTACCTGTGAGTTAGATTTCCCTTTCTGTCTCCATTCCTGCTCAGAGATGCTGTTCTCTGCTTTCAGTTACCCCCAAAATGGACATTTATCAAGAAATGAATCCTCAGAATGAAACGAGATACAATCATATGTGTGTCATTGTAACATCAGGCCTGAAATTGTTTAATAAATGCAGTAAGAACACTGTTTAATATACTGTGTGTATCCTTTTATCATCACAGTTTCTGTCTGTGGAAAGTTCAAGTTTAATGAAACGTAAACATGAAATCGGTGTGAGTCACTTTCTTTTTCAGAGCAGAGGGAGTTTCATAAATAAACCAGTTAAACCAGATCAGACTCCTTATCAGGTAATTCAGTTTAATAAAGGAGTTTAAATAGAAATGACTTATGCTTCCATGTATTTCATTTAATGTGTATAATAACAGGAGGAAGTCTTTAGCATGAACCAGTCATATCATTGCATTTATAACTTAAGCTAGTTTGCACAAACCTGGAAAATACATAAAAGAAACAGCTCAAATCAAACAATTACACAGTAAGACGTCCACAGGCGACTTTATCTGATATTTGACGAGTGTTACAATAATTCTGTCTGCGTGAAACACATCGTTTTCTCCATACGTTCCTCCGAGATGTTTCCTCTGTTACTGTTAACGTGACTCCATTTGCAGGACGTCCTAATCATTTTTGTACAGTCTAGACCTTTTTTATTTGTCCTGAGATAACTTCTGTTATGATTTATAAAACAATTTTTTAGTGTAAAGTGTCTGAAAAGTATTGCAGGCAAAATTGCGTCGCTGTCCAGTAAAGCAGTGGTTCCCAACCCGAGGGTCGGGGCCCCCATTAGGGGTCACCAAAGCTTCACAGGGGCATCACAAGGCCACTTTTATTTCAGGGACTGTAAGAAAACATAAACAATATACACAGGAGACCTATATCTCAGCATTTGGTTCATTTATGTGAAGAGAAAATGTTAAAATAAACATATAATACAGAGAGAATTGTATAAAAAGTACCTAAAATACTATTGAGTATATAAGTGTATAAAATATAGTCACTAAGTCAGTTTAATTAAAGATATAAAAGTGGTCCCTTACGGAAAAAGGTTGGAACCACATCACGTCCCTCTCTCTCTTTCCCTGTGTTTCCTTTCTGCCTCATTACAGACTGACCACTAAAAACCCCAATAATCAATGTTTACTGCTGGTTGCATCAGACATTGTTGTTAATTTAACTAAAAGAAGTGATGAAATGACCATATTACAATTTTAAAGTAAAACAAACAGAATATTGAGAGTTAAAAACAAACATCCATCAAGTAGTTTTAGTAATTTTAGGTGACAGACTTTGACATTTTTATTTGCAGCGTGAAAACAAAATATCTACTAAAAACCACCTAAAGAATTTTATTAACTTACAAAACTGAGTGTGTGTTACTTAAAATGTTCCATGTAATCAGTTTCAACTATTTGTTTTTCGTTCAAATAATTTATCGCCAAAAATGAATGAATGAATTCTGTAATTATACGGTAATCTTTAAGTTAACTTCATTTTCTTGCTATTAAAAAAAGACTAAAAAACAATCCCATTCCTCATACAGAGGATACGATAATGTACAACAACATCCACACGACAAACACATTGAAATGCTTATTTTGATTTATTTTTAATCAATTTCATCACAGTGCAAATACATTCACATTTAAAAAGGCACATGGGGCTCGTCAGTGCAAATACAAGGCACACATGATTAAAGCGTTTCTAAATGTTACCATGTGAATTTTCCCTTTTTCCTCACAATTAAAACGTCTAAACTCAAACGTGTCACAGCACCCCCCCCCCCGTCTTTAAAACGGCTCTTTACAAATGGTATCGTTAATACTTACCGTTAAGTATTGTGATAAACATCAGGATTAACCTTTTTTAAAAGCTTTTCATCCTTTAAATCTGAGGCACAAAGTAAATTACGTCCATAAAACACATTAATGAGCTGTACTTTACACAGATTCATCTGAAAGAAATAGACGAGAAAGAGGCGAGAAGATTGACGCCACTTTATGTAGATAGAGCCAGCAGTCGGTTAGCTTAGCTTAGCATAAAGACTGAAAACGGGGGGAAACAGCTAGCCTGGCTCTGTCCACAATATGGGTGTTGTTATATACCGATATTGATGGCTGTTTCTCTCTTTCTCTTTATGCTAAGCTAAGCTAATAGGCTGCTGGTGATAGCTTCATATGGGACAGACATGAGAGTGGTTATCAATCTTCTTATCGAACTCTCAAACGTGCGTTTTACCATAAACGTGGAACCTCTCCTGTAGAGACGATTGGATTAAAGACAGCTACAGCGGACCAGCGAACCTTTGGTTGCGTTTTCATTTCAGAACAGAACTATCCGACAAATACTGGAAATATTTCTGTGAAAATGTTTAAATGTGCATATTGAACCCTGAACCTGTGAAGATTTAAAGTGTAGTGCAGTTTATAGATAGACGAAGTCGTGTCTGCACAATATGAACCGGGCAAAGAGTGTATCTTAAAAGAATATATAATAAACTAAAAAGTATGAGATATATGAGCACAGCTCAGAAAAAAAATAGATATTTTTCACATCAGATATTTTGACTTTTGTCACAGGAGGAAAAGCACAAACGTGTTATTAATGAAATTAAAGGAAAAGTTCGATATTTTGGGAAATCAGCTTATTAGCAAGTTGTCCAGCAACATCAAACTTAGTGAGCTTTCGAGATGCTGCGAGGCAGATTTTCTTACCTTTGCACAGAGCCATGCTAGCTGTTCCCATCCGTTACCAGTCTTTGTGCTAAGCTAAGCTAACCGGCTGCTGGCTCCATAAATTTATTTTTAAGAGGTACGCCGACCGCTAAGGAAGTACATGAGGGGAAAACGTTATTACATTCACTATCAAACTGTCCCAGAGTTCACCACTTTTAAAATAATAATTATACATATTATACGGTCAAGCCTCGAGTGGTATCAGCGCAAGTAAGTGCGTTTCCCCAAAATGTCGAACTTTTTCTCTAACGATGGCTCCGTTCTACTTAAGTGTCCCAGTAAACCATGACAGTGTGACAGTGAGCCGGCACAGCACAACACCAGGACCCTGAAACTGAAGCAGCTAAACAGAATTCATTAAACCATCATTAATCTGATTATTTGCACTTTTCCTTCTGAGACGTCATCATTTCACAGTAGGAAACATTGTTATAAAGAACCGCATCTCGAATCATCATACTTGTGGTAAAAATTGACCAAACACTCAGACTCCACTGGCAGTATGACGCCGTCTGTTTGGCACCTTCCTCGAGCTTCTTCACTTCGTGTCGCGGCAGCTGTCGCCCGCACAGGACTGCAGCTTTATGAGCCGCTGGTTCATCGCCTGCAGGATGGTCGGATCCACCTTCTTCACGATGTTCTCCAGCTGGTGGGGGTCCGACGTCAGGTTGTACACCTCCACGAACGACTGAGGGACGCAGGGAGAAGAACAGACGCTGAGCCCCACAGACCAGTAAAAAGCAGTACAAAGCAAGTGCATGTCACCGCCATACCTCGCTGTCTGCGAACTCGCAGTATTGAAGGTTTTGTTGACCGTCGAGGGTCCTGACGCAGGCGTAGGTGTTGTTGAAGGCGTCTTCGCACACGCAGTCTGGGAAACATTGCTGTAGAAAATCAAGTGTTTAATTAGTGCTGATAAATAAGAATTATATCATTATTTTTTTATCACTCATTAGCGCTACAGATAATTTTGTTATGTTGTATTGTATGCAGATGACACCCACACGTTGGGTGGTAATTCAGTGAAATGTAATTAAGAGCTTGTGCTTCACTTCAGTATTTCCCTTCAGGTTTTTTTGGAGATTGTTGAGGCCTAAAATGCCTGAAACTCTGATGCATGTTTTAAGCATTTCTTTTTTAATGAAATTGTAGGGTTTTGGGGGGGATTTTTATATAAATTCTTTAAAAATGTAAGTCAACTTGTTCCAGTGAGAGTAAAATCGTTAGTAGTTTGGTGACGTATGGCTCAGTGTTTTACACGGGGGACTATGATGGGTGAAACTTACAGGAAACTACAGTGATTGCTCAAATTTGTCTACATACATTTCAGAGGGAATATTGTAACTTAGTCGCTTTGCAGATTTAGATAATTTACACACTTTTACCAGCTGCAGCATTAAAGCAGATTACACATTAATTCATCAATAATTACAATCCATTAATAGAATATACATCTTTCTGACATTAGGCATTCTGAGTAACTGTTACTTTTGGTCCTTTAAAGTATATTTGAATGCAAATGCGTTTAGACTTTTATGTGAAATTTATTTAATAAATGCAGGACTTTTACTTGTAACTACTTTTATCAGTATTTCTACATTGTGGTATTGTTACTTTTAGTTTTAAAGCGACATTATGTAAAAGCTGGTATTTTTACCAATTAATTAACTCTCTGTAAATTACAGTTTCCTAGTGGACTGATAGTTTTACTTGTTGCTAAAGTAACCACTCACTGCTGCTAACTGTTATTTAGTTAGCCATGCAGCAAGCGGTCCTATTAGCCAACTCTGCCTGGATCAGGATCTTGGTCTTTTCTCGCTGTAGATACTTACAGACAGTCCAGGACCTAGTTTGGGACAAGCAGGATCTGTTGTCGGATGTCCCTCCCCGGTGTATTCAACAAGGAAAAATGGCCGTGCAGTGCCGTTACGCAGTGAAGGGGCCTAATAGAGAGATTTTAAGTTAGTTTAGTTTAAGATTGTGGGAAATAAATTAATATTTAGGTTAATTTAAAGAGAAATCTGACCATCTGAGAGAGGAAAGACTGTCCATCCACATTCACAGTAGACAGGTTGACACCAGATATGTCCAGTATGGTGGGAGCCAGATCAATATTCAACACAGGAGCCTAAAGGAGTCAAACAACACAGACAGAATTAAAAAAACAGACCAAGATTACAGCCACATTTCTGCGTTTTATAACAGATGTAAGTAAACGTGTGCGTGTGTGTGTGTGTCAGATTGTTTGCAACCTGCAGCGTCTGGTTTGGTTTGATGCCAGGACCACGGACCATGAGCGGGACCCGGATGTCAAATTCATACAGCTGCCGCTTATCGATGGGCAGAGAGAACTGACCTGTAACAGAGCAGACAGGTTATTACCGTAGAACAGCACACAGACAGTAAACACACCGTATTAAACCACCCGAGGACCCGAGGACCGACTTCAGACCTGTGTGGTAGCCGTTGTCAGAGGTGTAGAAGATGTAGGTATTGTCCAGTTCTTTTATACTATCCAGTTTCTTCAGCAGCAACTCCACCATGTCATCCACAGATAACAGAGTCTGCCACCTGCAGCACATAGCATAGTTTTACTTTTTAAGACGATGAAACAATGGCGGATAAATAGTAAAATATGTTTGTGAACTGATTTGAGGAGAGAAACAGTCAACAACAGAATCTGAATCCATATCTGATCAGCACTGTTTGACAGTTTGATCTGAGTTTGGTGCGTTGAGCTGGACGGACTCACTGAGAATGAGCTGTCAATCACAAGGTAGCCCCGCCCTAAAGCATACCCTGCTTTATGGTCTGTTTTACTCTAAATGGGACCATCAGTTACTAAATGAACATCATGCTGTATGGAAGAAGACTGAAACTAGAGACTGAGACCATAAACTCATCAGGAAACGGTTTACTGAGGGAATAAATCAACTGAGAAGTCGGCTCATTTTTTCATAAGACTGAATGGTAACGGAGGCCCTGCTGGCCTTTAGAAAGAATGCAAGTTAAAGACACTTCCACATTGGCTTCACTTCAGACCCAGAAGCTCTTATTATATACAGTCAGTGCTTCCTCTACTGCAGGACTTGCAGCAAACCAACGTCCCTCCAGAAGATGACGTTAAACCTTCATAACTTCTAGTTTAATGAGATATTTCAGTCTGAACCAGAGCGTTTGCAGTCGTACCTTCTCCTGTACGCATTATCCAGGTAGTCTAGTGTCTTGCTCGGCATGGGGTTGATCGGTTGACGCAGCAGCCAGTGTTTGTCCTGAAACACAAACAGAGATTCACTGGTAAAGACCATTTAAAAAAAAGACATTTATCAGAGTAATAATGTTTGACGTTAACTTGGACAAACCTTCCCCGGTTTGTCAAAGCTCCCATCTCGAGGAGCTTTAACGTCGCCGAACTCTTTCTGGTACTGCGGCGCCGCCGTCCAGGGCGAGTGAGGAGCCGGAGGAGACAGCATCAGGAAGAACGGATGCTGAGGGCTCCTGTTGTCCAGGAAGTTCAGGGACCGGTTCGTCTGGATGGAGGATTAAACACTATGAATTATACATTTGATTAAAAGACACAGAGGAAGAGGCGAAGACAGAAACTCTTTGTCTTTGTCAGGAAACACCAGCGGTATGTTAATGATTGTGGTGTTTTCTGCATCTATGAGTCATTATCACACCAGCAACTGGTCACACGCTGCAAAACAAATGTTATTAGAAGTCTCACATGTCTGTTCAAAGTTCAACTTACTTTTTTTATTTGATTTGAGTTTAATTAAGTTTTATTAATTAAGTTCTACATTTATTGAATCACTGAACAGCTTTAAAGTTTTTCCTATTTTGCAGCAAAAATATAAACCTGAAAGAGTCCTGAAGAAAAAGAAAGAAAGAATCTTGAAGCTGTTCTTTGGTAGAAACTGTCAACAACAACATCGCTTCAGGCTTTTAACCTCTGTGCTGACATACGCTGTGGTGAGCTCAGCTTTAAAGATAGTTCCTCAAGGTTTTTGGAGGTTATTTCTGAAAGATGTTTTCACTCTTTTCCCGACTGGCTTCAGTGAGAGTTTGACATTATATTGATCATCCAATCACCTGCCAGTATTTTATCAGGTCGTCTACCATCAACACCAAGTCAAAATGTTACTGTCCAATACTTTTAGTTTAGCTTTAACTTTGTACCTGCTCAACAACGGGCAGTTAGAATTTAGCTCAAAGCACCACTGTGTGTAAATACGACCATAAAGAGCCGCCAGCGTGGCTGTAAACTCTTAATGATGTTTAGTCTGTCGACTTCCAGTTCCCCAACTTTATGGAAGTGTAATATTAAAATCAAAAAGGCGTAACCCTTCATAACTGTTTGTTTACCGTCCTCACTGCTGATAAAAAGTACAAACATTACTGCGGCTCACTAACAGCCAGCAGTGCCGGCGACAAGAGAAAGTTCAACTCTTATATTCAAAGCTGAATGTGATGAGGAGGAAACAGAAAACACATTTAAATAAAAACCAAACTCGAAATACTCTACAAATCTAAGTGTAAATACTCATAAATGATCAGTACAGCTGGCTGATTTCATACATTTCTAGTGCATCTGGTCATTGATGATTAACCTTTCACCCTGCTGACATTTTATATTTCTACGACAGCAGCTGATGCAGACGATTTTTAAAAGGTGAACACTCTTAGTTCTTCTCATAAATCCTTACATAAATGTCCCAGTACATGTTGAAATGCATGAAAATACTGCTGATCACAGGTTGGGTTCAGGCAGGAGTCATTGCACCGCGTTCAGACCGTGATTACTGCTTACTATGAGGTCTGTGAGGTAGTCCTTCTCATAACTGTCTCCGTGCTTTTCTTCTTTGGCGTTGACGGAGAGTGTGTAGTTGTAGTACTGCGAGTTCCCCACCTGTAACCATACAGCAAAAGGCTGTGACAGCAGAACCTGTAAATACAGTATTTAATGTGTGTGTGTGTGTGTGTGTGTGTGTGTGTGTGTGTGTGTGTGTGTGTGTGTGTGTGTGTGTGTGTGTGTGTTTATGGAGACTTACCAGTGCATGCCACTGATCCCAGCCAGGTGGGATGTGGCCAACGTCTCCTGCCTCTTTCTTTCCATACTGCAGAAAAACAAAATGATACAACAAGAGTCTACAGCTTAAAGCTACATGTATAAGTAAGTAAGTAAGTATAAAGCTTCTCGTGTTTACTGGGGATGGCTCTATTATCTGTATCAGTTCAACAGAAGTTGTTCATTAATGCCTGAAATTGCTTATGAGTTGATAAAAAGTTGCTGTACTTATTAGAAAAACTGTTTTCAGAACAGTACGGAAGCTCTGAAAGGCAAATTATTTTTTATTTTGATGTTTTTCTACCTGTGAAAAGAAAAGTTTAACTTTTTTCGCTGTGAAAACGAATGAAAAATGTCTTAAAATTCCACCTGTTGGTCATGAGAAAAATAATAATAATTTGCCTTTGAGGGCTTCCGTAGGAGAAATATTTAAAGTTGTTTATTATATTAACACATTTTACTCGTAAAAACAACATTATCTGTACCGGACACTTATTTCAGCCGAGTTCTCGCTCAACCAATTTTATGGCAATCCATCAAATAGTTGTCAGAGGATCACTGAAGTTATCAGGATTCATCCTCTGACGCCTCTGTGTAACACTTATTCCAGTCGTCTCTTGCAGCAAGCATGACTAACAACTGCTGGTAAAAATGACTCAAGGCTCAAATATGTAGTTTGGAGGTCTGTTACAGGAAGTCAGGGTGCAGACAGTGCAGCAACAACCCGCCCACTGGTGGTTGAGGTGAGATATGCGAATACTGTTGACCTCCTCTAGTCTCAATCATCCAACATATCCTTTTATTTAAGTATCCGAAGCTCTCCTGAAGGTTTCCAGTAACATTACATTGATCTGTTTGGACAGGAATCTCTCCAGCATGAACAAACCTTTCATCTGAGATATTTTGCAATAAGTTTGTCCAGTCACGTGTTTCTTGTTCAAGCTTCAGGTTGTGTTTGTTGTTTTATATCATGTTCCCGAGGCTGTTGCACTTTCAGAAGTATTTTTCTAAGACGCAGTCACGCTGGTGTAACAGGTAAGAACTGTTGTACTATCATAGCGACTTCTTCTACACAGAGCCAGTTTCCACAATGCAGAATAACAAGTTCAGTCCACTTCTTTGATCCAGACTGAAATATATCAACAGCTGTCGGATGGATGGACGGATGGATGGACGGATGGATACAGACACTCGAGTTCCCCTCAGGATAGATTGTAAAAACTTTGGTGATCCTCTGAAGAGCTGTTCCCAACCTTTTTCCTTAAAGGAACCTTTTCTGTCATTTATTAAACTGACTCAGTGACATACTTTATGGATATTTCATAATATATTTAAAACTGTACAATGAACCCAAACAGTGAACTCAGTAACTGCAGGAAGTTTGTGTAAAACGAGTGATTTAGATGAATTCTGAGCAACTTTTAATGCAATTCTCTGTCTGTATTATGTATTTTTTAAATATTTTTTAACAATAATAAACTTAATAGGCTTCTTTTTTGACACATTCAGAGTTTTATTGTCCCTGGTACTTGGCTGTTGTTCTATTAGACAGTTTACATTTACTTTTCTTCACAGAAGCGAACCAAATACTGAGATATAGACCTACTGTTTGCATTTTTTAAAGCTTTAAAGCTATATCTTCTTCCTAACTTCTGACTGCATGACTCAATCACATGTCAAATAAACAGGAAGTGTCGTAAACTCAGTGTTGTGTAAGTGTTTGTGTGTTCAGACCTGGTTCAGGTATTTTCCAGCGAAAAACGTCTGGTACTTCAGTTTGTTGAGGTAGACGGGGAAGGCCTCGGCCTCGGGCCCTTTCTGCCACTGAAGGCTGGAGCAGTTCCCGGACAGCGAGTTGTTCCTCACCTCGTGGTTGTGGGGGTACCGGCCCGTCAGTACGCTGCTCCGGCTGGGGCAGCACAGTGGCGTGACGGTGAACTGCGACGGAGAGAAAGGAAGCGAGAGCGGCAATAGAGGAAGACGAGAGGAAAAAAGGTGACGAAAGAGAAGCACATGGCGGCAGAGGAGAGGAGGAGGATGTGTTCAGTTTCAACATTTAAAACAAACAATGTGAAATCATAGGTGAGCGCTCACTAAAAATAACAGAAGTATTATTAGCTCAATGTACTGAAACTATTAAAAATAGAAGCACTTGTTAGTCCATAAGAGTCACCAGATAAAGCTGAGGGGTCCTGAGATGATTCATGGGAACAAATCTTTGTTTATCGTGTTAATTCTCCTTCATTTTCTGTGAAATGTTGGATATTTTTACTTCTTAGGGCCTCAAAAAATTAATTACAAGGAAGTCTGTGAGAGGTTTAAAGGGGAAATTCCTGTGCTGACAGCTCAGAGACATTTGACACATGACGAGCAGCCTGACAAGACAAAGAGGTTGGCAGCCGCTGGTTTAATCTTTAACTGTATTCTATATACTCGTCTCTTTAATGTAAAATCAGAATCGGGGTTTATTGCCAAGTAGGTTTTCACATACAAGGATGTAGTGGAATATCAGTAGAAATAGTGCATGTATGTACTGTCCAGCGCTCGGTAAATGAACTCACTGCATTCACAAACGTTGCTCCTGCGTCTCCGATTAAAGCTTTCGTTTTCTTCATCGGGGTCTGCAGAACAAAGAGACACATGCAAAGTGACACAACATGCAAATGAGCTCAAAGAGAGAAGCTTCTTGTCTGTTTGTGAATGAACGGCTCTATAAATAATACACTGAGTGGGTCTAAGGGCACTAATGCAGATATTACCCTCCTCTAGAGACCCGTTTCCTTCTCAGACTGCGATCTGCTCCTGATGATGGTGATTAAACTTTGATTAAAGGAACGTAATAAGTTTAAATCAGCTAACACTTGTTTATTTCCAGTTATTCTTAATGAATCCATCGTTGTATTAAAGGTTATTGTGGCCCTCGCTCGTTTGTTATTGCCTGAACGAGCCGGGACAATTTACCCTTTCTAAGCCCCGCCTCTTTTTGTCTGCCGGGGCTTTTACAGTCACTAGAAGCACATTCGGGGCCTAAGCCAGTGGCTCAGAGAGGCTAGCTCTTGGCTAATGGCTACGCAGCAGGCCGCGGTCTGCAGGGTGGAGACGTTAGAAAGCTGCCACCAGATCAGCTAATAGCGACATTAAATTACAATAACCGTGTTTCAACCAGTAGATCGCTGCATTTTTAAAGGAATTATATGGAGAATTTAAACAGTAAAATGCTCTAAAATGTCCCGATTAGGACCAACAGCACTACGAAATACCCACATTCAGAGGGTTTGGGGTTTAGTTACTCTTCAACTAAAACTACCTCACTTAAAATGTATAATTATATAGTCGTCTCACTCGTCTGTGGATCTATTGATTCTTCTCTGACTAATTTAATAATGATCCCTGATAACGAGCAGCAGAAGTGACGTTGTCGCTGGTTACATAAAACTCTATTTTCATTATATCTTAATATTTAATGTGTATTTTTTCTGTCTCGCTGTGTTGTATCTGGAGCTGCTGTAGAGAGGGAACTTCCCAGGTTTGGGATCAGTAAAGTTTATCTGATCGGATCGGATCCAGGCAGCACTACAGCAGTGAGTTACAGTAGAAAGACAGCGAGCAGCTTGTTGCACAAACACTGTTCATATCAAATATTCAGTATATATCTAAGAGACTTCTAGTTTCTGGAGTCACAAACACTTCCTTTATTTCCAGCTGACAGCCTGATGGGGCAGCAGATTGCACAACCACCGTTTAAATCTTCTGTATCAACACCAATGTGGATAATAATGTGATAAAAACACCATAAAGTGACTCTGAACCGACTCCTGCGGCTCTATGAAGCCTCAGAGGAGCGACTTTACAGGGAGGAACACACCAGAAGTGTCTCTAAACTCTCTCCTGGATCGATACATGTGATTGTTTCCAGGCGGGGTGCACTCACCATCCCCCCCAGCTGAACGTCCTGGTCGTCGGCCAGGATGAGGATGATGTTGCTCGGTTTTGCGCGCGGTTCCGCACACCTGACGCAGCAGGTGAGCAGCGTGAGGACAGCGAGGGCTGCTGGGAGTCCTCTCTGCCGGGTCCCTGTCGCTCCGGATCCGATCCTCAGACCTGCCATCTGGGCCTCCACAGCAGCAGCAGCAGCAGCAGCAGCAGCAGCAGCAGAACCGGGTCCACCTGGAGGAGCTCGGTCGGGGTTTCCTGGTCCGGAGGGAGGGGTGTGCTGTTTGAATGAGTGCGTGCAGACTGGATATATATACACACACACACTCACTCACACACACACTCTCTCTCTCTCTCTCTCACACACACACACACACAGGATGAGCTCGTTTGAGGAAGTGCAGAAGAGTTGTTGTTGGTCATATGATCAGTGGGAGGAGTGAAGGCTGAGGACACACTGTACAGCTGAATGTGGACTTTATACGAGCTTTATAAGGACTTACTATTTATACAATAATCACATTTAAATCATTAGAATGTAATATAATAATAATGTGAAATTTCATTATTTTATATGGCTTTATTTTATTTTATTTTTTATTTTCTATTCATTAAAACGTAGTTAGAGATTATTTTTTATAATATGGCATTATTTTATTTTATATTCAGTCTGAAACATTCGCAAGATTATGTTATATTATATTATTCATAATTAATTATTTAATTTTATTTAATTTCGTATGTAATCTTTCATAAAAACTTAAAAAATATATATAATAGAGCGTTTTATTATATTATCATATATATTATAATGTATTATATTATATTATATTATATCCAACATAGACATACATATATAAAATAGTAATTCTGTTTTTGATTATTATTATTTTTTATTTTATTTTATTTAGTTATTAATTTATTTTCATCCTTTTGAAAACGTACTTTCAACGGATTATTTATTATAGTATTATATTTTTTGTAATGTATTATTTTCCTTTATATTTTATTCAGTCCATTCATAAAAACGTACTTTTGCAAGATAATATAATATTTAATATTATATTGTTTTTTTGTTGTAATGAAACAGCTTGAGGAGACATTTTTTGGTAATGATCCCTTAAACTTAATTATTAAACTGACAAAAATTTAACTGAAGGGCCAAACAATCATATAATAATATATTTGTGTACATAACATAACAGATTTATGCTTATATATATATATATATATATATATATAATATGTAGACTACTCTGTCAAATATGTGTCATGATCTATTTGTATATTTGTATATTTATTGGGATTTTAATATTTTACTAAAAGCAAATTAAAAGAAAAAAAACATAAAGATTCTTGAAATATAGAGAGTATAATAAAGTTTGATCTGCAATAACTCTGAGGCTGTTTCAGGCGAAAGTTTCAGGGGAATAACTGAAGTACTGAAGATAAATCAGTTTCAGATCCTCCTTCTGTGTAAACAACATTTAGGTTTTATTTTTCTTGAACAGAGAGAAAACTAAAACCTGTTGACCGAAAATGGATGAACTGATTCTGTGTTTGAGTTCGCTGACAGTAAAACCTCCAGCTCAGAACATGTGTTGGTCATTATTCTTTGTAACATACCACAGTGGCTAAATTATTCATACACACCATCTTTCTGTGTGCTCTCATTTACAAGATATATCTCCGTCAGCATCTTCCAACGTAAAAAAAGAAGAAGATATTTCTCGATAATAAGGACTGGCTCTGGATATCTAACCATCCAAATCTCTGAGCACTTCCCCCCTGTGCTCTGCTGATACTGTCGGGGGGGGTAAATGGTAACACGCTAACATCCTGACAGTGATAACACGTTCAGAGAAACTTTTAGCAGATTAATGTGAAAACATCCTTTTAGTGTCAAACTCTGCACAGTCATCATTCAAACTGTTGGAATAAGAAGAAACTCTGAGGGGGCTTTAAAGGATGAGTGTGTTTGGTGGCATCTAGTGGTGAAGTTGCAGATTACAACCAATCGAATAATCAACTAAATCCTCTCGTCTTCTAATTAACAACAAGAAGTCAAACTGTTCCTTTAAGCTTAAACAAACTGGTTATGTAACAGCCTCAACTGCCTTTATATGGCCTGCATAAAGAAACAAGAGAGAAGAGAGAAAAATGGCTATTTCTATATATTTTTATAGTTATTTTTAATGTCTACAAGCGGGTCGGATTCCCCTTGAAATCAATGAAACAAGGCCATATAAACACTACCGCTTTTGTCCACAGGGGGCGCCAGAATCAACACGAGATTAAAGTTACTCATAGGGACTTTAAGAGGAAATGGCTTCGTCAATATAATATCTGATACTGGAACACTACTCATTCACATACTGACGTACACAGAGATGATGGTCCGTACTGACTTTAATGAGAGTTTAATGATCTGTACTTTACGTTCCTCAGACTTTAGCTGCAGTGGAGCTGTTGTTGGTGTTACAGGCAGGTAACGATCAGCAGCTCGGTCACACCGGACACTCACACCGGCTGCTTGTTAAACCATGAAATGAGCTCAGAGCTGATGGTCGTCTGTGCTCCAGGAAGAGTGGAGGTTATAGACGGTTTTCGTCCTCATCGTCTGTACTGTGATTATAGAGAAAGAAATTCAGAAGAAGTTCATTTAATCAGTTACTGCAGGAACAAGTTGGGAGGTACTTGTGCTTTACCTACTCATGCTGCTTAATATTTCTACTCTATTACATTAAAAACACATCATAAAGCATAAAACCCATTTGGCTTAGACATCAAACAGTAGCGTCCTCCTATAGTTCTCATTGTCACGTTAGATGTTAGTTCCACCAAAGAGTAATTTCCCTTTGTTTACCTTCTCTGATTGTGTCATTTAATTATTTATTTGAGGCTCAAATTGGCAAAACTAATACTTAATAACCAATAAACATATAGCTAGCAAACGTAGCTGCTCTAACATTGATGCACCATTATTATTAACTGAATAATGTCATATATAATAAATAAAAAGACAATTTCTGGTGGGGAAAAACAAAGAAACACAAACAGATAAAGAGTTGTGCATGAAAATAAAAGTCAAACTTTTGATTTGCTAGGAAAAACAATTACGATACGTTCAAGTAAAACATAAAACATAAGTAGACATTAAAAATAGAAAAATGAATTAAAAATAATAAATAAAATTGTTAGCAATTAATTCAAAATTAAGAAAAAAATGAGCCGAAATGTGAGAGAATCAAAATTATGAGATAGAAAACGTTTGCTTACCATCATCTTTTTTATTTTATTGAAATTCTTTTGGTAATGGCAGAATTTGGCTTCCATACAGGAAAGGTGGAACTATTTTTGTAATGCGGCGGTGAAGCTGTAAAAACATAAATAAAAATGAGTAGATTAATTACTATTATTAGATATAATAATGCTAGAGATACTAAATTAAAATTATGAAATAAAAAGTCAAGTGGTGAATCAATATAATACAAGAATATGAGGTAGTAAGTAAGAATGTAGAAAAAACAAACCACATATATTGATTTTTAAATCTAAATTACATTTAAATTATGACACAAATCAATATTAATAATGTGGAAAGCAAAAATATTGACATACAAAAACAAAAATTGTGAGATAAGTAAGTAAAACTCTGATAATTCAAACTTTTTATCTTGAAAGTATTTCTGTTTTTATCACAGTTTGCATTCATATCTATCGATCTTTTTCTCTTTTTTTTTTGTATTGGCAGTATTTGTCCTCCATACAGTGAAGTTTTAGGAGTTTCTGTTTCCAGTCGGAACTATTTTTGTAACGCGCAGGTGGAGCCGGTGCAGCTGCATCCGGTTGCTCTCTCACACACAAGTTCTGCAGCTGAAGGCGGTTTTTTAATTTCCCACTGAACTACATCAGAAACATCAACTCAGCAACGTCGTTCAGTTGAATTAACAGTGATTATTATGCAATGATAAACAGTTTTATTAAAGTCAGTGAAGAAGATGATGTTTAACACATCAAATATGTTTCTCCTGCAGATGTTTGTAGGAGTTGTGGTGCTGTAGGTCTTATTGGAGGCCAGAGGGAACCATGGTGCCTTTAAAGAGGAGGAAGGTGTCCTCACATCCTGCTGGGGGCTCTGGGACAGTCTACGGAGGACATAAAGAGCCAAACCAGTTCCCTCAGGTTGTTTTATTCCTGTTGGAAAGAAAGTTGGGAGCCAGTCGGAGAGCTTTCCTCTCTCAGCTCGGGAGGAAGAAAGGATTCCAGGTGGAGGAGGTGTTCAGGTAACGTGAACTCTTAATGATCCAAAGCAGAGGAATTAAAGTGTGGAGGAATATTTCATATTATATTTAATAAATAACGATAACAGGAGAGAACAGCTGGTAAACTGAACAATGTGAACCCAATAACTGCAGGAAGTTTGTGTAAAACCAGAGATTTTGGATGAATATCGATCAGAGATGAGTTTTCCTGATATTTTAAAGAACTTTTTATACATTTCTCTGTCTGTATTGTGTATTTTCTTTATTTTTTAACAATCAAACAGACTTATTAAAGCTTATTTTCTGACCAATTCAGTGTTTTCTTCCTGATCATTTCCGTTGTTATAATGCAGCTTGTGTTCAGATCATCAAAGTTTGGATATTAAATAATACACTGTAATGAGATGAAGTTATTTTAACTGATTAAACACATTGCAAGTTACACAGACTCAGTTTTTTAAGTTAAAAACATTCCTGGTTAAGTATTTTTTACTATTTATTTTTCACAATACAAATAACAATTGTGAAATTAAGTCTGTGTCACTTCAAACTAAAAGGATTTAAAAGTATAATCAGCACATCAGGACATTTTAAGGTTTTCACTGGACAGGAAGAGGATTAAAAATAGTAATTGTTGTTGAAGTACAATAGTTATAAAGTATAAAGTTGCATTAAAGTACCTTGATTTTGTACTCAAGTACAGTATTTATTCCATTCGACCGCCGCCAATCAACAGTCTAAAGCACAACGATATTTAACAGGTTGGATTCAGCAAACGTTTGATTAAAAAACACTTTAAACAATCTGTTCTGTCTTTTATCAGCGAGCGCGTCACACACGTTATTTCCGAGAACAACGGCGGTGACGAGGTCAGGACGTGGCTGCTCTCACAGGTCGGAGGTCACACGCCTGCTCACCTGCTGGACGTCAGCTGGTACACCGAGAGCATGGCTGCAGGACGTCCTGTTGAGATACTGGACAGACATAAACTGCAGGTACATTTCACTCCACACACTAACGCCACTGCAGATAAATAAAGGATAGATGAGATAATAGAAGACTTTATTGATCCCACGTTGGAGAAATTCACTCGCTACAGCAGCTCCAGATACAACACAGCAGATCAGAATTAATACACATTAAATCAAAATAGAATAAGAGTTGTATGTACAATATATAATACAGCTTTTTATATACACATAAGGTCACAGCAGGATGTAGTGGCGTGGTGTAGAAATAAATATAACTGCACAGGATAGAATTAGAAGTTATAAACATACGGCTGTAAATGTACAGTACAGGTATGATATTAATTATGGAAGAAATTATATATATATATATATATATATATGCATGTAAAACTGTGCAGGGATTAAAGTCCATTAAGTGTTGGCAGAGACAAACAAGGCTACATTAAATAAATTAATTAAGTTATATTGTGCATATTCTCTCTCTAATATTCTTTATGATGTTTAATCTTCATGGATTATATTGATGCCGGATTGAGAAGAAGACTTTATGTTGTAAGAGTGAATCTTTCTGAAGTCTAAAATGTAACTTTTTTTAAATGGAGTTTGGTTGCAGTTATCCAGGTGTTTGCTGACTGTGTCTTTCAGGAGCAGCAGGGTAACGAAGCGGAGGTCGCGGCGTTCTCCGTACCGAGCTACGCCTGTCAGAGGAGGACGACTCTGGAGAACCACAACACCGTCCTCACTGTACGTCCTCCAGACAGACAGACAGACGTTGTAGAGGAAGATAAAAAAAAACATCCAGGTGGTCTCAAACGTGTGTGTGTGGTGTATCTTCCTTCCTCAGGATGCTTTGTCGCTCCTGGCTGAAAATGCCGAGCTCAGCGAGGAGGACGGGCGAGGAGTGGCGTTTCGACGGGCCGCTGCCGTGTTGAAGGCGCTCCCCAAACCGGTGGCGAGCATGACGCAGCTCAGAGGGCTTCCCTGTCTGGGAGAGCATTCACTCAGAGTCATCAAAGTCAGCAGAAAATGTCCTTTTTAAAATGTTTCTAACCTTTTTTTTTAGCTTCTTTTTCAAACTCAGGATCTAATAATTTATTCTCTGTTCTCGTAGGATATTCTGGAGAACGGAGCTTCAAGTGAAGTTGAATCTACAAAACAGTCTGAGCGATACAAAGCGTTGAAGGTAAGTCAGCTCGTGATGTATCGCGGCGCTCTTCAACCTTCAAGGAACATCTGAAGGGTCATCAGATAGACTGATGGATGAAAACAAGACATTTTAATGCTGTTTTATTGTATTTATTGTATTATTTTACCTCTTCAAGCCTTTAAAAACCTAAATTAAACAATCCGTCTTTGTTAGAACGTCTCACATTATTTCTGCAGCATTAAAGAAGAGGCACAATTAGTTGAGCAATGAGCGACGACTTGTTTCGTAGGCCGTATTTCTGAGATATCTGATGGTGTCGGTGAGGTCAGCGAAGATCATCTTGGCAGTCTGAACTGAAATAGTTAGTTATCTAACGCTGCCGCCATCTAGAAATAGAGAAAAACGCCACATATCAGGCGATGTACTGTGTGATACTGCTTTACTAGCTGGCTCAAACAAACTATTAAAATGCTCATAAACCTAATGAGGTGAAGGTTTTATGATTAATGTGCGTTTCAGGTTTTAACAGGTATTTTTGGAGTCGGCGCGAGAACAGCGGACCGATGGATCCGAGACGGGATACACAACCTTCGGCAGTTACAGGATTCAGGACCGACGCTCAATCGAGCTCAACAAGCAGGTGTGTGTCTGCTCTCAGAATGTTTTTATGATCGTAAAGTTTCTCTCTGACTGAGTAACTTCTTTCAGGCCTCGAGCACTACGACGACCTCAACCAGCCGGTCAGTAAGTCAGACGCCGACGCCATCGGTGAGGTCGTGGAGAAAGCTGTTGTGTCTGTGTTACCAGGCGCACACATGACTCTGATCGGAGGATTCAGGAGGTAAAAGAGCAAACAGACAGTGTATCATGAACCCTTCCAGGAGGTTATAAAGGTTAAACATGGGGACAAACACAATTTGTGCTACAGACAACCAAACTCCATTGACAAAACCAGTAATTTTACCAAGCAGATAAACATAAACACACTTCAAATGGGACAGAAATTAAAATAAAACTCCCCAAAAACTGTCTTTGTTGTTCTATTATGCTGTCAGGAAGTGTCTGACAGCATTATGGAAAGGATCCCTACAGAGATAGACCTTTAGTTTAACCACAAACAGCCATAAGATCACTATCACTCTCCACCAGACTCCAGAGACAAAAACACTCATTTTACCTTCAGATCATAGTAACTTCATTCAAAGTGGACAGAAACAGAATAAAACTGATTAAAAGCGTCTCTGTTAGTGTTTCCAACAATCACCAACTCTGGTTTGGTGCAAATAAATCCTTAATTCACCGACGTAGATGATAAAAACAGCAGTTTCAGTCGGAGCAGACCGGCTATAGAAACAAACCACAGAGAGGCTGCGATACAACACAGGCAGAGGGAGAGAGACACCATGTGACTCTGTGTCTTTACACAGAGAATAGCTGATATATTAATGCTTTAAATCTCATATTTAAAACCTTTAAACTTCAACATTTAAGTGTTTGATGTAAACGTCACTTTGTGTCCAGAGGAAAGCTGACAGGCCACGACGTTGACTTCCTGATAACGCACCCAGAGGAGGGCAGAGAGGTCGGACTGATGCCCAAACTCGTCTCCTGGCTGGAATCTCAGGTTGGTTGTTTCATGAAGTCGCTGTAAGAAATCATCTGGATTCAGTCTCACTGCACTGGCATTATAATAACACAGTTTTCTGTCCCTGCAGGGTTTCCTGTTGTACCAGAAAACCACCAGAAACTCTTACCTGGAGTCCAAAGACGGTCCCGCCCGGCCCGCCTCCAACATGGACCGCTTCGAGAGGTGTTTTTCCATCTTTAAACTGACCAAGGAGGAGAAACGAGGAACCAAACATCCGGAGACGCTGACGGAAAACGGTGCGCAAACTCCAGATAACGGCGGACTGGATCTGGATCTGGATCTGGATCAGACAAAACCAGCCGGACACAAACCGTGGAGAGCTGTGAGAGTGGACCTCGTGGTCTCTCCAATCAGCCAGTTCGCTTTTGCTCTGCTGGGCTGGACGGGATCCAAGGTGACCTTTTCATAAATCACTTAGAAGGAGGATATTACTTTTATTTTGAAAATCTATTTTTTATTGACAATGTAAACAATCATTCTCATAAAGCTCAAAGCAGAACTGACATATAAAAGATAACACAGACCAAAATAAATGAATATACAGAAGATAAAAAGATAAGATAAAGCAGATAAAATACAAAATAAAAGCCTAACTTACTAACTTAAAGTGTTGGGATGTGGCATTTATGATATAATTTTTTTAAAAGGGGGTTAAAAAACCCACAAAATTCACAATAAATCCATCTTAAATTAATAAATAATGAGAAAGAATCTGGATCCATATTTAATCTGAGAATGAGCTGTCAATCACATGGTAGCCCCGCCCTAAAGCATACCCTGCTTTATGGTCTGTTTTACTCTAAATGGGACCATCAGTTACTAAATGAACATCATGCTGTATGGAAGAAGACTGAAACTAGAGACTGAGACCAGAAACTCATCAGGAAACTGTTTACTGAGGGAATAAATCAACTGAGAAGTCGGCTCATTTCTCCATAAGACTGAATGGTAATGGAGCCGCCCCCTGCTGGTTGTTAGAGAGAATGCAGGTTTAAGACACTCGGCTCTATTATATAAACTGTTCATAGATTTTAAATGTTTTTTTTTTAAAGTTTGAGTTCATAACAAATGCCTCTATGAAGATTTGTAGTAAAATAATTTCCAAATACTTTTAATACTCGTGTTTAAGGTGGAATAATAACTGACTCCATTACTTTCCACAGCTGTTTGAGAGAGAGCTGCGACGCTGGGCGGGCCACGAGAAGTCCATGTCTCTGAGCAGCCACGCTCTGTACGATAACAGACAGGTACACACTTATAAAACACCTTTATTATTCTTCTTCTGTCCCTTTTCATTCGTGCAGAATTAGCAGAGTTTGTCTCTCTTTGGTCTCACAGAGTAAATATCTGAGGGCGACGTCAGAGGAGGAGATATTCGCTCATCTTGGTCTGGAGTTCGTTCCTCCGTCGGAGAGAAACGCCTGAACGGGCCTGGTCTTATACTATTAGGTCCAACTATCGACGTTTATAAAGATGGACGACATAAAGTGAAGCCAGACCCTCTTCATCGCCCACTGGTAGCCGACTGCAGTACAGCATAAAGCCTCCATGTTAGCAGATGGGACGAACTGAAGAATAAAAGTTAAATAATTAATTTCCATTAAAGTCATTTTAGGTCGTTTTATGATAATTTTGGATGCTGTTAAATTGTATTTTGAAATATTGGCAGGTGTTTCCGTTATTTTGTCCACCTCATTTAAATCAATGAGAGTATGAAACAACAGAAACTATAATATAATAATAATAAAGTTTATTTTAGTCAGTATTTTACATGTTATGTTTGTTTTAAACATTGCAGCTCTTTTAACTGAAGAATATAAATATTTTAATGTTATTTTATTTTTATATTTACTTGCAGAACTTGTCTCTTGAACTCCAAAAAACCTGAACATTACAACCCTAATGAAATGAGGATTTATTGTGTTGGACTGTATTAGTTGTAGTTAATAAATGATAAATTAAAAAGATAATTATATGCTATACCTCTAGAACTTGAGTGCCTGTGAGAGGAAGTTAACTGCTTGTATTTCACAATAAAAGGTTGTTTGAATTAAGTCTTAAAGGATACAACGGGTGATATTTTACATTTTTCTCACTGTCAGCAAATCCCATAAAAACAGGATGAATGTTAAACTTATGGCGGCGCCAGAGGAACAGTCAGGATTGAGAAGTGTTAGCTTTAACTAACACTTCTCATATATTATAAGATAATATAATATGATGTTAATATATAACAACATATAAAACATATATCTGGTGTTTATGAACTGTTTAATGTAGAACTTATATCTTTAAGTATATAAGTTAATAATAATTAATGTGGAATTATAATTTACTGTCAGTCTGAGATGCAGATTTGAGGATTCTTGTATAATTTTCAAAAGAAGTTCAACCGTCACTGTGATGGGATTAAATCTTCAGTTCAGAGACCTGATAAGAACAACAACAACAGTCTGATCCACTCAAACAAACAGAGTGAAACATGTTCTTTAACTTTATATTTGTGTACAACTCCAGCAGCACGATGAAGTTTCACTGTGTTAAACCACAAACACACCTGTGTACTACTGACCTTAATTCTGCAACGTCCTCATCGCTTTAATCTGCACCTTCACTCAAAGTCAGACCACACAGAGAGAGTAATCTACACTGTAAGTTACTACACTGTAAGTTACTACACTAAAGTAACTACACTGTAAAGTTACTACATTAAAGTTACTACACTGTAAAGTAACTACATGTAAGTTACACTGTAAAGTTACTACACTGTAAAATTACTACACTAAAGTTACTACACTGTAAAATTACTACACTAAAGTTACTACATTGTAAAGTTACTACACTGTAAGTTACTGCACTGTAAAGTTACTACACTGTAAAGTTACTACACTGTAAAGTTACTACACTGTAAAGTTACTACACTGTAAAGTTACTACACTGTAAAGTTACTACACTGTAAAGTTACTACACTGTAAGTTACTGCACTGTAAAGTTACTACACTGTAAGTTTTACACTAAAGTTACTACACTGTAAAGTTACTACACTAAAGTTACTACACTGTAAAGTTACTACACTAAAGTTACTACACTGTAAGTTACTACACTTAATTACTACACTGTAAAGTTACTACACTAAAGTTACTACATTGTAAAGTTACTACACTGTAAGTTACTGCACTGTAAAGTTACTACACTGAGTTACTACACTAAAGTAACTACACTGTAAAATTACTACACTAAAGTTACTACACTGTTAAGTTACTACACTAAAGTTACTACATTGTAAAGTTACTAATAAGTTACTACACTGTAAAGTTACTACACTGTAAGTTACTACACTGTAAAGTTACTACATTCTACACTAAAGTTACTACACTGTAAGTTACTGCACTGTAAAGTTACTACACTGTAAAAGTTACTACACTGTAAAGTTACTACACTAAAGTTACTCATGTAAAGTTACTACACTAAAGTTACTACACTGTAAGTTACTACATTGTAAAGTTACTACACTAAAGTTACTACACTGTAAGTTACTACATTGTAAAGTTACTACACTAAAGTTACTACACTGTAAAGTTACTACACTAAAGTAACTACACTGTAAAGTTACTACACTGTAAAGTTACTACACTGTAAAGTTACTACACTGTAAAGTTACTACACTGTAAAGTTACTACATTAAAGTTACTACACTGTAAAGTTACTACACTAAAGTTACTACACTGTAAAGTTACTACACTGTAAAGTTACTACACTAAAGTTACTACACTGTAAAGTTACAACACTAAAGTTACTACACTGTAAAGTTACTACACTAAAGTTACTACACTGTAAAGTTACTGCACTGTAAAGTTACTACACTGTAAAATTACTACACTGTAAGTTACTACACTGTAAAGTTACTACACTGAGAGTTACTACTACTGTTAAAGATAAACCACAGGGAGTTTTTAACTGGTTATGAAACAGACTCTGTTTAATATATTTTATATGAGCTGATCACCTTAAACTTTTTAAGTTTATTAACTCAAAGAATTTAAGCATGAAAAAATATTTGATTTAAGTAACTAAAGTATTTGTTAAGATGACTTCAGTAAAATAAGTTAATTTTCACTGATTCCAATCAGTTAATTGAACTTAAATAAATATAAATAGGTATATCACAACATTTCTCCAATAAAATTAAGTTGTGTTAACAACAATGAAACAAGATGAAACACTCACTTCTGTCCACAGGGCGGCGCCACAATCAGTGTTTGTATTTTCTCCTCTACATTTATCTGACAGCTTTAGTTCAGATTAAGATTTTATATTAAAAACAAACATATGAATGTTTATAAAATACAGCAAAGATTAAATTCAGTGGTTGAACTCAGATTTTATTATTTTATTAGAATCCTTATTAGTTAATTAAGAACACACAAAAATTAATTCCACACAAAACATTAATAAAACAAAACAAACAAACATGTCAACAGATAATATGTTTACATTCAAAACACCACATATTAAAAAGAAAAATATAATAAACTGTAATTTTACTTAAAAACATTTTACTATACACATTCTTTTCATATATACTTCTGGATATTATTAATTTACACTAAACTTATAAGCACTGAATGTACAAACAGAGACGATGTCTGTTTGGTAAATAAGTTGTTTTCAGTTCCGCCACAGAAACATGCCATGCTGTTATCTAGCAAACTAATGAATCTTCGCTCTGTGTGGCTAAAAGTTAAAGATTGGTTGACGGGTGAATGTCAGGATATTATTGATTGAAATCAGTTAGTTCGTGCTGACGTAAGCACGCGTCACATTGTGTTCTACAGGAAGACACAATGATTGGATTCTGATATAAAAACACAAAGGAAACAGAGTTTTTTTAAAACTTTTTTTTAGCATCCATTGCTAAATATTGGGACAATATAACTGAGGATGTGATCTTAGTGGGTTAAGGGTTAAAATTACATTTTTGATCAGTTTCAACAACTTTTTTTGAGTTAAATTAACGTATCCAAAGTCTTTAAATGAATTCCTTCTAACAAACAAAAACTAGTTTTTCCAGGAGCTGTGTTTTCATACAGATGGTAAGAGTATAAAACCTTAAATACATTTACATTTACACAAACTACATCCCCTCTGTGCTCAGTTCTCACAGACTCACAGTCTCCTCGCTGCAGGACTTCATGTCTCCTTCTCCCTCGGAAGCTTTTGGTTCACACATACGGTGTCAGAAACAGACACGTGTCGATGGTGATTCAGGAACATAAAATCAAACTCTTTCTCTTCTCTGCACCACGTACTGCTTTAATACACCACGTACATTATATCCTGTTTACCTTCTGTGCAGCTCACCTGTGTAAAATGTGAAAAATAAAGTAGTTTTTTGGTTGTTAAAGAGCAGAAAATGGGCGTAGAGGAAGAAGTGTGTGCAGGTGTGAAAGAGAACTGGATGTGAGGGCAGACTGAGGTGTGAGCGCCGACGCGGCCTTTGATGTTAAACCGGTATTTAGAGGTTAATGAGGCTGTTAGGAAGAGGTGAAGGAAACACCCCTGAGTTCACACTCGCACACACACACACACACACACACACACACACGGGAAATGTATCAGCAGATCCTCAGAGTCTCATTCAGGATCTCTGTTTCATTCTCCAGGTTTTATATATTTAGATTATTTGTCAGGATTTAAGCATAAAGTGAGAGAACTCAGTTACTGTGTCTGTTGACAGTGTCTGAACTCTACAGCTTTCACTTTTTCTGCTGTCCTGTGGGTTTATTTTCTGATATTTTCTGATCTGAAGTTAATGATATTGAGCTTTAGTGTTGACGGCAAGAATCCCAGTATCCTTTCTAAAGTGACGAGCCTCCCTCGTGCACAAATCACACATCAACAGTTTACACATAATCCCAATAATAGCATATTTCTGTCCCTCTAAAATCAACGATCAACGCAAACCGATTCCTGTCCCACTGGGACGAGTTGCCTTCAGTTTTTAATGAATTATTTCACTTTCTCCAGAAATTTCATTGCAAAAAAAACTCAAAAACATGTGTTTTTCACATGTTTTTCTAGAAAGAAACAAAACAGACATTATAAAATGTCTTTTGGAGGATCTGATATGTCAGTATCCCCCAACATTTCACAAATCATGTTTTCAGAGGAGCCGAGTTCCCCCTGTAGTCCGCACCGTCTGTAAATATTAGCATTAATTCTGTTTCTGTTTCTGTTTCCTGCCTGGGGAATACGGATGGACATTAGCATTTTGCTAACTCTGGCTTGTTCTTCTGCATCTTTTATTTCTATATTATTGTTCATTAACTTGCTCTGTCCCTGTCAAATAAACAGATAAACATATAAATATATATAACAAAACAACAATGTTAAATTCTGCATTCAGACTCCACTTAAGTATAAAAGTATTGTTAGTTAAATACAGCAGTACGAGTAGATTCAACATCTCTTTTCCGGCTCAAGACAGCAGCAAGGAAAGTTTCTGATCTCAAAAAACAAAAAAACAAAACAGCATTAAAAAAAATCACATAAACAAAAACAAGCAGCAGTTTTACAACAAACAATAAATGACAGTAAAGTTATCAGTATTCAGTATGGAAGCTCATTTCTGCCGATATGAGGGGGAAGTCTTCATAATGACAATCAATATTTTAACTGAGTAGTAAAGGTTCTCATTATAATGATTTACAGAATATTTCATAATTATATTATTAATATTATAAGTTAGTTTTTCCAGTGCAGGAACGTATGAGACATTGAGGCTACCGTACATGTTACAACTCTTAATGGTTAAATACCGTTTATATAGTTCCCTGTGTGTTTGTATATTACACGTGTGTAGTTATACTTTAAATCTGAGTCACATAATAGAACAGTCTAAACCATTTTGCCCCTCAGAGCATAAACAACAACAACAACAACAACGTCTCCTCTTCACACAACAAACCTCTTAAAACAGTGAAAACAAACGTCTGTTAACTTGGAGACAAATTGGTGTAAATTTTAATCTTTTGAGCTGCAGATTTCTTTTCAATCTGAGCAAGCCAAAA